GCAGGTACAGGTTTGGGGAGTGATGAAGGTTATACCTGGCGACTAAGGATCAATTCCCAACACAGGGCAGAAATGATTGAACTGTTGTGAGATCCTTTACCAATTAATTACTGACTCTGGTCAAGTGTCCCCACAATGAACCAACACCTACCTCTTGTGGGCTTTCAATGTTGGTTCTTCTTTCAACCACAATCATTCTATAACCTTGGCAGCGAGGAAGTTCGGCTAACCTTAACAAAGTAACCCAAAACATGATCTTTTTCTAAACCGAACCAAACCTTAACCAGTGTTGAGTGGTGCTGACAAATCATGTTGTCCTGTCAAAAGGGTTTCCAGAACGAAGAACACGTACAGTATATGTGTCATTCAGAAGGGCCAAGGCAACACAACAGCCAGCTCACATGGACACATCATACATAATCTGGTGCATTCGGATGCTCCTTGGATGGTCCCATTTCTTGGGTAGGGAAGTTGTCCTTCCGACTTTGGTGTGTTTATGACCTTTAAAGCATTGATGTGGGAAAAAAAATGAATGCTACAAAGAAGATGTGTTTTTCATTGCTCAGAGCCTTTAAACAACACTTTAATCGCTGTTTCCACTAAAATATTGCTTTGCAGAATTTTTATCCAGAAAAGATGATGATGGAAAAATGAATAGGTGGCGCTTCCAACTTGTTCTTTACCGTTTTTTAGATCAGGATTGAATTATTGATTACCTAACAAATAATATAACCAAAATGTGTTTTAAGTACTTCACAAATGTCATCAATAGCCTGAAATTTGACAGACATACAGTTTGTCTTTTGGCCACCAGGGGGAGACCCTGTGATACCACGTTCCTCTGTCTCAAATGTGAGATTCGGTTGTAAACGAGGCATGAATTCCTCCCAAACAGAGCAATTTTTCAAAGCAGTGTTGGCTTTTTCTGAATAAACCTTCTCCCTGATCCAAAAGGACCCATTTGCTGGTGACTCCGAGCACAACAGAGCCACCTGACAGAGCCCCCGGCCAGTGGAAATTCACCTCAATGCCTTCAGAAAGCTGCTTTATGTGTGTCCTGCCGGCTACTGAGGGAGGAGAGAGGAGAAAGGCCTTAAAGAAAAAGAGTCTGCAAAGTGCAAACTCCGAGCTGTAACTGAGAGTTTCCTAGCAACATGCTCTGCAAGATGAAACTGAGAGATTTGCCTACCGCTCTGGATCAACTTTTTTTATTCAGCGCTGTTGTATTGTCTTTTCACTAAAGACACAAAGTTTGGTTTTATTCGGTAAATGCTTGTTTTTTATTGCCCCTTTAAGTGTTCATAATCCCCTGAAACTCACATCCAACCACACACACAAATTTCTCCCTCAATGAATTTCCAACAGCAGCATTTGGAAAAGCATTTGCATGTGTTGTTTTTTCACTATAATCTCTCTCATTGCCTCAGACCTGTTGAATCTTAAACCTCACATTCTCCCCTACCAAGAAAAAAAAAAAAACAAGACAAAAGCATGAATGCATAATTAATATAGTGAAGCTGCATTTTTAATTGTTACTGGTCTTCAAAGTTGCCCAGCGGCATTGTCTCTCGGTTCAGGCCGGCTGCTTCCGATGGCAGAGCTTCATTCAGGTCCTTTTAGGGCTCGAGCGCTGCAGAAGAACCGGCAGACAACGGCTCCAAGCTCGCCTCTTTTCTCAGGGTGTCTGCCCGCACAATGGACTTCCTTAGCCTGCACACAAAAGAGGCTGGCGCATGAAAAAAACATCCAAATTCAATGGCATTCCTCTCCACAATGCACTCCGAGAATATGTGCTTGTCCCTCGCCTTCTCCCTCTCTTCTCTTTCAGCACTGGGTGATATATTAGGATGATGTGTGACCATCAGGAAGGGATATATTCCTGCATCAAAATGAAACAAATTGTGTAAAATTGAGAATGGAGACTTGAAAGAAGACTAAAAGTCTACAGCCAAGCTAGCAACTCCGTCAGGCCGTACTTAGGGACAGCAATGATTTCAGCTAGTCAAGTGCTAATATCAGCATGCCAACATGACATTCAGATGGTGTGATGTACCTTAGCATAGCATGTTAGCGTACTGACATTTCTTACTTACTGTGAGTAGTTCTGTTGGACAAATTGAAATGTTGCCCTGATGATGGCACTAGATGAAAAGTTAAGGGATCATCAAACACTACAGTTTGTCCTGAGTGACACCAAATCGACTCTAAGTGACTCACTTGAGGCAATGTATCAGACTTCATACGCTGGAGACACAAAAGACTTTTAACGACCTTTTTCACAGACACGCAGAGGCACTCCCCAGCAGCTTTAAACAGACTTTGATGTATTAAATTAGTGGAGCTTTTCTTAAAATTGAATGTTACCTTGAGGGGTAGTGGGTCCCCACAGGTTATTGTTCTCACATTGTTATGGATCCATCAACACACACTGCCACACAGTTGATGGTCAGATGGTGTGACATTAGCTCCCCTATCACATCCTCTGTGTGTAGAGTTGCAGTGGGTGGGGAGGGGTTAGCTGGGAGTTGGTGGGGTTTGGGGGGGTTACTCCACCATTGTTGGGCGCACATTGAGCACCATTGGCACGCTGGCCAGCAGCTTACCATCCCGAGGCTGCTGGGAGTCACAAAGGGCCACGGCGGAGTGAGAGTCGAGCCGGGTGAACGTCACCAACACCCGCAGCCTAATCCTCCTGCCCTGTACATCTGCGCCGGGCCGGTTTCAAAAGCCAGACCCCCCCTTTTTGCTCTAAAATCCCCCCTCCTCTTCATCATGCACCACCTCTTTTCTTTTCTCTCACTGTTATTCTGCAGCAAGAGAAAGGATGGGCTTTTGTAGTGGCCCATAGTGTCACACAGACACAAGACCTGAGGCTGCCAGTCGTCAAATGGAAGCTCTCTCTGGGCTTTTCACAGTGCTCACTTTGCTCATGTCGACTTGGGGAATGAGGGGAAACTCTTATTTTAGCACGTGAAAAGGCTCCAGACGGGGACATGAAGGCCTGCTCTTCACATCGGACACAATTGACTTTGAAAGCCAGCGTTTCTCTGAGAGTAGTAGGGAGTGTTTGCCGAGATGTTGGCATCATGTTTTAATTGAATTTGACTGTCAGCAGGTCTCAAAGGGGCCCAAACAAGCTTACTATGAAAACGCTCTTCTAGGATCCTGCTGAAGCAAACCAGGGACAAACATGAAAAAGAAAAGGTCAAATAGATTTCACACACTGCTCCATTCATTCAAACTTTAGGCAAATAAATAAACAGTAAACAAATTATTATTATAACTATAACGTCCTTTCTATTTCATTCGATTAGCCCATGACTCTTGTCTTGAAGAATTACGACTTTATTAGGACTTTATTCTAAAAATCTTTTATACAAACAAAGGCCCTAATACTCCATTGTAGAGATTGGCAATTCTGAGCATTTTCAAGCCATAAGCCACCTACACAAACAGTAAAGCTGAGGTCCAGACAACTTTACAATGATCTGAAACTCACTAGAAAGCTCTATAGAGGAGGAGCTGCAGGTTCAGCTGATAATTCTTTGTATGTTCATCACTACCAGAGACACCTTTCACTTTCATTTGATATTCTGTTATTGTAAAATATTGATTATAGCCTCGTAGTAGAGAAGGACACGCTTGAAAGTTTTTGAACCACAGAGCAGAGCAGATGTTGGCTAAGGTGCAATTTCAAGTCCTATCTGGGAATTTTGGATGTTACTACCCCCTCTGTTAAATGTCTCTGTGTACATCAAAGCAGTGGTATCCTTGGGGAAAATCTACTTGATATTTCAAAAGAATATCAGAAAAAGTAAAAAAAATGTAGACATTCCAGACATTATAATTGGTTTACTCTATTCACCCAGATATCCACTTGTCTCCTGCTGCATGTCATCCTCTCTGATAGCGTGGCCTCAGCCAGCGCCAGGCTGTCTCTGACTTAATACAACAATATAACAAGAACAAAACCTGCAGCAGGAGGTCAATGCTTCTCTATAATTCATCTGTTTTCCAAACCCAAACACCTGCATGATGTATGAGTTTTGGAAGGAAAAGGTGGAACCTAAATGGACTGATCATGTGTAATGTAAAGCTTTTGTTATGTTTAGTTATGTTTGAGAAGGTGAAACCAAACTGGTGTTTGTGGAGAATAAATGACAGCTGAGGACGCCCTCTGGTGGAGCCTATAACAAACTGCAGCCTGATGCATGCTTAAACTCAAATGACTTCACTTTTTTGATTTTCAAAATCATTCATGGAAATAAAAGTGATAATTATAAATAAAATAAAGCTTTTATTAACGATCCCCTCCTCTTTAACTTTAACATTAAAAACATTTTTTGGTTAGAACTTATACGTTATACAGATCAGTGCTGTTTAAAGCTAGCGATCAGCAATAACTGACCTAAGTTAGAACTCTAGCTGGTCCGTTGCTCGGTAACTAAGGGCAAAGTTACATAGTTCACTAACTTTTTGTAGTTTTAGTTGACCCATGTAAAAAAATAAAAAAATCTCTCATCTACCCTATACTGACATGTGGAAAGTGATGCCAGCCTCCCTGGTCTCTTTGATCCTTAGTAACACAATTAGGTGCTGCATAGCTGACAACCAGAGTTGCTGCCCATAGGTGGCCATTGTAAACAATACCCAGGTAAGATGATCCCATGAGTTATTATGTAATGTCTAGGTGTCTATGGTGAGCATGTGTGTGCGATGTGACAGATCTAACCTTTGGCAATGAGTGTGTCCTCCAGCTCTGCCCTTTCAGCTGAGTAGCTAGTGTTGCCTGCAATATGTTGTAGGTCTGGCAGCAGGCTAGTTTTGACAAAGTAACTCTGCGTGATAATTTGACACTTTGACAGACAGGTTATTGGAATTGCCAGAAGGCACAGAAGTAGGGTAAACAAAGTATCTTCCCCCACCGCATGAGCATCAGAATTGGTAAACTCATGTGACATGATTGCATGAGGGAATAAGTGTCCAATGACAGAACTGGAAAGATTTTCTCTGCAGGATTTATTCACTTTATCAAAATATTTATGAACACATTTGTAAAAAATTAAATTTTTAATGAAACCACATTAATAAATACACACAGGGCAATGTATGCCTATATGGCTTTTATTTTAGTATTAACATGGAGATCAGGCATTAAATAATTTGTCTACTCTTATTTTGGCATCTAGAGTATGTTCCTTTGTGTGTACACAGCCAATTGCATGTATGTAAAAGTGTGTGTCTGTGTACCATATCTCTCCCTAAGATGACTCTGGGCGGTAGCCCTTCAGGTAATAGACCCAAGAACAAGGTTTTCTGTGGCCCTCAGAGCGCTGGCTGGAGATGATCAGCTTGCCAAACCACGGCCCCGGAGAGCCTCCTGGAGGGACCTCAAAGGATATCAGGATGTTTTGGGTCTTTTTGGAGATAATGGAGTCCACCCCTTTTACAGTGAAACAGGAGTTGTCCACCTAGTAGCAGAGTAAAAAAAGCTTAGATTATATCAATTACACATATTAAGTATATATTAAGTGAAGCCAATTAATCAAAGCAGAGGGAGGTGTGAAGAATCATCAATCACATGAGTCTGAAAGCCAGACTGCACCGCTCTGTTTACTGGAACTGGTCTAGGCTACACTTAAAGCAGTTAGCTTCACGCTAGTTGGCGGGACACTCTGTCTAAATGTCTGAAAGAAAATGATTTCTTTGGATTTAAAGAAATATATAAGCATTCTGCACAGTGATTGTATTGGGATGTTATGAATCACTTTTGTTCTCGGTTACAATAATGTCCCTCCAAAAATATCACATTTTGACCTTTTGTTCCACTCTTCAATCTGGTTATTTCTCTGGCCCTCAAGTAATTGGTCCTTTACCTGAAAAGAGAAAGCGGTGGTCTGCAGGAAGACATTTTTGAAGGGGATACTGATGTTGCGACCAGCCCTGATGCTAAACGGGCCCTGGGCTTTGGGAGAGAGGCAAATCCCATGTAAGGGAAAGATGTATTCACCACCGGCTGCTGAGAACAGGTTGAGCTGGCTTCTCACTTCCCCTAGCTGATGAGGTTCAAAACAAACTTCCACGCTGGCCTCTGACCCTGCCTGGAAACCCGGAGAAGCACAGACACGCTTGTCCACAGTGAAATCTGGGCAATCAATCTACAGGAGAGAGATAACAAGAAGTGGTTTTGTATGGCAGCATATAAATCACTGTAACTGCATTGGTATTTTTGTCATTTTGAAACTGCTTTTAAATGAGAATTTCAGTCACCACAACTCTGATATCCTAGGTTGGGTCAGATTTTTTTCCCTCTCCAATTTAAAGGCACCATTTTAAATGAAGCAAATCTCAACATGCGAGTCCTACAGTATATTTTCTGCAATTGATCTGCAGTTTATACAGTGCCCACTGCTCTTTTGAACTGAAACTGAAAACAGCATAATGATAACTAAGGCTACGTTCACACTGCAAGCCTTAGCGCTCAATTCAGATTTATTGCTCGGATCAGATTTAGTTTGTTTGGCTGTTCGCATTATTTTTTGAATAAGGCCCGTGTCAGATTTCAGTGTGAAAGGAATTGCTGGTATGACTATATTAGAGCTATATCAAACTTTATCAGAGCTTACGGCTTAGTATATCTATCCTGTATCTGATTGGGACCACATATGAAAGTGACTCAATCAGATTAAAAAGATCAGATTCCATGTGATTAGTGCTGTTCACACTCCCATGTCTTGTCACACAAGCAAAAAAGAGCAAAAAAACCCCATCTGATTTGGGCCACTTGTGAACACAGCATAATACTACTGCATTGCATCACAATTACATACTGTATTGTATACTGAAGAAACATTCTCCTTTTGTGTGTGCACGTAAATAAAACGAACAAAAGGTTTTAGACACAGTTATGGCTGAATACAGAATAGATTAAAATGTTCTTACCTTGCATAAGTACTCGGTTCTGAGGTGGGAGTAGTTGATGAATTTGACAAGAGTGGAGTGGTTGCTGCCCAAACACGTGCTGAAGTAAACGGTTTTCTCTGGTGCTGGGGGCAGAGCTTTGAGAAGGAGATCGTGGTGGAAGTGGCCCAAATCACTACTATACAGAGTCAACCGGGCTGTAGACTCGCCTGCATGTAGGGGCTGGTACTCAAAGCTCAGAGAACCCTAAAGAGAGAACACCCACCCACACAGACACACACACACACACACACACACACACACACACACAGAAAATCAATTAAATTTTGTTTGTGGGCACACAGCAGTTAGCGAATTGATGTACTGAGTATCCACCTTGGACTGTTCTGGCACAGTGTGCTGAGGTGGCACACTGATTTCGGAGCATTTACACTCAATGGTGAGGCATGCAGCTGTGGTCAGGGGGTTCTCCACCTCTACGGTGCTTGTGGTCTTCCGGCGAACAGCGGTCACCATATCTATGGTGGTTAGTGCTCCTGGGGATGTGGCTTTGAAGGTAACAAGGTAGAACAAGTATTCATCGGAGACCACATTACGAAACGTCACCTGAGGAGAAGAGTTCAAGGCTGACATGAGGACAAGGCTCTCAAATATACTCAGATCTGGTCACAGAGATGCGCGTGTTATCAAACCTTGGTGTTGTACTGCCCCTCTCTGTATGTAAAGAAAGACATCTTGTAGTCTCTCTTGGCCAAAGCAGGGACATCAATATATTCTAGACCCTTGACGGACACTGTAGCATCTGTCTTGTCAGGTTTCAGGATCTCTATCAGCACATGGAACCTGAGTACACAGACACACTCATGACTCTAATGTACTTCTGTCTTGACCGGGTTTGTGTATTTCCCTCATCACATTTACCAGTCATTCACATTTTTACTGTTATGTCCATTTTCCTATTGCTGGTGTGCAGCAATAGGAAGAAAGCATGACAGTTTAGTACCTTAGCTTGGAGAACAGCGAATGTGGCAAAATGAGTTTCAACTCTTTGTTTATCTGTTTGGCACAAAACTGTACTGTTTTGGTTCACTCTCACCGCTCTTATAGTTTTATTTTGGGCCTGTTTTCACCATAAAAGCTCTAAAAATGTCAAACATCTATGTCAATGTTGTGTTTACAACTTGTTTCCAATCAGTTATTTCAGGATGGTTTAAGACTGGTGACTTAAAGGTGTCAGTGTGTTTTACCGCTGTTGCTTGGAGAGCCAGTTGTGCACAGGGAGCAACTGTGTGTGGTGAGTCTTGGCAGGCAGTTCGTTCACAATGGTGTCCTCTGCTTTGGGAGGCTCAGCAGTTCCCTGTAGGGAGTACAGCATGCCTGTCCCATCAGGGAAGGAGAAAAAGACTGATCCCTGAGGCAAAAAGAAGACAAATTAACGTCTGAGATTAAGTTTATGTCACTTCATAGCTTACATCATTTTGTTTTGTTTTGTTATATAGAATGTACTGCACTGAATATGTGCAAAGGAGGTTACAGATGAATAAGTGTTTTTAAATAATAGGGCTCCTCTACCACATGTTTCTTTTCTTCAGCAGTCATGGTCAGTGGTCGGTAGGTGATCTCGTAGGTCTTGTGTTGGAGGGGTTCAAGGCTCACAGATAGTGCCGCGCTCCACTGGTCGCCTTCTATGACAGGTCTAATGCTGCAATGCTCATTTGTGGGGTTGCACACGGGCAGGGTTTGGGTGTGAGAGCCACGTACTGGGCAAACAAAATGTACTACCTAGAGACAAGATGTGAGAAGGAGGAAGAAGGAATTATGCAATAGTTCAGGGATAATCAACTACAGTATTTATCACATTCAACTTATTCTAAATACAGTAGAGTATCAGCCTTTTCTCATTCATTAGTGGCTAATCAGCTAATTGAAACTGACTAAAGGCGTTTCCAAATTTTCACTGATCTTTAAATCTGTCAACACTCTCTGCCTGTTCCAAAAAGGAGCCGAATCAATACCTCACATTATCTGATGCTGGCCTTTAAAACCTTCTCTACAATGAGAAGCTATACTGCTGACACGGCAGCTTTTATGCCTACTGGAGAAGTCTTGAAATCAATAACCAAAATACTCATTTACTTTTAAAAACCTTTTCCTTACATTACTTCGTGATATATGGTACATACAGAGTACATAAGATTGGAAATTAAACTCAGGTCTTTTGTTTTGTTTGCCATTGTTTCTTTTGTACCAATAGTCAAAGAAAATAGTACACTCTTACTGTTATAGTTTGATAGTACATATAGATATCACTATAAATAATGGTAATCATAATGGAAATAACCATGGGGACTTAAAAAATAGCTAAATAAGTGAGTTGTGTTTCCCTATTTTGGTGCCAGAGCACACACACAATACATAGAGTAAGTGTGATGCATCATTTCCCCTACTGTTCATCAGACACAAAACCCCAAATAAGCAATTTTTCGATCGTATACTGTAAATTTATTTTCTTCTCTACCCAACATTGTGTATAAAAGTGCTATAATCAAACCTCTTTGCTGGTGGAGGCTACGATGCAGGAGCCTGTCACGGTGAGGGTAACACATGAGGAGGAGCCCTCCACACAACAAGACAGGTTTTCATATCTTGTGTCATTACTCAGTTCTACAGGGGCAAAAGTCACTTCAAAGGGAACCTCCATGCCTGGACAGATATAGCCTTTAGTTGGTGCGATGGACAACTCTGGAGGAAAATTCTCTGTTTTCCACTGGAACCTGGTTACAAGGTAGACAGATAAATAAAAAGCAAACAACATGATGTACATCCAACCAGAGTTAACCATGAGTCCCAAAACAAAACAAAAAAAAAGTTCCATTACACACCAATCTGTAGACTTCTGCAGTGCGTCCGTATGAGGTTTTAATCTTAGATAACTAGCAAAACTGACTGGATCACATACACAACCTTACCTGGCACCAATATCCCCAGAGTTCATCATAACAATCTTCTTCCTGGCCTGGCAGCGCTGGACAACAACTCCAAAGGATAAGTAGTCCTGGTCCAGCTGGACCTCCACACCCTGATGGAACTAGTTGTTAACATGACTTCATACAACATACAATATAGAGTTTATATAGAGAACAAACCCTAACATTTCTTGTATAAAAAAAAGTTGCAATGCAGACTAACTGTTTCATTCATCTCAATGTATTCTAAATACTGTCAGTACTATTTTTTATTGACACCTGCCAAATTTGTTTGTGAAGATAATTCTGAAAATAGTTACAAGTGCTGCAGTAAACTTGTCAAGGCACAACAATACACCAGGCAAGAGCATAATTTGCAAAAGAAATGTACTTTACAGTCTACCTGGCAGCAGCCTTGGATGGTCAGCAGGGGGTGTAGCAGGCCTGCAAACTCCGCCTGCAGCTCAGCAGTGAAGGGAGGCATGTGCTGACGAGGTGAAAAATGGATCTCAACATTACATGAGCCACCACTGGCTTTCAGGTTCAGCTCACCTGCTGGTCTGAATGACAGATCCTGGAGGAGGAGAAGGAGACGCAGGTGGAGAGGAGAGGATGATTTAAGTGTTGCTTCTGTACATCACTGTTTATGAGAGTGTGTTTATGTATGTGTGAGTGTCTGTGTGTTTTTGTGTGTGTGTGTGTGTGTGTGTGTGTGTGTGTGTGTGTGTGTGTTTCCTACCTTTTGGTCCAGCGGTGTGTTGGTGTTAAGCAGCAGAGTAAAGGACAGGTCTAAAGGGCTACGGTTGACCAGAGTCACTTGTTTTTTTACCTTCTGACCCAACATCAGAGAACCCAGTTTCACTTTCCTCCGCCTGGGATCTTCCACCTCCAGCTAGGTCAGAATAATACATACACAGGATAATTAGATTGAAACCCAAAGCTGTGAACGTTTCTAAAGAACGAAATTCTGTAGAATGAAACAAACAATTACATGTTCCTTTCTCATAAAAAAGTTAGATTTTTAAGCAATACAAATATTATACCACACTGACTCTAACTCTATGTTTTGGCCACTACAGCCTATTTTTTTAATATGTGATGTGTCGTCTTTTTTACATCACTTAGAGACAATATTTCTTTTCCTCTCCAGCCTTGTGTTAAAGTCTGAGACCTGGTCAGTAGAAGCTACATAGCCCTTTGCTATCATCATTTTGGTATTATATTTTTGCACTTCCTACTTACCTTTCTCTCGATGCCTTGCCCAAGTATGTCCACCTGTTTCTTGACCGAGTTGTTGAAGATAAAGGTGAGTTTTTCATGGTAACGGCATGCGTCACGAGGACAGAAGATGACTGGTACTTCCATCACAGCACCAGGAGACAATATATCTGGTTGGAAGTCCATCTCTAGGTAAGAGGTGTTCCTGAACTGGCACTGGACACTGAGGAGGGGGAGATAGAGCACAGAAGATTTTCAAATCAAATTCCTATTCTGAGTAGAATAAAGTCATGTCTTTCTGGAGTAGACACACATGGATAAAAACACACACAAGTACCTGATGTCCTTTTCGCCTTTGTTGCTGATCATTAGAGTCTGTGAGGCCGGCTCCATGCCAGGACAGTACAGGAAGCACTTGCCAAAGTTGTACTTGGTGAAGGAGAATTCAATGCTAGGTGCCACAGCCCTGCCTTTAATTGCAAAGGTAAATGTGGCCCCATGCTGTACCTGACAGGATGAAACATGAGGGGAAAATACAGGAGAAAGAGGTATGGAGTGGACAGAGAAGGAACGAATCAATAAAAAATATCATATTATCAAAAAATCATATTTGTGCAGTGGCATTAACTAATCTACTCTAAACTGCTTTACAGTGTAGTACAGATGTAGCACTGCAATTGTATTTGGTGACTAGACATTAATGTTAAATGCATCTGATCAACCAGTCATTTACGTTAGGGGGAATAGAAACACTAGTGGCCATTTAATCACAGGAAGCCAAACTATCTTGCTGATCCTTTAAAGCACTGCAACTCATTAAATGTGATAAGAGATCAGGACCTCACCTTGATATTCAGTCTGACATCCTGCAGGTTACAAATGTTCTGGGGACAAAAGAGGAGTGACAATTGCAGCTGCTTCCCAAAGTCAACAGTAGCATTCTGTGGTTTTGCTTCCAAGTGTTGCAGCAGCTTGCTGGGACCTGTTAGTTCAAAGTTCACTTCCAGGCTGCATCTTGCCAGATTGGACACCAGGAAATTAAAGGTGGATTGCTCTGTAATCTCCACCTACACACAGTGTATATACACACACACACATAAAAGGAGGTGACACGTTAAGGCATGTGATTGTGCATGTATTGTGTCTATGATGTGGAAGTGCGCTGACCTTTTCAAAGTCCAGAGTTTCTTGGTGGTTGGGGTTGATTTCTCTGAGGCCTCCACCTGGCTTCTCAACTTGAACAGAAGCACTCATGGTGAAACAATTGGCCTTAACTGTGAGTGCAAGCGGTTCTGACTTCCTCTTTACTCTCAGAACCAATCTGAAGCTCTTGTAGCCATCGAGGCAAGGTGTGAAGGACACTGACAATGGCAACCTGCACCAAAGAGTTCACAACAATTGACAAATACACTGCTCACCATGACTTCCTATATCATGCTATAATAGAGTTGTACCAAAATTAATTGTCAGTAAACAACAAACAACTATCTGGTGCCAGATACAAAATATATCATGCGCAAGTCAGTGATTGTGTTTTCTAAATGACACTGACTCATTTTAAAACCTTAAAATGAATATATACCATTTTGGTATAGAGGTCTTTATATTGAGTAGTTTTTAGTGTATGTTACAGTGTCATTAACCTGTTTTTGGGTGAAACTGTGCCAGTTGTGGGCTGTAAAATGAGGCTGGACTGCTGGTCATTACAGAGAAGAGATGACTGCATGACAGAGAAGTTGAAGGGCTCCTCCTCTCCATTTACCAGATCGACTGTCTGTTCCACTTTGCGACCTGTGAACGGCACGCACACACACATTGCCTTTAGAATAAAATCTGAATCTCTATTAAGGTCAACTACTGCATACCCTATCCTTAAAACCCAACCTCAACCAATGTGGCTACACATCTGATCTTAACCTTTATCTAAACCCTAATCTTAACACAGATCTAACGCTAACCTTAACCATAAAATAAAGTCCTGGTGTCTTTTGAGGATCACCTCAAAAGACAGAGATTCAGGATCACTCATGTACAAAGGTATCAGTGGTAAAGCATCTTTACAGGTTTAGTATGTACCATAGAATTTTACTATAGCAGAGGTCAGTAATTAGGTTCAACCAAGGTTTGTTTTCAGATTTTAATTGAGTGCAGATGTCATTTTTTCCCATTATTACAGTAAGTGAAGGCTTTCAGAGTTAAAGAAGTTCATAATCATTTGTCAAAAACTGAGTCATACAAGAGAATGCATTAAACATGAGACTAGAGATTTAAACAATAAGTTATCCAACCACCCATGATAAACAGTGACTTGCTTCGTCAGTGGTTGCAATCTGTTAGGTCGCATAGACATTAGAACACTGCGTTTCAATTCCCATGGTACTTGTTCAATTATAATTGAAGTGGATTATATTATTTATCTGTTATTTATATGATACATTTATAGGACTTTATTTCACTACGCACAGTTCTAATAGCCCGGTAGCACAGAGCGAGCTTGGCAGTCTGCATGTCTCTCTAAATAATAAATACTAATACTATACTCACTTAATAGGCTATTTCTTTTGACAACTTTTGTTTTCTTGTCACTGATGTTTAGCCATCATTCTTTAGACAATTTACTACTCCCCATTTACTTTTCTTCGCAGAAGTGAACCAAATGTTGAGATAAAGGCCTAATGTGTGTATTTTTTAGGTTTTCTAGCACACCTAAAAGTCAAGAAAGTCTCACAACCCCCATGAAGCTATGGCGACCCCCAGGTTAAAGATCACTGCATGTATGGTGTACCATACACGGATGTAGGTGTAGGTATGTTACATACCAACAAGGAGTTCTCCAAAGTCAAGGTGTGGTCTGTCAAGATACACAAGTGGTTCTCTAGTAGTGCCCACACACAGGAAGGGGACAGACAGTGACAGAGTCTCAATCACAAAGCTCCAGAATGACTCCACTGCATCTAGCTGCTCAGCTGCATATTCAAAACACACCTGCACATACAGACACAAACACACACAGACCACAGGATTACAAATGGCTAAAGATTTTCGTGAAAAAGAGAGGACATTAAGAAATGTTTGAAAGAAAAAAAAAAAAAAACAAGGTTGAAAGTGAGTGAGAAGAGTAATGATGAGGAAAAGTGGAAGGAAAGAGTGATGAACAAATTAGAACAGATTAGATGAGTTAAGCTATAGGGATGTAACAATACACTCATTGGGTTCTTGACATTTTTTTTAACAAAGTAAGATTGAAGACTGAAGATTATAAAAAGTAGATACCACCCTTTGATGAATATCACAATAAATTTTTAATCTTTAGATATTTGTATTGCAATTTAACTGACTCACAATATTTCTTTACATTCCTTTTCAGCTATAAAATCATAAAACAAGATTTACAAATTTAAAATGGTATTATATTAAATGAAAGGAATTAGATTGGATTTGTTGTGATAAAGTGGGACATGGGGAGACTGACTGATGTGCAATGAAATAGGGAAGGAAGGGATGAATTAGAGGACAAACTCTAGTTGAAGGCAACTGGAAGACAAGCACAGCATACAGAGATTTCACTGCGTGTGTTTCTATCCTTACTTCCACTTTCTTCCCAGGCTGGATGGTACCACATGGGGTGAGGCAGCAGAATGGGCTGCCACCTGTGTCTTCACACCTCCACTTGAATGAGTATGGTTTACTGGTTGGGTTCCACACACTAAAACATCTGTGCAGTAAACCAGGAACACACATACATTTCAAAGTGTTAGGGCATACACTGTTAGAGATAAAAAGCTCTAATCTCTCTCCCTCTCTGTCTGTTACCTTGTCGAGGGCACAGAAAATCCAACAGCACTGAATTCTATGACCCTGGTGTTGGGGTCCAGATGGCTTGTGAATTCAGGGTTAGAGCGGATCCTACTGATATAATCTGAGTCATCCAGGTCAAAGTGGCAGTAGGGCAACAGGCTGCGGCCACACACCAAGATACAGGGAGCCTGATCCCCATCCTGCAAGTTGGGGATACTGAAAGAACAGTATACACATACAGACAAAAAAGTTTTTGGGATTATTCTTGTAAAGACATCCATTCACTTCCTCACAGATGCCTTCCGGGGGAGTATAAAATAAGGAAAGAAAACTACAAACAGATGTAATTTAGGTTGCAAGCGTCAGGCAGCTCAACTTATTTTTTTCAGTACATGTCTGGTGCAGCCAGGTAAACTTTGGAAAAGCAGTCAGACTACCTCATCCCTTTTAACTGTAACAATTTTCAGTATGGCTCGAGGAGCTCTGTCATAGAGTATTCACTTCTTCACTGTTATGTAACTTGGCTAATCTTTGTTCATTTTAATTTATTTACCTGCAGAATAGCCTGCCCTCAAACTGGGCCACCTCCAATGGTGAAAAGCGAATGCTGAAATTCTGCATTGCACCAGGCTCTATGGCTCCTATACTGGGCTCAATGCTGAAGGACGGGAGCTCAGGATTTCCCATTAGAAGAGACATCACGCTGGCCAGAGCGCTGGCAGGACGGGCTCCAGTTAACACTCCTCCTGACCTGCTGCCTGGTCGAGAGGTAAGGGTCCCATCTGTTACAGACAACACGTTCACATTTATAGCTTGGAACATACAGCTATGGCTAAAACAGTTAATTCTGATATTCAAGGTCAAATCAAATGCTGACAACACATGCTTGTCCTCATGCTATACAATAAAATTAAAGCAATATTGTACATATACTATATATACCTCCTTGGTCATGGTTGACAATGTTCTTGCTAGGATCCATGATGACTTGTAGGGAGAATTCCAGCTTGACAGCACCATGATTCTCTATCTGCAGTCTTCACACACGCACAAACAATAACAATATATGGATATGAAAAAAAATGTAATTCATGATTTGAAATCATTATACATGCTTTACTAAACACTATTGTGACTAGACACTAGTGTTTCAAAAAGGTGTGTTGGGTTAAAAAAAAAATAGCTATGGCTGTATAGTTAATTTTGGTTTAATGAATCAGCAAATTCTCTCCCCAGAGCCTGACTTACTGGTGGAGCCTGGTTTGGTAAAGCATGGTGTCTTTGAAGTGTATGGTGTCTGTGTTGCAGCTGAACTTCACATAGTCACAAACTGCACTGATACGCAATTCCAAGTCCCACTCGGAGCCCTCTACCACGGAGCAGCTGGGCTCAGGATCTGTCTTTACCACCTGCATGAAAAAATAAACATGTTTGCTCAATAATAATTGTGACTTGGTAACTGTCTCTTAAACATCTCCTTCACATCACCAGTCAGCATGTTTACCTTATTGTTCCCAGGCTGCTGTGGTGCTCCTGAAGCCTGCGTGGAAAGACTCAGCCACTGCACCGTCCTCTGTCGGTCGTCCCAGTCAGCCACCTGCTCTAGTGGCTGCTGGAACTCCACCTGACAGACCTTGCATATCATTGGCACTCTGGTCAGAGTCACTGGCTGATTGGAGCAAAAGGTGACAGTAACTTCCTTAGAACAGCCAGCATGAAGGTGTCCCACCTGTAAGAAAAAGCAGATTCTTTTTGATCACATACAGCAAAGTATCATCCAAAGCAAACAGTTAGAAGCTAAAAAGTAAATCAAATAAAATGTTCCCACAGATGTTTTCTGTCATTTTAGATCTAGCCCTGTTCTTATCCACTGATGCTCTTTTTACAGTGGGCAGAAATGGAGTTACTTTGTCTATCTTTATATATGTTAATGGGGCAGGCCCAGATTGGTGGCCTGGAGACACAAAACAACCACAACGACAGCAAAGAGACTAATCTGCACAAAGATCTAAAACCACACACACTATCCATTCATGAATTTAGGCGCATCATAAAGAATGTGGTAACCTAAAGATTTACTTGCTTTACTAAACTTAATTTATTGAATACCTTACTGAATAATTGATGTAAATATTATTATTATTATTATTTGGTGAATCTGTGCCCCGTTTATTAAAATGTTTCTCAACCTGAGCCTGTTCTTCAGTCACACCTGCATTTCTTTCTTTTCTATACCTGTGGTGAAAAGTACACATGGGTTCCAGCAGGAGGCCACTCAAACTTCACCACCTGGCTGCTGCTGTGATTGATCATGGTGAAACTCTCTTGGTAGGGACAATCTACATGGCAGTCACCAAAATTCAGCAACTCATAATTACCTGAGAGAGAGAAACAGGCCTTCAAAATCCAGGATAAGTAACAAGCTGCTATGTTAATAAATCACAACATTCTCAGCCTTTCTCTGTGCCCATCAGGGAGTGACTGCTACTCACTCAGGCTGATTCCATTCTTGCCCTCCTTTCTTCTCTTACCTCCCTCATCATCTTCCTGATCTATTTCCTGCGATGACCTGCTGATGTTGTCAAGAGATACGATTTCCTGGTAAGCTTCTCCAGTCACTTGTATTATGGTATTGCTGTACTGGTTGTCCTCCACCTGCAGTGACATCTTGGCCTTGGCAGTCAGAGGCTTATCAGAGCAAAAACTGACCTCAAACTCCACTTGCTCGTTCACATTCAGTCTCAGGATGGCTCTGTGTACCCACTGATGCCCTGTGGAAGAAGGGAAAGCATCACCAACAAAAATGCATCATGCCGCATGGGGCCACAGATTAGAATTGATCGTGAGCTACTGTGTGCCCCACAATTTTGTTTTCGAATGAAAATATTCTGTTAGTGCATCTTTCCTGTTGGGGAATACCACTGTATAGGTGAAAAAAAAAAAACTCAAATCTTTGACCCACATTAAATTGCATTGTGGGTAATGTAGGCACATTACTCTTTAGAGTCAATCCAAGCAATAGTCTGTCAGTAGTATAGCATAGATTCCACTGTGCAAATTTGCTAACTACTAATTGTTTAATAGTTAGTGAGGAGGTGATGCATTCTACTAGAGAGAGTATTACAGGTTAAGGTTTTACCTGAATCAGTGGCGCCCTCAAGCTGTGTGGAGTGGATGGAGCTGCAAGTGTTGCCAGGAGCAGCTTTGAGGATGAAAACTCCATGTTTATCCAGCATGTCAATCTGGACCTACACAACAGAGAGAGTCACAACAAACCCTTATTGATGAAATCCCCCCTTCTTTAAGAGTTCTTAGATCTTACCTCTTGCATTATTTTTCAAAAATGTTTTTGAACTTCACCAGCCAAAACATGTCAGGCAGCACAACTAAATATATATATATTCCTACTATTGATTTTAAGGGAACTCTTTAGTAAGTATCCCCAACAATGATTATTGCATTCTATTGGCAAGGTATTTAGTATCTTAAGCTTCCAATTTTACATTTAGAGACAAAAAAAATATTATACAAATACACAAAAGAATACATGCAGACAACATTACTAATCAGTAGAATGCTGAATAATTGACATTTGGCAAGTTACCATGGTACAAACAGGATAATAGCCTACCAAGAGTCCATGATCAGGAATTAATGGACTTTGCTGTGTGTCACACGGTTCAGGTCTCCACGTTGTCCTTAATTCCTGATAATGGAAACCTCGTTGGGCATTATCCCTTATAGATGTGCTTCTCTAGCAGCTGAATCACTTGATAGTGGCAATATAATGAAAAAGGTTTTGAAGTGTATAACATTGTTAACTTAAAACTATTTTAGAAGTGTATTAGATAGTCTTAGACTTTTAAATAACATTATTTATTTTATATAGTGACATTCCCTGCAGTTGTACCACCTGACTTTTGCAACTTATTTCAAATTAAGGCTTCTAATTGGGCACATGTGTTAGCCTTTGGCTTTATTAGCAAGTTTATACATTTCAAACAAAATAAAGAATTTTATGATAAAATAACATGTTCCTAATTTTACCACCTACTGGTTGTACCACACATGAAAACCTGACAAACCTATTTTGTTTAGCTATTTCTGTCTATATTTGAGAGAGCTCTAGAAATGTTTTCACTCAGCCATAAAGGTCACTTGGGGTCCTGCTCTGGCCTCTGCAATATCCAGTTAACTCTTATAACCTCTTTACTTCAAAATAAAAGTCCTATGGTACGGTTGTGTCACCCTGACATTTGATAACATACAAATTGCTGGGCAATTTTTAATTATTTTAATTTTAAAATGATTGGTATTTGTTAAATTTGGTTTATTTGAAAGGTTTCAAACATAGAGTCATGCCATGGTATTTTGCTTTGAATTTAAAACATTAAACATTAAACATTAAAACAATAAAATAATAAAATATGACTTTAAGTACTTTTCTTAGTAGAAAATATAATGGTGCTAAAAGAAATGTGTTGATTTGTTTTGCAGGCAGTCCAAATCAATAATAAAATAAAAGGATAAAGGAATATGTCTCTCCTCTTACCTGAGCTGGAACATTTCCATCATTTAGCAGCACCAAGGTCAGGGTGTGTCTGCGCCCTACCAATACCCGTCTGAACTGCAGCATTGGGCTTCCTCCCCTGTTCTTTAGAGCTGGACGCACCACACACACACTTGGCAGAGTGCCCTCTCCTATTAGCTCAAACTCCAGCACCTTAGACTTTAATGTGGGTGTCATTCTGGATCTGACAGAGAAAGGAGTAGGTGGGCAGTGGTCAACAGGCCAAAGCAAGATGCGATACTACTCACTTACTATACTCAGTAGTATTAGAAATAAAAGGACAAACAAGCAGCAAAGGGAACACTAAAGTAACATACACTTTCATGCACTCATATACCTGCTGCTTCCCTCCATTGTGGCCTCAAATACAGCACTATAGAGCTGCATCGTCTGGGGTGTGAATGTGACCACAGCAAACGAGTATGACTGGCTAGGAATGCTCAGTGTTGTAGCAGACAAATCAAAAACCTCCATGTTCCGGGATGTCTGTAAGAACATACAGAATATTTTATATTACCATCTACCGCAACATTTATCAAATACAGTATCTACCCACAGAGCTTTACATGTCTTACCTTAGCACCAACATATTTGATGGCCAAGCTGAGCACGCAGGGCACCTTGCTGTTGTTGGTGAGTTTGAAGCGGGCTTGAGCGGTTCGCCAGACCAGGACTTTGCTGAAAATAAATTTGTTCTCATCCTGGACGTAAATGCCTTCAGCATTGCAAAACTGCTCCGAGGAGAGCTGACTGCTGTTGTGACACAGATGGTGTTCCTCAAAGATGGAGGCCATGTCTGATGCTATGCCTGGAAGGCAAAAAGAGGAGAGTCATTTAAAGTTTTAGACAAAAGAAGAGCACTTGAAGATTAAGACAACTTTTGCCCTTGATGTAGGACTTCTAAATGTGAATGCTGTTGTGATCATCAGTTTTGAACTCATATTCTCCTATGACAGAGAAATGTAAACAGCAGTACGCACTGTTTTCCTGAATGGCAATGGTTTGTGGCCATATTTGTGATCTCAGGAGAATTCATGCATGTGACATGTATGGAACAGAGGTCAGGTTTATTAATCAGATAAGACAGAAAAACACCTGGTTTAGACATTGTATTAACATGCATCTTGGATGATCTGATCACAAGTGGACAATTCTAAGCACACCAATTCACACCCAATTTTGTCAGTCAATGTCCATTATTACTCTCATTTTGGACGTTCAATATGAAGATTTGACTATTCTGTCTTTTTTCTCAGTTCAGTGCCACCCTTAACTCCTATATTAATGTGAGTCACATGTTTTACCGGCGCTGTCAGTGTGACAGATGGAATAATGGGTAATACCAACAAGTCAGAGCAAGCAACAAATGCAACCCAGACCACCTCTGAATGTGGTCTGAGCAAAGGAATCTCAGTGTGTCCTGGGTGCAATCACACCTCTAGTTAGAGCTATCCACATGTGATCGGATCACCTAAGACACATGTTAATACCAGGTCTAAACAGGGCCTAACATCATACAGCTCTCACCTGGCTTGCAGACTTCAGCTAGAAGTCCGTATGGTATACCGTTAGGCTGGTCTGAGGGGTCACGGTCACTGATGTCAATGAGCAAACCCTGGTTCCAGTTGCCCAGCTCTTCAGCTACACATTCCACTGTCACCACCTGCTGAGATCCTGGCTGCAGGCTTCCTGTGCAAGGAGACACTGAGAAGACCCCCATGGTGATGCGATGATTCTGGAGAGAAACATGGGAGGATCAGAGTGATACAAATGAGAATACTGGGGAAACTAGTAATAACTCAAAATTCCCTGATTTGCTTCATCTGTTTTTTTTTACCTTTCCTTAAAAAGTAAATGTTTTATACTTAACATGTTGTTTTACTTTGTTGACCTGAATGAATCTTGTAAACCTGAACCATCACAGCACTCTTTTTTATTTTATTTAGTGTTAGTGTTGTGTAAATACAATGTCATCAGGACCTTTTATAACATAAAATACGGGCATATTTTCATCCCTGCATTCAGTGCTCATCAGTGGAGCTCCATATCAACCATACAACCTTTTTTGGCCACTGAGCTGCTTGCTGGATTGGTATGCTGCTGGAGTGAGCGGATGGCTAGTATGTTGCAACTCAGTTGTTTATTTTATTTTATTTATTTAATTATTATTAAGTATTTGCTGAATCTCTGAACTTTTGTTTGTAGTTAGTGTGGGTTTATGTTTGTTATTTTTGCCTAGGAGACCCTGACACCTTATTTGCTTATATTATTTTTGCCATTTTGGATGCTTTGGAAATCACATGCTGAAAAGAGTCTCCGCAACAGGGAACAAAACCCAACTCTGTCCCGCCTATGTGCCGTGTTGGGTCCGTATCCCATTTGACAAACATGTAGAGGATCGTCCAAACAAAACAAAAGCTGCATCAATCAAAAGGCACTTTCATTGCTGTCATCTCCACTAGCAGTCACTTACCTGTGGAATACTTGTGTCTTTGTGGAAGGAATCGTGTCTCACTTTGCTACTGGTACCAGTGGGCTTCACTGATTGGACCTCTTGAGGTATCTTCTTGCCCGGACACCTGAGACCAGCATACAGGGACACAAACATAACTTCATTTAAACATCTTTCTAAGAAGGACTTATGTGGTGGACATTGTGCTCTGTGGCATTTAATGTATGCAAACACAAATTTGTACCTTTAGGGAGCCATGACTGATCAAATGATTAAATGTTGGGATACATTTTTCAGGTCCACAATGCATACATTTTTTGAGAGCAATATATTTTCATTCCTTGTAAAATTATTTTAAATTATTAATCCTAGCACTCCAAACTCAATTTAGTTTTTTTGGAAAAGTGTATCCCTGTTTGTTTGTTTGTGTGTGTGTGCTCTGTTCTCTTACCCTGGTCCCAATGGAGCAGGGTCCATAATGGTGCGGCAGATGGTGAAATAGGTTTCAAAGATTCCATTGTTGTCAATAGTGAAGATCTGTCTTTTCTTGGCGCCATAGGCCAGTGGACCAAAGTTGATGTCACATGCAGGTGTGATCTTATACCTGCACAGAAATTCAGACAGAAATTCTCAATTTGTACTCAGGCGGAATTTAAGAACTGCCCTATATCAACAAACTAATGAAGCTTGCAGATTGTGACAAGATCGTAAGTAATACATTCTGATAACTTCAATAAAGCAATACATGCACTAACTGATGACAAATGGTACAAAAACAAGGAAAGATAATCATACAGAATCCAAAAATAAAGTTTAGTGTGGAGATTAAATAAATTCCAATTTCATATTAAAGAGACAGAGAATCAAGCCTTAACCTGGAGAAGACGGAGTTGACCGAGACCTTAATGGTTAAGACGGCGATGGTTTCTCCTCCATTTCCAATGTTGGGTTCAATCACCTGCAGAAGAGAAAAAAAATGAAATCTTAACTTGTGTAGCATCCAGGAAATCATCAGCAGATTTGATAACATTTTTTTTTTTTTTAAATCACCTCATTCCATAAAGAAATAAAATAGCAAATCTATTCTGGTTGCAGTTAAAATGTGCCTTGAAAGCTTCAATGTAAGAAATTGAGCCACATTCCATTAACTCATGAAGCAAATTGTACTGTCATGACTTTGTTTCTGCCTTGTGTCTCATACGAACAAACACCAAATTAGGAAAAACCAGACAAAGCACAGGCACAATGAAACAACAGCTTGGGAGCATCTTGTTTCCATATTTAATTGACAAGTGTGTACAATTTAGTGGCATCTAGTGGTGTGGTTGCGAATATGCCTGTGATATTTTAAAAGTGCACACTAAAAACTGCTGTCTTTTAGCTAGAGAAGAAGGCAGAGTGGAGGACATACCTCTTTTATCATTATGGTTATGGTAGGTATAGGTATAGGTAAATGCATATGGTATGGTATAGTTATGGTACCAACAATTATTTAACAAATCTTTTCCATTCTACTATGACTTCAATATATACAGTAGTTAAACTTCCAGCTGTGTGATAAGCAGTGTACGACTCAGACCTGGCATGACAAGAGAGTTTCCTCTCTGATTAAGACTTCTGTATTGGTTCTGCAGAGGATCTGCACTGTTGTGGGCTTCTCGTGTGGCATTAGAGTGCCACTCTTGGGGGACACCGTGAAAATGGAGTCTAAGTTTGGCAGGGGTGGGTTGCTCTGTTGAACTGTAAACCTTGTGGACAGAAAAGAATGCAAGTGAACAACATGACTAGTTCCATGGTGAGAGAAAGTTAACAAACAGTGAAGTGGAATTCAGACTGATAGTTTAATACTATGGTAAACTGTTAATACTTTAATATGATAATACACCCTTTAGTACTATGGTCCACTGTCAAAAACCTGGCAGTTCAAACTCACTTGTAGGCTATTTCATATTTTCCTTGGTTTTTCATTCTGAGACACAGTTTGGCTTCTTCAAAGACTTTGATGATTCCAAAGTCCAGAGTGCAATCTGCCATAGAAACAAGATTTTATTTTTAATTATTATGACATCACGGCTGCAGCTCAGTCACTAAGTGGGTAACACTGTCACCTCACAGCAAGAAGGCACTGTGTTCAAATCTCAGTAAGTATTCCATTTGCCTTAATAAATTAAAAGAGAAATAGAAAATTGGAGATTAACTTTGGATTTATGTGAAATGTTTGTAAGGGAGGCCACCAGTTTCTACCTGGTGAGATGTCCAGAGCTATATCATAGGCTTCAGCAGTGACCTGAATGTTTTCGGTGTGTACGATTCCTAGAATCTTCTCCACATCGGATACCTGAAAGAAAACAAAATGTTATGACTATAACATTTGTTTCCAGAAGGAGAGGAATGAAGTACAACACATATATACAGTATATAGTATAGGATATCACACCCCCACATGGCCTGACTGAAGATGGGCTTAGCCACCTGACATTACATTTCTCAACTGAACCTCTTAAATGTACTTTAAACTTGAAAGTTTGAGAAAGGACATCATGTCCCTTAACCAGAAAGGTGCTAATGGAGGTCTAGATGATTTCCACGAAATCAGAATCCTCCTTTGTCCTTTGAAAACGCCATAACCTGCCTATATGGCACGCACGTTCAGCATGTCTATAGGGGCCCCAAAGATGGCAATAAAAGGACATGGCTACATATGCATATTTTGAATGTTAGATAAAGGTTTGAGAATGACAAAAATAAAACATGGCTAAGATTGGCAGGGGAGTGACAACACCAGTCACATCTGCTATTCACATATGGGTATTTTCTGCTTTGGAATAGTGGATCGTAGGAAGGACCTTCAGTTGTAGGAGACTCAATTGTGCACATGCCTCATCCCACTAGTTGTCTGAAAGCTCAACATCAATTTCATTCTCCCAAGTAGCTTTACCATGGACAACACATTCATTGTTAAATGACATACGGGAAAGATAAATCAGAGAGATTAATGATTCCTGACTGGGCCTGAATTTGAATAGCTCTTCCCAGGGAAACGGAGTTGGCAGTGAAAGAAAAGAAAGGATTTAAGTGGATAGATCATTTTGTAACTGAAAATAACAGAAGAGATGAGAGAGTGGCAACTTATGTTTGATCAACTGGGATATAAAGCTAGAGAAGGTATTATTATGATAAAGGCTCGAAAACAGGTAATCCTCTGTCTTTTCCACAAGGAAAACAAGGAGTCCATGACAGAAGGGAGGAAATTACCTACATTAGAAGCAGTAATGGATTTGAAGTAATGCCAGAACTAGTTTTCCTTTCCTGTGAGTGCAGCTTTACAGTATTAGCATTGCATGTTGACAGTGCTGTAAGATGAAAGTACAACGAATGTTGAGGAATAGTGATATGTACAACTGGTACTGTTAAATTGTTTGAAAGGTGCATTGGAAAAGGGTTTGCTCAAATTTTGTAAATTGGTTTGGAGTGGGTTACATTGTGGGACTAACTTCTTTGTTGATTGTCAGAACTGTGTATGTCCTGTTTTTCTGTTTGTATTTTGTGAGTTAAGAAAACCGAAAAAAATAAATGCCAGAAATAATTTTAATAAAACAGTAATTTTTACTAAAGGTGTCACTAAGGTCATACTGGGGTGTGATATCTCATACTATATGTGTTGTACCGAGTGTCAACTGAAAGGAAAAGCTATAGACAAACAGATATATACTCACAAACAAATATCACTTTAGAAACTTATCTACTGTACACAAGCCTCATCCTTGACATTTGAAGGTTCTTTCTTTGTCTCCCTATATCTACATTGGAATATCACTTCCATAATGCATATTGAGGCTAGATGCAGATAGTACTTTTGTGCACTTGTATAGTTTTACTCTACCTCCAAACGTAAGATCTTCTTTATGTGGAGTGGCTTCCTGGCTCTGAAGTGCAAGCTCAGGGGGAAAGAGGAGTTAGGTGAGATAATGCCCTGATCCTGTGGCACACTGAACTCATCACCCAACTCCTCCACACCCTGCAGTCTCCAGGATACCGGAAGAGCTGTTTTATTATGCAGCATCACACTACGGGTGTCCCTCCTAGAGAGATGGATGGAAGACGGTAGGTTGAACAGAGAAAAGGACAGAGAGATAGAACATTTTGTTGTCAGCATTAGTACAGTATTTATCATGCAGCTTCTCACTGTGGGGGGAAGATATTGTGAAAAATACCCTAGAAATTGTCTTCCCGGATTTAGTATTTTATATTTTGGTACCTGTGCAGCAAAATCCTGTCAAAGTGCAAATGCTTGCTTTCAAGCTCCAGCTCTGGCCGAACGCCCCAGCAGGAGAGGTTGATGATGACAAGCTCTGGATTGTCCTTGATATTGCAAACAACACTGTCCTTCATTTGTCCAAGTTTTGTTGGGTAGGCCCACACTGTCAACTCCTGGCAGGACAGAAAAAAATATAAATGTACAAATGCTATTACAGTCATTTGTGTTGAACACAAAAATGATCTCAACCGGTATTTCCCTCTGCTGATTTAGTCAAAGATTTGAATAAGAAGTAAGATCAGTGTTAATAGACAGTGCTGTAGTACCTGTTTCTGGTTAGGGTTGAGAGTCATGGCTGGGGGGTCCAGCAGATATGTGGTTGCTTGGGTATCATGCTGGAAGTGGAACTGGACCTCAGCCTTCAGACCTGAATTGTTATGAATCACCAGTCTCTCTGTGTTCTCTGGGTACCTATTTTCCTTGTATCTACACAAACACAGACATATAAGGTAGCCAGGAGGTGTTGAACAAACTGCAAAAGCCACAACACACATTAATGCAAAAGCTTAAAGTGAGACAGTGGTAACAGTGGATCTATTTTTTTAATTTTATAACATAATAATAATTAATATTATTATGATATGATTTTCTTGTGATATTCAAGACAGATTTTGCCTGAAAAAGTTGCCTTTGTTTTTCAGAAAAATAGAAATAGTTTTCTCTTATATTTTCCTTAATAATTACATTACATTAACTAATTGCTCTTATTGTCTTATTCATAAAGGCTTTTGTTACACTTGCAGTGGCGTGCTGAGTGTGGCTGTGTCACCCTTCTACCGCAGAGGCAGCCCCGCCGATGGCTTTATCTTTACCTCTTCCACTGCTCACTGTTTAAACATACTGGCATCATATGAAACTAAATGACCTAATGCATCCATTGGTACCAACCACATCATGCTAACATGTTGAGAAGGGGTCTAAATAATGCTCCAAAGTTTGACTAAATTGGGCGATGGAAAAACTGGTATGGCCATATTCAATGCCCCACCAGACAAAAATCACCCCTGGCTGTCACACTGACACACAGAGTTCAGCAGAGTGGAGAGGTGGACAGTGGCTGACAATGGCTGCACCGTGCATGAAAGCAATGTGAGTAAAAACAGCCGTGTGACCGATGACGTAAAACAAATGATCGGATTGGCTCAATAAAGCTCAATATAGCCGACACTGAAAGGATGACAGGTGCTGATACCGACCTTTAAGAATGGATCAGGACATCCCTAATACCTATATATAGTATATATGATAAATAATACAAAACATAATAATAATCATGATAATAAACAGAATAACACTTAACAGAAATATTCAGGAAAGACCATTAGTGCACATTTTATTTCATGGGATACGGTAAAAGACCTAGACAATGGATAGGGGTGCGCTGGCCAAAAAAAAGGTTAAGAATGTCTGTTTCCACTGGCTTTTACATTCATGTTGTGGCTTTTGCAGTTCATTTGACACCTCTCAACCACCGTAAACATAGATACATGAATCTGTAAATTCAAAGGCAAAGACTAGTTCAAGTAAGCCATTCACTGCCATCACTCTGCCTCTCACCTATCCCTGGTCTTGCCACAGAGTAATGGTCCAAACTCAAAGTATCCAGGTTTGATTACGTAAGTCTTCTGGAGCTCCTCTTCCATTTGTGGCACCTTCTTACTGAGGGCAAAAATAGTCCTGGGAAAACCACATATTATAATTTTAACTCCAACTGAAATCACAATCAGTCAAGACAACTTTTGAGCAAGCATCAATGGCAATCAGAAAATGACACTGATTAATTAGATACAACATAAAAAGGAGGAGCTGGGGTGGAGTTGGGTTGCAGAACGGCTTGTAGAGGAAGCAGCAAAGATAGGCAGGCTTAAGCAGCTTAAATAAGGCGTTATGAATGATATTTGCAAATTGGATGCTTGAGGGAATCAGCTGAGCCATCAGCTGATGTGTGTTTACGATTAGCTGTGATCAGCTGATATAGCTGGAATTGAGAGCTCAGCCTGACTTTGTGGCCTGCTTGAACTAATGCTATGCTTAATATTACAAATACAGCATATGTATATGTAGTGAAGCTGACTCACAGATTGGATTGATTGTCTTTTTAACAACCGTTTTAAAATCCAAGAAATCAATATGTATACTGTAGCAGAAAAAAGTTTCAATTCAGTTGGACCTTTGAAATCTTACATTTGCCATAAGTGGCTACATTAAAGTAATATTGAGCACATACATATTGGGTGTAATATCAAAATGACAATAAGGTTATTAAACAATGCTTACTAAAATACAAACTTACTTACTTGTAGTCTTTGCAGATAGAGGCATAGGTGCAAATTCCTCTACAGAGGAGCTGGTAGTGTCTCTGGGTCCCCAGGAGCTCAAAGTTATATGTCTGTTCAAACTTCCCTGGCGAGTCTGAGTAGAACCAGATCTTCAGAACCACCTCACCTTTGGCTGGTACGACCCAGCGATATGTTGTCAGGCTGCACACAAATACATGCACAAACAAACACAAGCACTTAGTATAACAACAACAAAGCAAAAAAACACAATGCAGCCTTGTAGAGTTTGTCTGTGTGCTTGCCCTTGCCTTTGGTTGCGTTTCTGCTCTAAGGTTCCTTGGTGTTGGTCTTGTTGTGTTGGTTCGTTGCAGTCAGATGTGGAGGACACGTGTAACAGTGTTCGTCTCTTGCTCTTCTGACTCTCTCTGCCCCTTTTATCCTTGTCCTTTGTTACTGCACTCTCCTTAATGCTGCCCTTGCTGCGACTTTTGGAAGGTGTTGCTGCTTCTTCCTTTAGTGCACAAACACACAAAAACAATACATATGCCAGGGTTGGGGGAAGATCAATCCAGCACAGGATCCAACCAGCAGTTAAAATCCCTGCCAAGTATAATAGAGTTTAAACTTAGATCAGGTAAAGAAGACTAAAAATCCCACGTTGTCCATGTCTGGGGCATAGACATTGGTGAACACCCACCCTCCGTGACATGAAGCAAGAATTATGAGAACCACAGGTTAAAAACAACAATGCATTTCATCTTTGCAAATTGAAAGTACGTGCTAGTCTGAATATAGAGCGGAGAAGTGTGCATGTCAAGATACATGTGTAAACAGGCTCTTAGTTTTCAGCAAGTTAAATTAAGTCCTGTTGTCAGTTGCTAGTGCCTTTTGGTGTTGGGGCAGCAGCACAGACTCCATTGTTAAGTTAGCCGCATAATCAATGTTTTTCCTGGACATCCCAATCTTTCATTTACTCTTGTCATTTTGAGGCAGATATGGTTAAAAGAACAGAAAAGTGCCAAATACGCTCATCACTTATCATTTTTAAGTGACCTGCCATTTAACTTCAACCTATAGTTGTTCCATAATATAGTGGGAAAGTTATTAAAAGGATTATAAAAGGGTATTAATAGGTTGAACATGTTCTTACATAAGAGGCCTCAAGAACATACACCAAGCCATAACATTACGTTATGTTATGGCTGATTGGTGTTATGACCACCAGGGTGCCCAGGTGGTCATAATCGTATGGCTGATCGGTGTATTTAAGGAATGTTGGAAGATCTGACAATGGTCTGCAAAAAGAAATTTAGTATCATAAGCCTGTGTGACCATGATAAAGATAAGTGGTAGCTTGTACTTAATGGCTGGTAAGTTCTTAGCACTATTTATTCTTCAAATTTTGACCACATTTCTTGGAAATCATGTTGCTTCTTGCCATGAAATGATGTGGCTTCTTTGGACCAGATCATCACTTTCACAGTGCTAATTTGGCAAATGTGTGTTTAAGTGTATAGTCATGTGGTGTTAAAGTTAAGTCAAGTTACCATTACCTTTACAACTGATGTTGGTACATCGTCCTCTGCATCTTTTTTCTCCTCACCCTGTTTGTCAAGTCCCATGGGAACCAGGAAGGTGAAACAGTTACAGATGAATTCCCGGCTAGATTGCTCCCTGTTTTGGGGGAAAGGAACCATGGAGAAGGTGGTTGGAGGAGGGATGGGTGGGCCACTGGGTCCCAAACCCAAATCATCCAACAACTAATGTGATAAAAACAGAGATGGAAACAGATTAGGCAGTGATGATAACCTGATACATGCTACATGCTACATTTTGATAAGACACATACACTAAATCAGTTTAGAATACAAAACCTTACCTCGTCCAGTGGAGGCAAGGTGCTGCCTTTTAGCAGCTCTGTGGCATATGAGTCTTTCCCTGTTACATTCAGCGCAATGTGAGGGATGATGTCCTGTGGAGACACCTTGTCTCCTGCCTTGCCTGCTTCAGCTGGTGCTGCCATCTGACTGGTCATTGGAGACAGTGTCTTGCTGGCTTTCTTGCCCCTTTTGCCAACAGGGGTCTGTGTACACAGGGTGATGATGAATTAAATTGATGTGTTCCAGATTTTAGCTGTAGTAATGCTGAGATTTTCTTTGTCTATGGTAGCCATTTATTCAAACATAAGAAGGAACTAAGAGTTAATGCAGGAGGTTTGTACAGGTAGCATGTATGTTGTAAGAATGTGTACATAAGGAAAGGTATCTACCGCTTACCTTTTTAAATCTCACTCTCAGTATACAAACGTGCAAAAAATACCACAGAAATATTTGAGTATGACTGAATGCATGTGTTACCCTAAAATGTATGGTGAATAAACATTTCATGACTTTAAGTGCAAATAGAATCCCACCAAGAAGACCCCTCTAAGATACTGTACAGCATCCTGCAGAAGATCCCTTAAAACTGTAAACCGTCAATAACAAACATAATTAATTTCAGTCAGTAGTAGTGCACCTCTAAAGGCTAGCCGCACAGGAAACTGTGTTAATGTTTAACACTTGGTTTCACTTGGTTTTCTGTATCGTGATTTGATCATTCAGTTATTAAAGACAAAAAGCTAAATTATTGTTATTTAACCTATGTTTTTAATTTAAATATTATATATGTTCCTGATTTGTTTTGTTTTCATTTAGACATCTAAAATATCCCATGGCTACTTCAGCAGGCTTAATTTAATTATAGAGAAAATACAACAGTCAGCAGACTCACATGTTTCCCTGTTATGGCCTCCTCTGACAAGGTTTCCTCATTGGGGAATGGAACCAGCAACAAGCCCAGTGCTCGGTCCCAGTGCTGCAGGATGTGTTCCACCTGTTCCTGGCTCTGCTCATATGCAATAAACTGAGAATGCAGCTCATCTAGATTGGACTAGATTGGGGAGCAAACATGAACAGTAAAAACAGCAAGAAGGTTACAATTTGGATTAGGTTTAACAGTATTTATTGCATTTTCTCACATGGCAGAAGCTCAATTTAGATGTGGGGTCCGGGGTCCTTCCACAGATTAAAGGACTAAAATTGATGTGACATAAAATGTATGATGTTGTTTGTTTGTGAATACAGGACCCATTATGGCTAATGCTCCTTAATAAACCCACAATTTCTCCTTCCAGCTTGTCTGCAGGTGATCAGTAAACATAACCAGTCTTGAGAGACCGCACACAGGTCTTAAATAAGTGACCACTGACATTGGCTGGTGAAGTGAGTGTCAGCTGAGACTGTCATCTGTGGAGCTCTTGTTAAGAGATACTGTGGAGATGTTTTAAATAGTCATCGCCTGTGGCTTTTAGCATTAAGTCTGTTAAGTCTGGGATGCAAGTTGAAATAGTTTGAAGTTAGTTTACCAGTGGAAGAGACGTGAGTTTTCAAAGTCATGAAATGACCCATAGCTGTTACCTTGTTAAGTACATACAAGTATGTATTGGTACATACTGTACTGGTATACAATTACACCATAAAGTAGGGGGGAAAATGCTGCATGTTGCAGGCTGTAGTCTAAAGCTTTATGCTATTAACTTATAATGCAATACAATGAAGTTGTAGTGTGGAGTTTTGTCACTGCCTTTGTTTAGCAGTAAACCTACCTTTTCTCCTTCCAACTTGTCTGTGGATTGAGGAGACTCTGCATGTAATGCTGTGGGTTCTTCTGTCTGCTTTTGCACATTTTCAGCCTCTTTGTTATGATGTACTGTAGCAAAGAAGACCGTATGTCAACAACTAACCAATAAGATTAAAGTTTATACTATATTATTCACTACATGTTATTAACAGTTTCTGATATTAAAAAAACTATTTAAAGTGCACCTTCATTTAAATTATGTTGCTCTTTTGCATCCACTAGTGATTCTTTGGAGTTGTTACAGGAAGACATCCTCCTCCCATTCAATGCATCTGTTGACTGGAGAAGAAATGAAATAAATTAATTTCATTATCACCGATTGGGAGACTTAATAATTGTGTATTTTGGTTCACATGCAATTTTGTTCAAAGAGGATGATATTGATGTAGATGTTGGATGAGATGCATGAATACAGACCTGCTTTCCGTCCAGCCAGCTCTTCTTCCTTGAGACTTCTTTAGTATCCGTCTTTCCACCCTTTTTACTCTTCTTCTTCAACTCCTCTTCTTTTAACCTCTTCATCTCCTCCTGTTGTCTTTTTTCTTCCTGCTCTTTCACTAGCCGAGCATGCTCCCTTACACACAGGCACACACACACATAAGTACAAATATATGCAAACAGGTAATGTACACAACCTGAAAAATGAGGGGGTTAAATGAGGATTTTATCCAGGTATACAAACACATAGTACAATGTGATATCTATTTTTATCAAATGTTTTATTTATATTTTCCTATATACTTTGTTCCTCCATCACAACTGTGCTGCTTCTTTACTTTAATTGGATCATCTCTATTTCTTGGTTCACCCACTTGATTCCTTCTGCATCGGGGTTGCATTCATAATCACTGTCCAGCACCTAGGAGAGAGTGGACCTCATGCAAGAACCACTCATAAAAATGGATTTGCTCTTTAGTAGCAACTATGAGTGACTTGACACAATTTGTGGCATTCACCAATTAAATCTAATTTAGAATTTCTCTTATTTCAGTAGTTGTTGAAAATTCACTCATAGATTGTATTCACATTTAGCCTTTTTAGCAATTTTAGGGGCGCTCATTATGGTAAAGATGAATTCTCATGAACAGGTGACATTCATGACAAGTTTGTCCAGTTAAGAGAGTTGGTGAATCTGACTTGGAAATCACTAAAACAAGTTTTTGAATGAGAATAAATAAGGCACTACCTGAGTTTCCGCTGTCTGAGCTTGTCTCTATGTCGCTGGACAATACGCTCTTTCTCCTCTTCTGGCAGAGCGTCATACTCCTCCTCATCCAGCTCCTGCAGCCACTTCTCCTCCCTGTCAGCTTTCTCTTTCTGCAGAGCCTCTGAAGGACACACACACAAGTGGTACAGTGTCTATTCCTTACTGAACAGAAATAAAAATACAATAACTTTGATGAGTTCTGTCCTCTGCACACTCTGTATAAGAATTATGTATGTTGTGTGTGAGCTGGTGCATTTTTTTACCCTCAGCTTCTCTCTGTGCTCTCTCCCGTGCCTTCAGGGCAGTGTAGGAGTCAGACAAGTTGACTACATAGATGTGTTTGCGGTTATTAAGGGCCTTGAGAACAACTTGCAGTGTTTTTGCCGCTGATTGAGTGTACACAGACTCCAGCCCGCCAACCACTATGCCATAGTGACAATCGCTTAGCTGTTATCAAGATGGCAGCAGCAACAGCAATGACAATGACAAGACAACGAAAGCAGACATGAGAAGACACAAGTGACTTTTGGATGAATCTCAGCCTCTTTTGAGGATTAGACAAAACAGTGTGTCAGCTTACCTGAAATCTTTCTGCCAGGATATCAACCAGTAGTTGTTCAGGCAAGATATTGCAGAGTGTGGTCACATCTCCTCCCTGAGCAAAACCACACCAAATGAATTGGTCTATCACATTTAATTATTACACTGTTTGCATAATTGTATATAATACTTGTATACCCAGATTTAAACAATGTTTCTTATTCCCAAACCTGGACTACAATAGTTAAACAGCCAACATGACACTAAAACACTCCAGATGACCAGAGGAATATGGAAAATGTACCAGGCAAAGTGCAAAATGTGTGTTTTCTGCCTCCTGAGGAGGCTTTGAGTCATTTCTTCTGCAGTTGTCCTCGCTGTGTTTTGCAAGAACTTCCACAGTATTGTGTAAGGCTGGAGCTGATTTTGGAGCTGGATCTGAGGATTCAATATCTGACACAGGTCCTGGTTCTGTGGTTTTTTCAATGACCTGAGCTGAAAGCAAATGGACACATTTATTTTCATTTAATTTGCCAATTTAAACTGGACATTGTGCTCTTCTGCAGCAAGCACAAAGCTGCTTGGTTAGTACAGTCTTTTACTGCTGACGGCTGAGTCATGCTTGGGAAGTGGTTGGTGATTAAATGTCTTGTTGATTGACAATCTGTCAGTAAGGGAAAGCATTACTAATATGTTCATTCATTATAGATCCCTTCTCTAACTTCTAGGCTGCAACAGCTCCCCAAACAGACACACAAACACAAACCCTAACCATATGAATATTAAGACAAAATAGCACTGGAGTCACTCTATATTATGCTTACCAGCCTCCTCAGCATTCTTCTCAGCATATTGCGCAGCAGCACAGTCATAGAGTTGTCTTGCAGTCAGGCTAACAGGCGAAGTGCCATTTTTCAGCACATCTGTAACCACAGCATCAACATTGAAGCACGCCCCTCTGTAGTGATGCGCCAGAGCAGCCGCTGTGCTGCTCGTACCTGCAAAAAGTGGATGAATTGGACACACACACAATATTACACATACATACACTATCTGTGTTGAGTAATTTATGTTTTTTAATACTATCCTTGTATTTGATCTGCAGAACATAATTAGCAGTTAATTGCTTCACCTGTCAGTGGGGCTCCATATACAATAATAGCAATGCCTCTTCGGTTGCGTGCAGCCAGACCCTCTGGTGACAGGTCAACACACATGTGGCGAGCAATTGCCCTGGAGACGGGGGTCATCTCTAGCTGCCCCAGTCTCCGACTGCTACCCTCTTTTGTCATCTCCGAAACGTCTGCATGCACAAAAGGAAAGCATTAGAGAGAAAGCCATGAGTTCAATGTTCTCTTCTGGTACTGTAAGGTTAAACTAAAGCTAAAGTTAATCTTACATAAAATAAAACACAGTACCTGTGGAAATGATAGTGAATCACACACACCATTGATAAACATGCAAAGTTCTTCTTAAATTGTTGTACTCACATAATTCAGCTGGTTTCACACTTATAGTCTGTATTTCTTCCTCTTGGCTGCCTGGTTGGTTGGCATCGTTTTGCCTCTTTTCTTCCCCTTGTGTCTCACCTGTCCCACCTTCTTCTTCATCCAAACCTGCCTTCAGCTCTGCTGCACACAGGTAGATTAGATTAAAACAAGAGGGATACACGGATACAGTATGCAGACACCTGCATGTTTATGATTTCAGTGCTTGCACATTAACATGGGTGTGTCTGAAGCTACCATCATCTTCCAGCTGGGAGCAGTACTCCTTGTAGTGATCAAGTAGTTCTTCTGGAAGACTTTCTCCAGGGGCCCTGGGAGGCAGCAGTAATATGTTGTTCTCATCATAACCCTGCATCAGACGCAGGATCTACATGGGATAAATTAAATGGGAAATAGAGGAGAGAGAGAAAGAAACCAGGACAGTAAAAAGACACAAAATCGAACACACAGAAGAAAAATGTTCATAACTAGGTAAGGGGCCATGTGAGGAGACTGGTCAGGAAATTAGGGCAGCTCATCTTACGATCTTCTATCGTATAAGAGGGTAAGAGTGGAGGGACAGCTTTGGTAAAAATGTGTCTTTCAGATGCATTTAATAGGTAATTTAAAATGCCAGAAATAGTCTTAAAAGGCCTGCATATTTTCCAGAAGAAGTATTAAATAATACAAAACAAAACAACAATTAATTATTTAGTATTAATGTGATTTATACATAAGAACTGGTAATGGCATTGTGCAAATGCAAATGCCTCTCTTTGTCACAGTTCAGATCTCTTGTAACTGATGGCTTTGGACCCCCCGCCCCCCCACCCACCCACCGGTGGATGAATTGTGTATAACTTCTGGCTCAAGGAAGCTGGTTCTTGTGGGCAATATTGTGGGCGGTACTGGCCCAATAAGCATCCTTTGAGGAAGTACTGGCAACTACTGTGGTTAGCTGCTACAGAGGTTAGCATTTATGCGGCTAGCATCAGTTATATTAGAACTGGAGAGTATTTCTTCACTGAAAACAAAGAACAGCACTGAAAGCTTTTCTCTGTGGAAAATATGTTTTTGCTATTCTCCCATCTGGCTTCAGAAAGAGTTTGACTATGTTATAAAGTTAATTGATCCCGTGATAGACATGATAGACAGGTGGTTCATCCAATCACCTGCCAAGTATTTTATGAAAGTGTCTGCCCTCAACTTCCCAGATGGTCCTGTGTAACAAACCATCTGGCACAAGCAGGTTACATGAGGCTAACTCTTTACCCTAAGCAGACAGTCCCCTTTCAGGGGATGAATGGTACTGTATGTACTCAGTATTATATAGCAACAACCTTGCTTGCACCCTCTCATTATATTTGTCTCTCTCTTTATTATCCCTTTGCAATCATACACTGTTCTATTATTGAGACCAGAGAGGTCATAATATAACCGGGACAAACAGCATTTCACACTCAGATCTTGTTTGTGGCATTGTTTCTTGTCTTTCACAAATCTATTTTGCAAAATAAATTAGTGACATTATTTCTGAAACTTGAGAAAAAGAGAGCTACCTTTTCTTCCTCGAGATACTGTGTGTCCAACTCCAGGGAGTAGAACTCAATGGGGAAAGAACAGGGGTTTTTGACGGTGACCTCAGCTTCAACCTCAGTGCTGAGGGGCAGGCAAGGCCCCAGCTCCAGAACAGATGGGCAGAACTTGAGTTGTGGCTCTTCACCCTGTCCCTGGGCTGTGATGAACACCTGCTGGGTGCTCTCAGCAACACACACCACGAGCTGCCTGCTATAAGCATGCTGCAAAGACATACACAGTAGGTCTCTTGTCTTTATTTAACTGTTTGATGCAACATGTTTCCACCATTTCGTACAAGCAGTAGCCCATGTAACACCATGCTGCTCTGCTATGCATTGTGCCAAACTCTAAAATCAACAAAGCACTTTACCCCTTCAGCAGGGCTGAACTTTATCTGGACATTGACTAGTTCACCAGGGGACAGCATGCCAGAGCTGGGAATCATCTCAAACACCACTGGATGTGGTTGCTGCTCTTGCAAGACCTTTTTACGCTGGTAGAGAGGCAGGAACTTATCTACCTGAGTGAAAGCAAGACCAGGGGCAGATATTAACCAAGTGCAGCTGTGTTGCTATTTGTCTCTTTTACATAGTATTCTAAACAGATGCCATGTAGAAGTTCAATGAAATTTACATAAAAAGACAATTGATGTACCTTTATAACAGGCTTCACCTCTCCAGCTAAGCTCCAGTGGCAGGGCACAGACTCGTGATTCGACAGCTGTATTGTCCTTATCTGATGGGAATAGTTATATATCACAATTAAGAAGGTTTTTCATTTAATATTATTATATTATTATTTCCATGTCTGTTTGGCTTAAACAGAATCAATACATTTTCAGGTAATATGTGTACTTCATGTTGCTTTCACATAAAATCACTAAGCATAGTTTTATTTACTTATTTAAAAATGTGTAACCACAACCCAGTTTAAACACTTCAAGTGTATCCACTTAGTAATGCAAGTGGTGAAATGATAAACTTAACCTGATTAACCTGTACTGACCACAAGATGGCACCACAGTGAGGGAGCATACTGGTCTCTGACCAGTGCCCCTTAGTTGTGTGTGCACAAACTCAGCAGTGTTAAGCTGTGGACAGCATTTGTGCTTTCAACTACTTTCCTCTTCTCTACTTTTGCATGTTGAAAACACATAAAAAAATATGATGAGCAGTAACAGTAAACTTGATTTGAATTTGTGTATCTCTCCAATTTTAATCAAATCAGTGTAAGTGATTATATAATTACACAAACAACACAGAGCATTTTCATTTAATCATAGAACACAACACGAACGTGAGCAACGTTTGTAGGGCTACAAAACAGTATCTTGTTGTTCCATGTTATAATGCTGGATTACCTGACACATACTACACTGCACAGTGTCAAACTGCAGTGTATCCGTGGAAACAGTGATGGCCGGCAAAGTCACCACTGCACACAGCCGCACCTGGATCATTGGGCCACCTGTGACCTGTAAAACCAAACAAAATCCTCTTAGGAGCAATGGAGGACACAGACTCAATTATGTAGACATTTTTGTTGTGTGCCCATATGTACCTGTATTGGCATGACAACACCTATGCCCCCCTTCTTCAGGTTGGCTCCTTGGGGATCAAATTTAACTGTGAAAGTCTGCATCTCACCACATGGCAGGTTTTTGACTCTTTCAAATTCTGCACCGAATCCTTTGAAGAAGCAAAAACACACTTAAACTAATTTTTATCTTATAAAGGCAACGTGTAGGATGCTGACAAAGAAATAGAGAATAAAACAGCCCACTGAAAACACAGATTAGAGATTAATATCAGAAGATGGTTAAAATATTACCCCATTAATGATGTGACAATCAGCAACATTTCATTTTTCCAGTCTCCAGTATGGGTTAAGCTTTCAGCGTTCTAGCAGTAGTTGGATTTAAGCAGGGTAGTTACTAAGCTAACTGTCTGTTGGCTACAGCTTAATGCGCTTAACAAATTACATCTTCTTGTATCAAACTATTCTTTCAACTGAACTGTTTTATCTTAACTCTAAGAGATTTCATGTTCTTCTGATAATACTAATATGTATACTAATAATTGCACATACCTTCATGACTTCATGAGGCTGAAAATATTTGCTACTATGTTTATATTTCTTATGTAATTGCATCATCACACCACGTTCTTTGCAAAATTGTGGTACAGTAATACTGAGATATCACATGAAAATAAGAAGCAGAGAACTGAAAAGGTCACAGAACCTTAAGTAATGTATTATATTACCTGTTCCAGCTAGAGGTTTGCAATTGGCATGGAAGGACACAGCCACTGACCCAGTATTGGTGACATTTACAGTGTGACTGAGGACTTTGCCTGGAATAACATCACCAAAATCCAAAACATACTCTGGGAGCAGGAACCTGGGGGAGTGGGAAGAGGTGTATGTATATAAATATTAATAAAAATGCTTCCAATAAAACGATAATTTAAAACTGAATATATTAGTTATTAAAGTTTTTGCTTTAATAACTTTTTAAACTTTTTTTTGTATGTGTTTATTAATATTTTTTTTTATATCTCATAACTTGCAGCATACATTTGTTGAAGTTAAACACAGCCAATGCACACCATGACATCCATAAATTTGTACCACAGAACAAAAACCTACCCAGCCAGATATTATTTATTAACACAAACTCTTTGAATTACACAGTTCCCACTTCCATCCACTGAGTGGACCATCTGTTCAGCCAAAGTGTGCGTGTGTGTTTGAACATACTTGCTAAGTTTGTGCCACTTTCTGAAGGAACCTTGCGAGTCACTGAGCTCCAGCAGGCTGCCGGTCAGAGCCAGCGCATTCTCTTTGACCAAAATGTTCTCTATCTCCATGTGAAGCAGTTCTTCATACTAGAGGCAGCAGGCAAAAGAGAGAAAAGAAATAGGGAGAGGTGCATGTAAACACTCAAAAGTTACTAAAAAGTATTGAATGGTTACATAAGTAACTAGAGAATGTGATTTCTGAAACTGACTGCTGAAATGCTGACGCTAAACTGAATTGCTTTTTTGAGAATTTGTGTGTACCGTATCATTCACTCAATTAAGTAGCCACTAAGAAAGTGGTTAATTGGCTCAGGATTTGAACCTTGAACTTTTTGACGACACGACAACAGCTCTTCCTACTAAGCTATGCTACACCCCTCCACCACCTCAGTCGCTACCAAACCATTACTAAGCCATTTACTCAATTACCTACCCATTTACTTGGCACTTTACTCAGTTACACGGCCATTTACTCCATTTCTCAGTCACTTACCGAGCCATTTATCCCATTACCTTGCCCCTTAAATTAGTTTTAGTCGTTCTCGAGGCACTTGTACTTTCTTGTACTAAAATGAAACATTTTAGTTTCCACTACAGTACATACAGTATTCTTTCTAGTAACCTACATTGCCACAGTTTTAGGTCAAAAACCCAAAAATTTATGAGAACATGCTTACAAATGAGAATTTCAGAATTACTTAAAAACAGTATTTTGGAAGATTCAAGGTTTTCATTGCATTATAGAATTTTAGTCACTGACGGTGAGCGTGTGGTTGGCTTCTGTTGTTGCTCCTCCACCAGTGGTAAATCCAGTCATGAACTCCATTCTTACTCTGTCTGCCTCTACAGCTGTTTTTGCCTTCTGCACCACATCACTGTAGCACTCCTCCGCTGCAAGGGAATCATAGCATCACACCAGTGCAGAAAAAAAGAGCTGTACTTGTGTCTCAATATTTGTCAGCACAGAGATGTGATTATTAGGGAGACCTGTCCATGAACTGTAAGATATGGGCTCAAAGCTTTCTAATACAAAAGGTATCAGAAAACAAAACAACAAAACCTAGTTTTGTACCTACTATTGGCTAAATTAAGTTCTCGGGGAACACATCTGTTCTGTAGCTGACTGATGTCTGACAATTTCCTTATGGAGATCAATAAGCTATAACATCACACAGTAAGCTGTTTACTTAGTTTCACTAAGTTTCAAATTGTCTGTTCCCATGAACAGAGAACAATTCCTACCATAATTGCATTTGGTCAAACAGAATCAATATACCTTACAATATAGCTGCTAATCTGTTGCAGATACAGTTTGTGATAATGATAAACATAGTAATAGATAACAAAAGTGTATATTGCATTGTAAGTTTTCATCCTTTGGTTTGATGAGTAAGGATACAATCATGTCTGTGTGTATGAGTGCATTTCTATGCATACATAGGGTTTGTGGCAAGTTCAGGCGGATCCTTGGGAACACTCCCTCTCCAGTTAGAGTGATGTCCTGCGGTGGCAGGAAAGCCAACTGCAGTTGCAGTTTCTTCTCAAACACCCCTGGGATGCCTGGGAGGTAGATCACACGGAGACATTGCTCCGCACCAGCATCAATGTAACCCTGACACACACAGACACACACACAAAAATGGTTTAAAGGAAACCCTCGTACACATCAAATGTCTCGCCCACATGTGAAATAGTACCAAGATGAACTCACCATGGTGGGGATAACCACAGGCTGGCCAGGTCTGACTTTGGGTACTTGCTGCCATGCCTCTGACTCTTCATCCTCCTGCTGAGGGTCCATGAAGAAAAACTTGAAGCCCAACTTGCCTGTATTTCTCAGTGTCACCTCAGCTTCCCCTTCATGATCAAACAGCTGGAGGAAAAAGAGGGAGATTGAGAGGAGAGATGCAACAATGCTTTTCAAACTGTCAGTATGTTTATTTTCATTGAAGATAACATAAATTAGCTTCATTGCACAAAAAAAAAAAAAAAAAAAACGCCTTTGGGTGGAGTGGGTGCCTTGTTAAAGGTGATACAGTAAAAAAAGCTGTTTTCTAAAATTTTATAGATAATTTGCACCTCATGGTTTATGGTAATAATATGGTAATAAGACAGAGATAGGTCAAGGCAAACAAGAAAAAGTTAGTGACTTGAAGGGGGTTGTGTCAGGACTTCTTATCTAATATGGATAAATAAAATTTTTGATACAAGAAAACAAGACAGTGTTGTGAGAGAGAGACGACAAGAGAGAGAAGAAAGCAAGAGCAAAGATAGTGCTGAACAGACAGGAAGGTCAGAGAAATGTTCTGCTGAATCGCTCATTTCAACTAAATCAAAAATCAATATGTCCTTGTTTTGAATATCAATGATAACTGGTCTGGGTGGCTTGCATACCTAAAGAGGGAGGGGAAGTCCAAAAGATCAAGCTACAAAAAACTATGCAGTGACATTCAAAGTTGAGGTTGAAAACCCTTTGATGCCACTTTCAGCAGTAGATACTATGCCTTTACATTATGCATAACCTAATGACATACAAGCACTTATCCCATAATCTCTCCCTCAGCAGCAGATTATGTGATAATAGAAAGAAGAGGAATGGAGACGAGTACATTTTGATTGATAGTCAAAACATCAACAGTAAGCAAAAGCAAATAATCATGAAACACACTGAAAAACAAAATTCAGCAAACATATCCTCATCCACAATCACAAACACATCTGTCACACTTCCCCAGGTCTGTCAGGGCCATTTTCAAAATGGCAGTATGCATAATTCCCCCAAGTTTTGTAAAAATGGAATTAGTTTTGTCTCTGAGATATCATGTGTCATGCATGGATAGGCAAACAGATGGCAAAGGAAGAACAAGGACGAGAAAAGCAGAATAACAAGGAGGTAAATAAACAAAAAATAATGGAGAGTAGTTTAAAACACAGCAAAGGAGAGTTTTGCCCACATGAGCAACTCAAGCAGTGTCCTCTTTGCCACCACTAGTAACTCTAGTCATGGCCGTTAGCCTAGCCGCACACTTTGGCTAGACGAGCCCTGTATATGTACCTGCAGACCAAAGTCGATATGGGTTGAGTCAAGGCTGTAGCTGAGGACTGACGCTTCTCCTCTGAGTTTGATTTCGTATGTAGGCCCCTCCTCTACAAGGCACTGAGCCACCACCTCTCTGCTGACATTTTCATGCCCGTAAAAAGAGAATGTGACCTGCTGCTGGTCCCCAGGTTGCAGATGACCGTAAATCGGCAAGATATCAAACACCTACACACACAGAAAGAGAAGCAATCATTTCTTACGTGTTCTTCCAATGTGCTGCTGTAATACTCCCACTAAAGGAATAGTTGTGACAAGCAAAATTATTATAGTTACCACCCTAATTGCGTTACAAGTGCACAGATGTAATCAAATTATTCTCTGATTTTAAATAGTATAAGTTATAAATCAGGGAAGTATCATTAATAATCCTTGAAACGATTCTATCAAATCGAACATGAACAAAGATGTTCTGCCCACTGAAGACAAAGAGGGTAATCTCCTCAGTGAACTTTATACTCCAAAAATGTACGTATGTGCATGGGCGTGGCATATGTATGTCTCCCTCTACAGTAATAGCACTGCAGCATAGAGACAGGGATTGACCTGTGACAAACTGGAAATGTAAGGGAAACCCTGATTTGTTCACATGTGAGCATTTGTCTACCTGTTCTACTCCCACATGGCTCTGCGTGCTACTCTCTTCATCTGCACCAGCTGTGGCACTGACAGGAAATAAAAAGGAAGGAGACGCCGGTCTAGAGGAACTCAACCCTTCTTCAGTCTCATTTTCAGGATTTCTCGGCTCTTCCTCCGCCTTAAGCATCTTTGTCTCTCTGTGAGGACAAAAAGATAATAAAACATCTCTCACGTTAAATATTTATTTTCCCCACAAAGAAACATTAAATAAATTAAACATAGGAAAAATCTTGTAACAATAAGAAGATGCGAGAAAATTAAATGAAACCATGTTGCAGCATCATGATATCCTCAAGATGTCCATGAGATAATTATATAATCATCTATTGTACATCCAATATATCATTAACACAAATACCCAAGCGGAGAAAAAAATCTTTAGCACCCACAACCCAAAGAACTCTGACTCTCATTTTCTCTCTCTGTTCTACCCTCTCCTTCCCTGTGGGATCAGACTGGGTGCATCCATCAAGTTAATTAAACAGAGTGTTCTATAATTAAGAAGAATTTTAATAGGCAAGCAGCAGGAAACAGGTCAGGATAGATTGCAGTGAAGTGCTGAATAAACATGGAAGAGAATGAAAGAGATTTAGTGAGTGAAGCCATCTCAAAGCTGGCCTGGACAAGTTCTGTATTAAATCACCAAACACTGGCTATGTTATAGCCACAGTGTGTGTTTGTGTGTGCATGCCTGTGTGTGAGTTTCAGGGTATGCATATACATGTAAGGCTGAATTGAAGTCCGCACACACATTTGTCAGAGTTCCCAAGAATGCTTCAGTACTGGTGTGTCAACTTCTAATGAGTGGACAGTACTGATGCAACCAGCAGGGGGCACTGTTGTATGGTCAGTCTGTGATGAAGCTGTTTTAAGGGACAAGCTGGCCTGATGTCTGGCCTTGGGAAGATCACAAATTAGTACGTCCAGCAATGTAAGATATAAGAGTGAACAAATACTGTAGGTCAATGTCTTCAAAAATAGGGTCCATTTTTGGTAGATAAGAGTTTGTAAAAGCCCTTAAAAGGCATATCCCCCCTGTGGAAAAAAAAGGCTTTTTAAAACGTGGGTCCTCTAAGAAAGAGTTTAAAACCCACTGGTGCGGACCGAGGAACAGATGGTGAGACAGCAGATGATGACTCTGCAAGAGCTCAGCTCAAAACACAAATAGCCTACCCTGACATTCTCACATCTGTCTGTCTCTCATCCGTCTACTCTTTCCTTCATGCACATTGTGGGCGTGACTCCGTTTTTTCCTATGTTCTGTACCCTTTAAAAATCTACACATCAAAGACTACTGAACCACGATGCTGTAAAAATTATACTGGTACAGACAAATGGCTACTGGGGTTCCAGTTTGTGTGTGTGTGTGTGTGTGTGTGTGTGTGTATGTCCAGCTTGATCAGCTACATAATTAAAATTCTCCTTATTAAAATATTTTAAAATATATTACTGACAGGGGCCATTCTGCTGCATCAGTAGCATTTTTATTCGTGCTACTTTAAGTTCTGCTAATACTGCTGGACTTTCACTTAAAGGAACGGGGTGTAGGGTTTATTGGCAACTAGCATGAAGTTGCAGACTGATTTGAATACAGCTCAGCCTTTTCAGCAAGGTGGCCACTATACTTGTAAAAAAACGCAAAAGGTCCTATCTAATGTTTGGTTTTGTCCATTCTGGGCCACTGTAGAAGCATGGTGGTTCAATGTGGCAGACTCTGTAGAAGAGGACCCACTCCCTCTGTAGATAGAAATAGCTCATTCTAAGGTAACGAAAACACAACGATTCTTATTTTCATTCCATTCCTGCCAATATATCCTACTAGTACTGTAAGCTTGATGATACATGACAGGACTATTTTATATTGTCGTACTGCTACCTTTACTTAAAGACACAATGAAATGAAAAATAGATTTTTCATGTTCTAATCTTGTGACCCTATGTTAATTGTTCAGTTATTTCTTTACATAAATATACTCAATAAAATGTGGTTTGGGGTGAGTTAGCTAACCCCACCCATCATATAAAACTGCACTTGACCGTTAACTTGTGTGGGTTGCTAGCAGAACAATATCATAGTAGTGTATTTTGATTTCAGCTGGCAAACACACTATTTACATTTCCAAAGAATGTGGCTGACATCTAATTTAACGTTTATCGTCTTCCTCTTGATCTAACAATGTGGGTGGAGACCAAACCCTGTATTTCACTATAGCTCATACATAGTATAGCATAGGATAGTATAGTATATAGTAGTACCGTGTCACAATGCATCGAAATTTTAAGGATTTTATTTAAATTGTAATTTAAAAATAGGATTTGTAGAGTGAATAGGCTGAACGGCTGGAATTAGTATTCAGGGTTTCAGAAGCTGACCTTGTGCTGCAACACAGGAGTGTTTTCTTACCCATATACTGTTAGAAAAAGTAATATTCCAGGTTTAAAAGACTGCATGACAATGGAAAGTTGCTGAAGAATCTTTATCTCGCCATTGCGTTAGTTCGTCTGTACACCTTACACTCAACATCCTCTAAAGGATTTATTAGTTTGGAGTTATTAGTTAGTCATTCAGTTGTCCCAGGATCTGTTCCATCATGCAAGCAGCTACAGTGCAGTTAAGAAAGGTGGAATAAGCTTAACCTTTGCAATTTACTTCTTGCTGATATAGAGTCCTAAAGATGGAAAAGTTACAGTATTTAAATGTACTGTACTGCCTCTATCCATCAGTGGGATAGATGGATAGAAAAGAGTTAGCTCTATTGAAATTCCTCTCTCCAAGGGCTGTGGTGTAATTGCTGATAGGGATGTAATTAGCTGAACATGGCTAGATAGTGCAGGTTTTGTGAGGGAGAAAGAGATACTTTAGAGAAAGTGTGTGCTCGCAGAGTGAGGTCTCCATTTAATTAGCAGGATGGCCTATGAGACAGATTGTTAAGAGAGGTCACAATCTAAGAGGGAAAGGGTGAAGAAAGGGAAGAGAAGGTTGATAGGGATTTGGTAGAGAGCAGAAGCACAGGCAGAAAAGGCAGCGGAGGAGGAGGAAAGGAAGGAGGAAAATGGGAAAAAAAGATAAATAGGCAATGTAAAACCTGAAGATGAGCACAAGAAGGGGAGCAAAGAGGAAGAATACCAATAGATGAAAGAGGGGGAAGGGAAAAAGACAGTAGGGGGTGATAAATCATGTAGTGCTATAGCATTTAGTAGGTTCATGGCCATGGACAGACAGAGTAGTATAGTATTCTCAGTCCATTCTAAGGGAGGGGAGCCAACCTAAGGCTTGAGAGAGGCACAATGTAACGTTAAGTACACAATCAGTAGATTTGTCTTCCCCAGAGAATTTATAATGCATTTGGCTTTCAATTCAGGGGGTTAAATGTATGGCTACTGTACTAACTCACCGCAATGGAAGGTTTTAATATTTGGTTGAGATCCATTGTGTTCTTGTCTATTCAGGATGCTACAGTTCTTAGTATTTTTTATGTTCTACAACAAAGGTTGTAATACAGGAATCCAGGAGCAGCACTTCAGCAGGTCTTAAGAGAACAGGAGATTTAGCTTCCTTTAGTCCTACAGCCCAATGAAAGTAAGAATGAAAAAGCTGCATGTTCCATAGATACAACTTTGTGAAAACAAAGTCTCATCACTAAAGGGAAAAGCTATGCTTGGGAAATGATGTAAAATATAATCTAATCCCATGGCAAGGATCTGCCTAATCGCCACTTCTTTTTGCCATGACAAACGTTTGTATTGTATTGTATTGTAGTGTTGTATATTATACTCTGCTTAATCTATTCATACTACAAGTGTATATATGTATCATGTGTGTCTATTAATGTAATTCATTCATTTATTTATTTATTTTTTTTACTAGTCTGGCCTTTCTTGTTTGTTCTTGCATGTTGAGGCCTGGATGGGGCTAGTGTTTTTGTGTGTGTTTCTTTATTAAATCTGTATACAATTATTTTTACTTTGTATCTCATTTTGTCGGCATTAGTAAAAAATACCTTGTTTAAAAAAAGACAGTGTTGAGTGTTTTTTGCCCGATTTTCTTAACCTGCCTTGGTTATTCCTAACCTCATAATTGCCTCTGCTCAAATAGCAGAAAATGTTTTGTTACAAAATCCCAAATGTCTGTATATATTATTATTTTTCTGGTTAGTTTAAGTACACTTAACTACACTCGCCCAACAATAACACTGGAACAGATAACTGATATTTCCTGTCATAATAAATAAGATGTAATGTAAGATTTAATATTAGTGACACTGTGTTCAGCTTTTCTGGCTCAGATAAAATCAGCTGCTGGACAACATTTTCTTAAGTTAAGACTTTTCAGCAGGTCAAAAATGCATGATAAGCCTGTTTTGCATTTGTCCCTTCAAGGCAAATCCCAAGACTGCATCTGCTGGCACTATTCTCGAGCTAGGAGAGATATCAATATAATCAACATTGTAACATGAGACAGGCATTGTCAGGGACTCCAATTATTGTAATATCATGATATAGCTAAAATTGTGTTCTTATTGACCCAAATGTTGGATGGAATGAAGGAAAAATTCCATCTTCTATACTAATACTGCACGTAATACAGCATGCAACTGTACACCATTAACTATCCTTTACAGTGTATCAGGTATAGGGTGTGCTGTAAACACAAGTATAAATGTTAACCGATATGACAGTGTGTAGACATTTTTCATTGTATAATATACCTGATGGTAGAGTGGCTCTGGTCCTCTAGGAAAACCCAGTGGTAGGACACAGGCAGCAGGGAGCCGTTGGTAATCAAGATTTGTCTACGAGTCTCTGTGCAGTTGAGCACACAGCTAAAATCTACTGTGGTGGAGGAGAAGTGCAGGTTGGGGAAGTGGACCTCAGCATGCAGCTTCACCATGTCTTGCTGTGGATGTCCATGGTAGTGGACCTCAAGGAACTGAAAAAAAAAAAAAAAAAAAAAAAAAGTCAAAGCAAGAAATGAATTTGCCAAAAATAGCTTATATTACAGGTAAATATTTCAGTAAGTAAGTAAACGGAAAAAAACCCCGATAAAAACTAAGTAAATTATATATTTTTTCCCCTTATCCTGTTCATTATCTTGTGAACCCAATAGTCTTAAATCTTAGGTTTGGTACCACTTCCTTATGTGTTATGCTATGGTGTGCGGACACAATATGATCTAAGAAATTTTACAAAAGAAACTGCATGTTACCTCATCCACAACTCGTGACACCTGATCCTGACAGTAAGCTGGATTAAAGCATACCCACAACTCAGCCTTCCTTCCATCACCTAAAATCATGGACTGGAAAAAGAGCAGTTAGAATATATAACATAAAGTTATCGAAGGAATCATGCTGACTCTGCAATATTTAGGTATAGGTAGTATTTAGGATAGACTTGGTGATCTAATCAACAGACTTGGTAGATAAACTATATATATATATATATATATATATATCAACAGATATATATATATATATATATATATACTGCAGCAAGGACTCAGCCTTGGAAAATGGGGCACCACCAGTCCTACCAGATGAACTATCTGGGCACCCTAGGAATCTGGTTTTGATGAGAAATTATTACATTATGTTTTTTGTCTGATGATGTCACAACCCTTTTAAAGGTTCCATATGAAGAGCATTTTGAGTATTATTGTCATGTATTAATGTGCTAACGTTAGCTTGGAAAATTACTTAACAAGCCAATCTGATCCATGATAGTAACTTGTGTATTATGACCAATGGTGTTGATTTCAGCCAACAATAAATGAGCGGTACAAAGCAAACTACTGCTTTCTTCTAGCAAAGAGCAATGCAAGGCAGGGGCATCCGACTAGCTAACTGTAGCTTAAGCTGTGGTTGGCAAGCTTCTTAGTAGCATGGAGTCAATGCTACAAGTAAACTATAGGAACATTATAGACGTTATTCCAAATATGGTTAATAATTTATTTTCCAGCAATCAGTGTTCATTTCAGCATTCGTGTTTGTCACTTTTGGCCAATGCCCAGGATGATGTTTGCTCATGCAAAGGGACTGCCATTACTAAAAACTGTTTTCTCAAACTTACATATAGAACTTTTAAAAACCTTCCAACAGTTTAATGAAACCCTTATTGTAATCCTGCCATGGGACCCTGGCTTATCAAAATACTCTGCTACTCTTTAGCTTCATTCAGAGACATGCTGGGGGCTTGAAAACCATTTTAATGTGGATTCCACATTTTAATCAACTCTCAGAAGTCAGAGCGATGATGAAATGATACAATGGGTATTATGGGAATATATGAACTGAACTTCACAGTAAAAAAAAAGACAGTGTTTCTAATAAGTAATTCTACTGAGTAAAAAATCAACAAATCACTGCCAAGCAAGTCTTATTTGGAAGGTAAGGAACATACATCCACTGCAGACAAGATGGACAGTCGCACAGAATTCAAATAAACTTGGAAAAAACCTGTTTTAAAAGGTGCCCGTTTTTTTATTTTTGAGTTATTACAATGAGTAATATTATGCTTGACTATCTTATTAGTACCTCAGCAATGCTTTGTTTCTGACCCTTTTAAACACAGAAAACAGACTGATCAATGTATGCATGTGTGTAGACTGTTGACTCTCAAAGGCACATTTACTCAAGCACACAAGCAAGCAGAATTGTTACTTGAATATTGACATTATACTTGTGCGTACATACATTCCGGAGGACAATGTTACTCTACTACATTTATTTGACAGATGTAGTTCCTAATCACTTAAGATATGACGAGCTACGACAGGCATCAATAATTTAACACTGTAGAAGCACTTTTTTTCTGTTTTAAAGGTAACTGTTTTTTAAAGTCCCAGTCTGTGATCTAAATATCAACATACAGTGGCCCCACTACCACAGATCAAACACTATGTAGGAAACTATATCCCTCACAAATTGATTGACGGATTATTTAAAATATATAAAAGACAACAACTTTAATCTAAGGTAAAGTTAATCTAATTAAAAAGCAGAATATTTCCAGAAAATCCTTATAATATATAGTCAGTCCTTCCAGAAAAATGCGGAGTTTTTTTGTGATTGTTGCGGGCAAAAATCCTTGATTATGCGGCACGTTTTCTTAAAAAATGCGATGGAATATGGGGGCTATTTTATGCAATTTTATGCGATGAAATTGCGGGAACTTGCAAAAATTGCGGGAACTGCAGTTTGATGAAAAAGAGGAAAAAAAGTGATTCCCCCAATACCCTGTTCTCACTAGGCTACTACCTTAATGTAAAGAGTCATTTCCTATTACTTCTTATGATAAGCAAGCATACTACATCACAGAAAGTGCTGGGAATATTTAAGTTCTCATCTTGTTTTATTTCATTTTATTCATATTTATGTGTGCTTCCTGTTTTACAGAGGTAGCTATACAGAACAGACATCTTCTGTTAAAATAAGTGCTTCCAATGCACAAAGTGCAATCTCTTACTGTAACGTAAATTTACATACTACTAATATACTTACAACTGTAAGGTTTTCATCGCGGGGTTTGCAGCTTTTCGATGATGTTCACGTAGCGTAATTACGTCACTTCATAACGTTCCCATGGCAACAGGGGTAAATGGCTGCTCTTGTGTGAAGTAAACACAACATTTTTCAACTTTTCTGCTAAGATATATGTGACTTTTTTGCAACGAAAATGCATGGGTTATGAAATCATGTAAGCCCTGCATATTTTGCGCAAAAATCTGCAATTTATTGAGCAATTTATGCGGCGAAAGTGCAGCGTATTTGAAAAAATGCGGGCCCTGCATAAATATGCGGACTTTGGCTGATTATGCATTGAATTATGCGATCGCATAATCACGTTTTTCTGGAGGGACTGTATAGTTAGGGACACTTTGTTGGTAGATATCAACAATTTAAATTCATGATGGTTCCAGGGCAAAAATTAATATGACGGCAAAATCAGTATGTTCCTTCTTAAAAGAAAAACAAATAACAATAAAGAGTTAATTAAAAGGAAGAGATGTTTACCTTAGTAGTAGCTGAGCTATGGGTTCCGGGGGCCTCACACAGAGAGAACGGCTCTATAAGAGAGAGCTCCATGGACAGAGACAGTGATGACACATTCGTCAAGATTAGCTTCTCATATAGGGGCTTTAAAATCTTTCCTGGGACCTGTAAGACATATACACAGTTAAATCAACAATATGAAGACCTGTCTGAGAATAAGGAATCTTAAATGAAAGGTATATTTTTTTCACGCTTTTTCACTGGTATCAGATAAAAGGAAACACCATGCACTAAACTAAACCCAATTGCTAAAATTCTCTGTTATTCCTTTAAATTATTTACATTTCTGCCACACCAAACCCAAAAGGCATCTCACTTATGATATGCCTGCATAACAATTAGATGACACTGTATGTATTTAAGGACCAGTATGTAGGATTTAGTGGTTAAGTTTCAGATTGCAGCTAACTGAACACTGCTGGTGTCTGTATTTGACGACCTGGGAATGAGAACAGGCTGTGAAGTGTTTGGAGAAACTATGGTGGCCAAGAAACTTGCATATATTATATTACATAATATATTCCATATATAATATTCCATAGATCCAATAGATCCTCCTAAATGTTACACACTGGACCTTTAAATTAAAATATCCTGGAGAGAGTACTACTCATGATATTTTGATCAACCTTCTCTATGTGGAAGTTCAGCTGCTTGGAGGAAATGCTGAGCACAGGATCCACAAAGCGACAGGTAACATCTACAGACATGATGTGTTCATAACAGCCTTGGCGACCCACAATGGCATGGCACACCAGACTCTCCCCAACAACCTGGTAAGACAAGAACACATGAACTACAACATGCATGTACTGTCTATCAGTCTGTGCCTGTGAGCAAACTGTCTCACCTTGGGGGAGTCTGAAGATCCCTGTCAGCACCATGTCAACGGAAGAGCCTGGGAAAAGCTCCACACGAGAAGGGTTGAGGCTGAACACCGGCTTCTCTCTGCTAGAGGAGAGCAAAGATCCCCGGCCCAGAATCTCCTTCTTCCCGGGAGCAGAGATGGGGGGCAGGATGGTTCTGCCAGGTAAATTTCTCCCCTTGCTGGTTTTTGTGGAGGGCAGGAAGCCATCAGTCTTCCAGTACAACCGGTGTACTCGCTGGCCATGGTTGGTCAGCTTGAAGTGGTACTGGCACGACCCATGGCTTATATTGAGGACAGCAAAGAGGTGAATCATATATTTTTTAAAGTTCTAAATCACAATATTATCATTGTTAATTCAAAATTTGAGTTGTGAGTGTGACCGCTTTCATTCTACCTGAAGTATGTGCCAAGCTCAAGGCTGGGAGCAAAAGGCTTGTCACTGACAATTGTGGTACCAGTGCCTGTGGCAGACACAGGGACAGTGTGTGTTTGACTGTCCTGGATGGATACTTCCAGGCTGTCCTGGAAGTGAAGCGTGTCGTTCAGGTGTGCCACTACCCTAAGCTCCATCTGGCTCTCTGGTGGCACTTCACCCTCACTGGGCTCAACACGGAAAAAGGATTTTCTGTGGCTCTGAGGGAAAAGAAACACAAGTTTATGAAGTCTAAGTCAAATTCCTGCCTTTGCATCTATAGAGTGGAATATTAACAGTTACAGCAGCTAGTTGCAGGACTGAAATGTGATGCATGAAAATATCTCCCTTGTGGGGGGCACTTTCTTCTCTGTGCTGCACAAGCCATTGAGGTTTATGCTATGGATTGACCAGTAAAGATAGATGTGTATATCATATAGCTGCATAATCACATCATCATTTTGGTGAAGCATGAGATTCTAGAGGTATAAGTAGAGCAGCGGCTCCCTGCCTGACATAAGTAAGACAAAATATCTCCCTACTATGATGAGTGTGATATACAGATGTGCAGTAGTACAGACAGAGTTAAAATAAGTGTATACTCCCTAAAGGTACCCTAAAATATGTTTTGAAATGCACAAAAGCCTTAACACGTGGATAGTTTCAAAACAATTTTGTCTCACATACACTCTTTGATGTGAGCATAAAAAAGGGACAAATTCAATATTCATTCTATTTCCCAGCTCTGTGGATTGTTCAATTGCATTTATTTGAATAAAATCCAATGTAATCAGAAAACAGATGTAAATCTGATGCTCATCTCCAGTCCTTCAACACAAACCTTTACTGTGCTCACTATACTGTATATATATCTGACCAAGCAGTGGTCGGGATCACAATCAATGTTCTATACAGCATCTCTGTTGATGAATGGCTAGAACATAAACTTTTAATTGGGATTTTGAGAATGAGCTTCCTACAGATGCAGTGGAGAAAAATGACTTTCTCAACTTTACTAGGGCAACTGACATTTGTGTTGCCTTATTGAAATAGAGATGGCACTAAAATAATATTGAATATGACTCAAATATAAAGATTTTGTTTGATGTCTCTGCTCAGAGCCACGTCCTTACAGAAAAGTCCTGCGGAAACAAAGGCATTTAGAGAAAAATGCCTCACACAACAGGCAACCCTTGACCAGTGAGTGACTTTAGGAGTAATAGATCACTTTCTCAGCGCCTGCACGGTCGGGTGAAGGAGCCAGTGAAAGCGAACTTGGTGTGGGTCGATACTAGGGTGATCATGGTAAAGGGGTGGGTGGAGTCAGTAGAAGAGAAAGAGCAGTGGGTTGACTCCCTGGAGAGAAGAGCAAGATGACTGGAATCTCAATAATCACATCAAACCCGCTGCATCCCACAGCTTGATTAGCATTGATTGCTTTTGAATGCAGCAGGAGTCAGAAGGGCTTAGAATCCAAATCTGTGCTTTATGCTGTACAACTATCAACAGTACCATCAACCTACATTAATACTGCATTGGTGCTGAAGGGACTACTACAGCCAATTCTCCTGTAAAACATTATACAGCACAACCAAATCAATACATTTTAATGTGATTCTTATGTTTCTGGTTGCCAGCCAAAAAACTGTCAGGATTTTCAAACCAATCCCTTTTTACAGAGTGCAGAGAATTGTATTTTTGTCCACATCATGTATATATGTACTGTTTCTGTTTCAGTTTTTAGCTCTGTATCTCTGTTCATAATTTGACAACAGAAAAGTAAAATAGACTACAGAACATTTTGCTAGTAGAGTAAAGTGTTCGCTTGAATATGAATATGTTCATGTCAGAACTGCAGAGACATTATTGTTCACATTACACACTCTGGTGGCTTGGATATGTTTGACACGTTTGGCCTAGGAATTAAGGAGGAAGTAATGGTTCTTTTCTCACAGATGGTCACTTAGATGACAAGCAAGTGTCGATACCTTCCGCAATATCCCCGCAATCTTCAGTCATCAGGTCTATTTGTGTGGCTCTCTGCCAGCCTATTGAGCTAGATGTAATGAAATTCTAGGAGAATCTGCATCGATTGATGCCTGAGACTGCAGGGGGAAACTCCTTCCCCCAATACTGCCTCAGAGGAGAGGACAGGGTCACACAACTGCGGTTACACCGGGGTTGCCTGTGTGTGTGTCTGAATTTGTGTGTGTGCCCAGTCGTGTCTATGCCAGCTAAGGAAGTATTGAGGCACAGTTCCAGTCACAAGTTTGTTCCCAGTGGATATCAGGCAACACTGATAAGGTGCAGCTAAAGAAGGTTTCATTTACACTGAGTAAGCACGATACATAAAAATAAGTGGAACATAATTATTCAACCTTTCTGACACCAACACTTCTAACTGTGCTGACTTATGCTGAAAATTGCAGGTGCACAAACTGCAAACAAATTAAGATGCCTTAAAATGTTAATTGTTGATTGCAGTTGAACTGTCAGTTGATATGTAAGCACTGAAGCTGAAGAGTAGGAGATGAAAGTTGAAATGTCAGTTGAACTGTAGTTGTTGTATTGTAGACATTAAATGACCATTTTGTGCATAAAATGCTAGAAACAGTCCAAGTTGAGCATCGTTGAATCAGATCACACCCATATACTTCAGTCAAGTCATTCTGTAATGACTATCTGACTGGTTCAAGGGAGTGCACTCTGAGGAAAATCACCTTGCTACTACTAAGATTGAACTGGCAACTAATTATTTCAAGATCTAACAAGGCAGTGAACACATTAACTCATTAATTACATATTGAATTAGACTGAAAATCAATTAGTCACAGGAGAGGAAGACAGAAGGTTTCCAGAAGAAATCTATCCACTGAATGGGTAGATGGCTCATCAGGTGTGTATTAAATTAAATTCATAAAATCCATTAACCATTTCATTATTGTATGTTCCTAGACTGTAACATAATATCACTAGATCTCATCGAACACTATATCTCTCTCATGTAAAGTTCATCTCAATCTTAATGTTTGTTATTTTTTAAATATATTTTTTGTACATGTATGCCTGACTGGTGTGTGTTTGTACCATGCGAGTGGTAAAGTAGGCTGTAACAGGTGACTGGTTTGACAGGTGCAGGGTTTTAGTACTGTCTGTCAGAACCCAGATTTTGCCAAAGTCCATCTGTGGGCTCTGGACATGAACTATTGGTCCCTGGCCAATACATGACAAGACCACCTCCTGGAACAGAACAGAACAGAACAGAACAGAGGCGGATTAGAGGACAGAATTAACTGATTTAAAGAAAAACAACTATGCCTGTATTCAGACAAAAAACAATTACACCCACATGCAAACAGTATTCAACCTATAACAACACAGATATCCACACTCAGAAGCACACACAGACAGATTTCCACTGACCAAAGGCGGCTTAACACTGCCAAACACAGCAATGCGTAAAGTGTGATTCAGCCTTCCAACAGCCTTAGCAAGCAGACACACAGGGAGCTCCTCTGAACTGCGAGGAAGTATCACTCCTCTGGGTATGGAACTACCACAGCGTAGTGATGGACTCTCCTCATGTTCCTGAAAAAAGTGACACAGACAGAAAGGACTTTTGTTAATGCAGGCATAAAGACATAGCATCTATTGTAGATAGATGGTCTTGGAATGAATGACATTTAATAGTTGATAGTGATTTCAGTGTTGGTCATTTGTACCAGTACTTTGCAGTTTCATGCAGTTATTCTCCTCCTCCCGGTCATACTCCCCATTTAAAGATCCCTTCCGAATGTTCCATGCAAAAATGTATTTCAAAGTGCAGCAAAAGCTAAAATAAGGCTTTAGCATCAAGTGGATATCTTTGAAGGTTACTGTGTCTTTAGTACAATAAACAAGATTAGTTAATAAGAGATATGTTAATGAGTGATCTTTAGAGGTTCTGGTAGGCAGACTTTGTTACCTTGGTCACAGCCAGGCAAGCTGTTTACCTGAGTTTCCAGTCTTTATGCTTTATGTTGATTGAAGTGTTATTTTTTTAGTCACAATTCTTACCTCTACACATACATTTTGCTGTATTGAGCTGGAAATAAGCTACTGTCTTAAATATATATTGTATTGTGAGTATTTATTCAATGAGTTTGTATAAAGGTTACTGTTCTTTTTTTTAAAATATATTTTTGGAGCTTTTTATGCCTTTATTTGATAGAACAGGTGAAGATAGACAGGAAAGGGGGGTGAGAGAGCAAGAGCGGATGACATGCAGCAAAAGGCCGCAAGTTGAAATTGAACCTGGGCTGCTGCGTTAAGGAGTCAGCCTACATGGGGCACGCACTCTACCAGGTTAGCTACTGTGCGCCCCATGTTATTGTTCATTTCATCTGAATGTTATTTTGTCTTGTTTCTTGTCTTTCTTTTACATGTTTGAAATAAATATAAAAAAACCCCAAAACAAATATGCATGTGCTGACCTTTACAGATGTTGTGCTTGCTTAGCTAACTATTTTATGTGTACCCTGTCACATACAGTATACACACAAAAATAAATCCTCTATTGCAATGATGTACTTAACCTGGTCAAGCAAGCCGTAGAAGGCAGGCAGAGAGCTGGAGTTGATCAACCGCACTTTCTGTTCATATGGGTTATTGAGGAAACACCTTTTAAAGTCCAACACTGGAGTCTCCAGCGCAATATCAGGAACAACACACCTATTGACAAAGAGAAATTGGGGTGGGAGAAGAACAGAAAAAGTAACAGAAATTGCATTGCATCATGCCAAAACTGCAGTCTATTAATTACAACAGATTCATACATTTACAATGACAGTGATTGCCGTGAGGAAGTCAGATACCATTGCCCAATTCTGAGTGATGGCGCAGGTGACGTTCAAATGTATTATTATGCAAATTAGGTGCTGAATATTTAACACATGCTCCACTGATTTGTCGACACCTGTATGGAAGTTCAATGGACCACATTCACAGCTTGTCAAAGCATCAGCGACAGCCAGAAGCAAAGCAGAGGTTACTGCCAGAAAAAGGCACTTTACTTTAAGAGAAAGGGTGATAGGAAAGTCTGTAAAAAACTTAATGAACCTCTTCTGATTTTAACCATCTTGTGACAGAGTTTTAACACAGCTTACGTCAAAACATTTTCATATTTAACACTCATTTTAAGAAGAGATTCCATCTTATTAGAGGAGATGGTGATTCACTTTTTTTTTTCAAAATGGAAAAGATCAAACCGTGTTACAGGACAACTGACCCAATAAGCTGTTTGCGGCCTTAATGAGCGATGTATGTTTAGGAATGTTTGTATATTAAAGACTGTTTGTATTTTCACTCTAATATGTCTGACCTGGCATTGATAGGCAGAGTCATGATCTCCTCCCCGACACCCTCAACATCCACCACCAGCCCCAGCCTGTATCTCTTGACCGTGTTGGAGCACAGCGTCACCTGTACATGTAATACACATATATATACATACACATATACAGTATGAGACCAAGGTTCAAATGATGCAGTGACTATTACTCAAAGCCAACATCTGCAAACATGATTTCAGTCGGTAGTTTGTAAATATGAAGCAGGAGCCAGGAGACACTTAGCTTAGCTTAGCATTAAAATGGGAGACACGGGTAAAGAACTAGCCTGGCTCTGTCTAAAGGTAACAAAATCCACCAGTATCTCAAAAGTTCCTTGAAACAAGACTTCAGGAAGCTGCATTCAGCCAAAAAAAATGACGTGCTTTAGAGGTTCTGGTAGGGATTTTCTTTGCTTTGGACGGAGTCAGGTTAGCTTCCCCCTATTTAGAGTCTTTGCGCTAAACTAACTTAATCAACCCCAGGCTGTAGCTCTATACAATACAGAGACATGAGAGTGGCATCGAAATTCTCATCCAACCTCCCTTGCAATCTACCCTTTATGATGCAATGCTTATCGCTTTAATAACTACATTACATGAATTAGGCTGAAAATATGGCCACATTTCTACAAAAACATACAGCCTAGAACAGTTCTGGCATACATGTTTACAAAGACTTGTAATCCTATTAGGACAGCAAAATTTATTTAAATGGGCTTTCTTCCATTTGTCAATTTACTGTACCTTTATAGGGACATCGCACATGGAACGCACAGTGCCCGCAGCAGGGCTGATAGTGAACTCAGCAGGCCGTGCATGAAGGTCTCTAGTAGCACTGTCTTGCCAAGTGTTCCTGGAAAAGTCAGACACCTGTGTACAAGTCATACTCGGAGACCCTAACCCGTCTCCCAGGACACGCAGGGCAAAGGTCATAGGCACGTAGGAGGTGTTGAAGAGGGAACAAATCAATGTTGCTGGGAAACCTGAACAGAAAGAATGCCAGGATGAGAAGAGGAGAAAATGTTAAGATGACCAAATGAGATGAACAAATGAGAACATAAAGAGGAGGCTGGCATCAAAAAAGTTTTTCCGATATATATAATATAGAGTGTAATATAGGTTACGTAGCACCTTCAAAATCCATAAGCACAAGAAAAATAACTAAGTAACTCAGTAAGTAACTCACCAAAGGCTACATCTCCAAAATTGAACTCTGAAACATTGAAGTGGAATGTGGGACCAATGACACAACCCCTGAAAGAGAACGCATTTGCTTAGATAAATCTGAATGTTCAGCTACAATCTGAGTGACTACACTCAATTCACCTGAAGGTCAAGGTAAGGGGTTCAGGCTGTCCTGTGACAGTCAGCAGCAAGTCCTCAGAGAAAGTTCCTAAGATGCGACTGTGGAAGGTGACTTCCACAATCTGGCAGGCCCCGGGGGGAACAACACCTTCCTCGGGACTGAAGGAGAAACAACGTCCGAAAGCGGTGTTAGGGCTTGACAGTGTGAAAGGGGCATCAATCAGCCCTTTGTTGGACAGCTGCACCTGGACAAAAGGAAGGATCCATTAATACAAAACTCAAGTCATGTTTTTCTTGCATGAACGCTAATCATAAGGTAATATGCATGTATTGCATTTATGTTTTGTGACATTATCCACTTGGATTCTGTTTTAGAAGAAAACTAACAATGCAAACAGAGCTCTGGGAGCCTAATGTTATGTTGGTAATTTTAACTGTTAGTTTAGACTTATTTACATGAACAGACATCCAACAAGGATGTAAATACCAAATGTAACTTACGTAAATTGTTCATACTTACAACACATCTATTGTCACTGACAGATATAAAATAATGCCAATATTACATTTATGGACAACTATTGGCATAACTGTTAATACATAGTTCAGTTTTGCCAAATTTTATAAAACAAGTGTCCTGGCTGACTAGGTGGGGTACAAGATATGTGGACAGAATAACAAAGAAAACAATAACAACAGAATATCACAGACTGACAGTCTTGCTGCATTATAATCTTCACAAAGGTTGAAAATATATTGCATTGCTATTAAGTTGCATTACATTTCTATAATCATATTTTTGTAAGACTTTTTAGCAGCCTTAACTAGATGACACTAGACTAGATGTGATAAAAGGTAGGGAGATTATGCCACACACAAGCACTTAAATTAAGCTATAGAAAAACTTCAGTCAGGAAGACCATTCTGTTGTATATAGGCCTGTGGTTAATTTCTCTTTCCATCCATCCTGCATTCATTCCTCACATGCATCATCTTGCTGCTATATTTTTAAATATGATTCTCTCTCTCTGCTTTCAGTTCATTCATGCTGCTATTATAATCTCCCTCTAGAGTATACGCGCCAAAGGCTAAACTTTCTGTGAATACTTCACCATCACATGTCATGTTATAATAAACAATGATCTTTATTTCAATCACTTGTCCCTTCTGACTGAACTACATTCAGATCCACAGTTTGAATCATAAACTGTAAACATCAAGTTCACCATATTACCAGCATGGGACACAACTGTTCACTTGGCTTAACCTTTCTTACCTCAAAGCAGTCTTTGTCACCAATGAATACCTCTTTCATGTTCATCAAGTTAGTATTGAGCTGGAGCTTAGGTCCCATGCCCTCACCCTTTATTGTGAGAGGTAAATGAGATTCACGGCCTGAGTGCAGACACAGACAGACAGAGTCATAACAAAGTTAAAGACAGAGAAACCAAAATATATATATATATATATTGTAGGGTCAGGGCAAACAAAACAAGAAGATAGGAGATGTAACAACATAACTATATAGAAGGTGACAATTAAATGTATAGAGATAAAAAACTGTCGGTATTGAACATATCTTAGGATATCTTATCATATCTTTTATGGAGTCTACATTGGCTTTGCTGTAGCTTCTTTCTACTTCTCTCTGTGTGAACTTAATAAAGAGCATGAAAGGTCTATCCTTCAGTTTTGCTTAGTAAGCTTCTGAAGCGCTTTACAAAGTGAAGAATCAGGGTACAGTAGTCTGTAGGGCAGCTGTCATTGACCTAGACTGGTCAGGTCGTCACTTGCCTCAGAAAACATGGAAATTAATGTAAATCTTGTCTCCGGCTCAGAAGGCACACGTGACAGCCACATGCAAATTTCCCAACAACCTTTTACTACCACTGGGCTAAGATGAATATATTGGGACCGCATGACTGCATGGTCAATTATGAAAATTAAATTAAGTGGCAATGAGACGTCCAGTGGTGAAAGCATTTAGGCAGATTTAGGGGTTCTTCAACTGGTGGTGCTTCAACCAAGTTTGATTGTGGATATCATACACTGAAGGAGAAGGGGAACATAAAAGAGACATAGCAGAGAGGAGCAGTTGTCCTCTGACAATAAACAAACAGACAGACACGGTTTGCTACCCAGACTTGTCTGTCTAACCTTTGTCTGCAGCAACCCACTGAGGAAAGGAGAATCTTTTATGAGAAAGCTAAAGCTATTGATTTACACCAGGAGTGTACAGTCTGCTTGAAGTTGTTAAAACAATCAATTCCAAGGTGTTGGAGAACAAACAAAAGAAAAGAGTTATCCTCTGGTTCTAAGAGGGTTTTAGTTCAAGACACAAGCTATACTTTGAGTTAAGCATCGCTATACAATTGCTGTGAATGTAAGCCTTAATACACATTATTAGCTTGACCATCAACCTAACCTGCATTTGTCATAACTGCAAATGTATTATGGATTATGTATACAAGCATGTCTGCATGTCTGTACATTGCAGAAAAAATATGGTTGTTCATGCTGCTAGTGGCCAGTTGCAGAGGTTAAGCTGTCCAACCGTTGGCAATCCCACAGTCATGACGTCGTGCCCTAGCCTCTGTTCCACTAGCTTCTGTAACTCAATGCAATCTCTCAGTCAGGATTTCTTTCAGTGGTCTTTTTGAAAACACTGGTGTCTTCCTGGGGTTTACTTTCCATATTCTAAGACAACTTTGTGACCACAGAAAAAACTACATCTCCCATAAAAGATATCTTTTAGGCTTTTTGCCTTTATTATATAGGACAGCTCAAGATGGACAGGAAATAGGAAGAGAGAAAGTTGATGACACTGCTAATGGGCAACAGGTCAGACTTGACCCATGGCTTGCACATGGGGCACCATCTCTACCAGGTGAGCTGCCAGGGCACCCCTAAATCAGTGTTGTAACTGACCTGTGACATCACAATGTATGGTTTGCTGGTACAGTTTGGCCTCCTCAGGCTTGAAGACAATGATGAACTGTGCTGTGGTGTTGGGCCATATTTCACCCTCCTGAGCCATGTAACGTAAAGACAAGAAGAAAAACAATTGGTTATTTTACTTTAAGGATATACAGCAGACATCCACACACATTGTAAATGCATATTCTCTCACACAGAAAAATAGATGGGTTTGAGGATCATAAAACGTTTGTTTATGATGGACGTTTTTTTATATGGAAGTCTAACTGCAATCATTTCAGAGTAGAAAACAATGTGGGAGTTGATTGGTTCTTCTATCCGCCTCCACTCTGCACACACTAACTGTCCTACTAATACCTGTGTGTGTGTGGGTGGGTGGCTGGGTGTGTAAACTGCTGACCATTTCTCTCAAATACCCTCTCAAAGTTTGTGACTGGCCTAAAGCCTGTTTGCTCTCTCTCCCCCACTCTTTATGTGTCTCCCTCCTGCCTTTGGCCAGGGAACCAGGCTGAGTTGAGCAGAGGAGACACTGGCAGAAAAAAGGGAAGGTGGTGTCAGAACAGGTCAGGCTACCTGAAGGTCCCTGGGCAAAAAGAGCCCAGTCTGTGACCCTCCTGTCACTGAGGAGTCAGACAGGATTTAGATGTAAACCACAGAGAAGAATCCTCTTTGCAACAGATCTAATCACAGATCTGATCTTTTGGGGGGATCCACAACAGATCCTCATTTCTGTCCTTACAGTCGTAGGTGGCATAGCATGTAGTGTCCTTCAACGTAAGAACCCAACCTGCTCAGGTGTCTTTGGCTACTGACTCCCTGCACCATAAGAAGTTATTAACTCTGCAGCATAGTCTCAAAAAAGAGACAAACGTGGCTGCAAATCCATAGGTTGGATGCAGACCAACAATTAGTTGGTCGAGAGATACTGGACAAAACATAGCACAGACACACACAAACACACCGCTGGTTCCACAGTTATGCAGCTGTGTGAGAGGGCCAGGATGTGGTCCTTCACAGCCTGTCTTCTGCGTTCCTGCAGGGCTCTGGACAGCAGCGGGTGGCTATGGATCGCTGTCGGGTTGGACTCACATTGAAAACGCAACTGCTCCTTCTCCTCTTGCTGGAACACTGAGCTCTCCCTGGAGGAAGGGAGGAAGGGAGGAAGGGAGGGGAGGTGAAAGGTAAAAAAAAATAAAGCGAGAAACAAGGAGGGTCAGAGAGAAAAAGAGGCAGAGAGAAGAATAAGGAGTTGCTGACAGAAAGAAAGTGATGGACATGAGCTATTTCTGGCAACACATGCTGTGGTAAAGAAAAAAAAAAACACAGCAGGTAATTGTACTTGCTACATGTGCACAGTGAGAGTGAGAGGGGAAGCTTATACAGCCTCTAAAAAAAGAATCTTATCAAAACCCCAGTCCTGCATATTCTGAATTAAATCATTTTGGTTTGTGCATACATACATACCTCAATAAGCTCAGGGCCTCCTCTTTCAGGCTGGGCCACGTCGTCCAACAGTACTGGAGAGTGATATCACTCGTGTTGGTGAGTGACACTGTATGTGCGGTGGCTAGGGAAATGTAAGTCTTCTTCAACAGGACAGGATCAGGCTCAAGATAGACATTCAGTTCCTCACAAGTACCATACAAGCTGATGTACACATCTTCACCTGGGTGGAAGACATGTAGAACAAGCAGACAAATACAGAAGCAGCTAAGTGAGGAGACACTGTTTTCTTCATATATTTCAACCATCCAAAAATCAGTCAACACACAATCCATTAATGCAGTTACCAGTAAAGGCAGAATCTGTGTTGAAATAGAGAGATTTCCTTTTTTTCATATTTGTTGAAGTAACAGACATATTGTTATTAATATATTTGCATTGGAACAGATTTCACTTGGGACACTTGGGGCACATATTCCACTTTTTTTTAAGGTGGAAAGCTTTTTTGCAGTGTATATATTTATTCTTCAGCAACACAGACAATCTATGTCAGTGATTCTCAGACTTTTTAAACCATGTACCATCATTATGACTGATGACAGTAGCATAGGCCAGGTTTATTACTTTACTACAATATTGCCTATTCGTGTATAGCAAAGTAGGGATTATTTAATGCATGTAAATGTAAACTTTGTAAATAATACAATTCTGAACTGAACTGATGCAGGTATGTAGCTATAGTTCATATATTATGAAGCGAAGCACTCAAAAGATAAAAGACATATTGAGGCTTCAGGAAAACAGACCCTGCTCCCTCATCTTCTCCAAAACAACTCTAGACATGATGTCCAAATCTTCCCTTCATTGTCATAAATAGGATGTGTTCAGGCTGGTGGCCTTTGTGCCTATTTTATGCAAAATGTGCATGCCTGGTGATTTAGTTGACACGTTCCAAAATGAGAGCCATTAACCCACAGACTATAATGTAGCAGTGTGATTTTGTGTGACAACTTATCTATAAAAGTCTCAGTCTGAGATGTCCAACACTAGTCTTCGAGACTGTTTTGTCCTTTTTCTTTGCCTTAAAAGGGCTCAGATATATATTTTTCACTATATTTAACAAGCAAGTTGACTTGGAGCTAGTTCTTAATTAAACCATTGCCCTCAAGGTGTAGTTGCATGGGGGGGTGCACACTTACACACTGATATACTGTACACACATTTACTCAGTGGGGTGTTGCCCAGCACAACAACATTCTATCCACTGAGCAGCCACTGCTGTTCCTCTGGGAGTCTCAGGCCTAATGTGGGCAGTTGATAGAGCAGAACTCACAGTGGAGTCAAGGACATACTGCAAAGTATAGCTTTGAAAGACTGGATCCGGATCAAAAGGAGTCTCGCAGAGAGATTAAAATGGCTCTCAAAATATCCTGGAAACCTGGCATCCAGAACAACTGACTTTATTATGGTGCCAAGGCCCTTTTGAGTTGAAGTAATGTGAAATACATCATGCTGAAATACATATGAAGGACATGAGGTAAATATGACTTCCTAGCACAACACAATATGATTTCAAAAACCACAAAAGACAAAGCCCTTAAAGGTTAATGGGACATCTATTGACTCTCTAGTAACAGGGTGCCACCATCACATTAAGCATACATCCAATAGTGGCAGAAAGCTACAATAACCAGTAGCAAAAATAAGATGCAAAACAAGGTTTTGTTTAAAGCCACAAAGAACAAGGTGTCATGTAAATTTAGTAGAGTGTTTGTTTACATTCAAATCAGGACAGGAGTCTGTAGAAACACACTGCTTATTCTGAGATTATTTTTATTTGTATACCTTCAGAGGTTATATTTTTCAAATAAGGACAAACGTCTATAATTAAGTCCAACTCAACACACACAGGGAACTCTTTTGGATACAACCTACAGAATGTCTAAATTCTGATTACTGAATTTCTGGGCTCTCAGCTCCACAGGTTTCTCTTCTCCATGTGTTTCTGGTTGTTCATTATTTCTTTGATATGACATTTCCCTAGCGTGGATGGTAACAAGATACCTTGATCAATTAAAAATGAATGAGCACTGAAATCAAACTGGAATCAGAGAGACATGGAGGATTTTCTCATTCCCAAGCAGTGAAACTCAATGAGTCTAATGGGTATTTCATTTTGATGATGTTGTTGTACTTTTCAAAGCTTGTCTCTAGCCAAAACAATCACAGAGACTACCCATTAACTACTTTATGCTTCTAATTCGGAGTGAAAGGAATGAGTTACAAGTGCTCTAGGAATGCAGATTTATTCAACAAATGATTGATGATTGTTCCGCAGGATGGTGAATGGACTCCTGCTCTTGGCTGGGGATTAGAAACTTGACTCTGGTTTAACTGTGCAAAGATTTTGATATCTGAAATGGCATTAGTGAACAGATGTGAGTCCAACAATGATTAAATAAACAAGGACACAGTGTCATAGACACAAAGCATCCAAAACTAGACACAGCACATATTATCAAATTGCATTACTGCAGTGCCAGCAGGTTCAGGGCTGCAGTTCCACTCCAACTTATGGCTTGGAAACCAACACTTTCTTCTCCATGTAGAAACGTCAGGAAAAAAAAGAACAGGGCTCAGTAATTTTGACTGCAGTCAATGAGGGTTTTTATAGCTACTGTTAATGTTGTTTATAGCTACTGAAATAAATTATAAATACATTTATTAGCTCTTTACAAGCTAACATTTGGTGTTTTACCACATGCTGAAAATGAGTAATTAAGAGCCATGTGGCAGAATGGTGTTTCATTATGGTTGTTTATTTTATTTTAACTAACAAGTGACAGCTAACAATGTGAACCTCATGCATGCACATGAAAAACATGCACACAAATAAACTAGCAGCTTATTTATTGATTTGTTTGTTTGTGGTTGTTTGGGGAATGTCTTTGGCTTTTTCTCAGAAATTAGAGACATTTTGTACTTCCTGTTTTGGTTGAATTTTTGTAAATGGATGATATATATATTATATGATTGTGTCACTTCTTTATATTAGTTAGCTTAAAAAATGTTCTATATAGCCGATATTGTATTTTTTAAACCGATACAGATGGAGATTTTTAAGATAGAGATTTTTGATATTTGGTCAGAAATCTAATGAAAGCATAGAGGTCGACATGTATTTTTTTTACCACAAACAAACTTTTTTAATAAGATCCCTCAATTTGATTATTAAAGGTGGGGTAAGAAAATCATGAACGTAATTCTAATCCAATCAGCAAATAAAGCCTCACAGTCTGTTATCTTTGTGTGCGTGCTGAAAAAGCACACAGCCATGGCTCTCTAAATGGGAAACAAACAAAGTGGATTGGACCAAGCCACACAACACTAACTTGTTATCCCAGCCATTCTGTATTTTAGCTGTGCAGCAGCAACTTGTATTGGTCAGATTCAAAATAATGCTTTATGTATATGCATTATGGGTTTGCCTAAAGAAAAAAAAAACTGAATTGCAAAAATCGACAAAAACTGCAACTGTAACTGCTAGTGCTATTAGCTTCCTTTCCTATAGGTGGAGAATGTGTAGAACTAGTCTCACAATGACCCACAGCCAACAACTAAATTGTACTTAAACTCTTAAACCAGAGATCTTTCTGTAAATCACTCGAAAGGTAGTTATTAATTGTTCTAATCAACTTTAGTTACACTGTTTTCTTTTGTTTCCTTCAACATTTACTTAACCATGAGAGTCTACCAGAGATCAAGGATCTTTTTTTCAACTAAACTGGCCCATAACACCAGACAAGCAAATCAATGAAGAAACTACACTTCATGAGAATCTTCCCACTATCAAACAAAAAACAAGAGAAAGGGAATCAGACAAACAAGTGACTGTTCCAAAGAAAGAGAGGAGTAAGACTCAATGATGAATCAACCAAAGCACTGTGTTTCCTGGAGATTTATCTTCCACAATAATAAGCAAATGTGTTGCATTTTCATAAGATAAGCCACCCCATTAGGTTCCAAGTCCTGCTCAATGCTGCCCGCATAGAAGAGCTTTTAATCCATCTATGCCTGCGTTTGAACACGAGTGAGCCGATGTGATTAATTGGGACTTGAGATACCTCTTTGAGTCCCAGCAGTAAAAAAACTCTACCAATGTGACTTATTTAGCTTTTAGATCCATCGACAACAAACTGACCCTGTGAAGAATGAGGGCTGGTTAAATCTATACAATGACCATGCAGGCCCTAAAGTAAAAACACATATTAGAATGCAACGAGTGCTCAAGTTTGCGTCCAACACACTAATTATCAATGATATTTCTATCGTGTAACCAGAGGCAGAAAGAGGGAATACAAAAAAGCCTGAAAGAGTTCCACAGGAAGGCCAGGTCTTTTTTTCATTCTGCTAGAGAGGCTACCAAGCTGTGCGATATCATCGGATGGAGAAGAGAGAAAAGAAAACATAAAGGATGAGTGATAGAAGGAAATAAGGGAGAGAGAAAGAAGAGTTGGGGAATGCAGAGAGAAAAGCAATTATCTCCCAGCATGCGGATGCTATGACAGCAGCTGACAGGCAGGGAGAGCTGCAGCTTATTGCTAAGCTTTCATCATCACTGTCCACCAACCCATCTTCCCCCCCGCTCGCTTTCTCTTCCCATAATTTCTCTATGTACACTGCGAGAGAACTTCTGAACCCCTTCCGTTACCTTTGATTGCAGCACAAACAGCAGCTCTGCAGTATGTGCGTGGACACACATGCTTGGACTTACATTTTGGGCGTGTGTGTTTGTTTATGTGCAGCTGCTTCCTGTTCGTTTGTGTGTGTCCTGCTTTTGTAAAAGGCTGCTGTGCTGAAGTCCCCTCGGCGCAATCGCCCTGTCAAAGCAGATGCCTCAGTACTCCCTAAGAGCTGTCCGTCTTTTCATTTAAATCAGCAGCAGTGACAGAGGAGAGGGGTGTGTGTGTGTGTGTGTGTGTGTGTGTGTGTGTGTGTGATGGAGGGTGGGAGGGATTTAGGGTTATTGGAGCAGCACACAGACTCTACTCACTTTTAAGACAGAGCAAGACATTTCTAACACACCATGATGGAAAACAAGCAGGCTGAGCAAACTATTATTTTTCAAAGCTGCACTGGCTTTTAACTGACAAATAAAGATGCAGTGTGTATGCTGTGTTAACTACTATGGTGTTCATGCAAATTGAAATGCAACACACACGCAGGCTACGTCAGCCAGCTTAAGCTGAAGTCTCCAATGGCCCCTCAGCAGAGCAAAGCCTTTTGCTGCATGCTGACCTGAAACATACATGAGCGCGAGGGAGACAGGGAAAGGTGCTAAATTAAAAATGATAGTCTCTTGATGGGCTGTAAGTGGTGTTCGGGACCTGGGCTGGCCCTCCCATTATAAAAGCTTAATGCCACTGAGCGCCACTCCTTCAGCAGACCCGCCTGTTTACGTAGCTACACAGAACCCCTGCTCTTTTAAAGTCACACACACAGGTAAAAAATAATAAACCCTTTCACAAAACACAAAAAAGGATTTTTTTTGTATAGATCCTGAGGTTTTTTACTCAAAACAATAATCATCAAAGAGCTATACATAAGGTATCTCTCTGCTCTGGGGAACGGCATCAAAATAAAACAAATGACAAACTAAAAATGGATGAAAATTAATCCAAAGCCAGAACAGTTCAGCTCTTATCCACCATTATCCACTCATAAACAGGCAGTTTTTTCACAAGGTGACTTTGCCGTGGTAGATTTTCAGGAATACTACTGATGACAGAATGATTGTCGTGTCAGCATGCAACTGAATTTTCCCTCACATACATCCCATTTTTGGGGGGAAATTACAAGAATAAAGTCATAATATTAGGTCTACGAGAATAAAGTCGTAACATTACGAGAATAAAGTCGTAATATTACGAGAATAAAGTCGTAACTTTATGAGAACTGTCAGCCTGTTGGCTCAGCCGGCAAAACTGTTTAAGGACGAAATTATCTATACATCAGCTAACCTGTTGACTGTACGGTACGACTGAGACAAACAGCAACTGCTGGGCTCAGGCTGAGGCTGCTGCTTGGTTGAACTGGTCACGTCAGATCTTGATAACTCAATCGAAGCTTTTTTCTCATTAAAACATTTCTTCATTATTATTACATTATTCTCATATTATTACTACTTTATTCCCGTAACATTACAACTTTTTTCTCGTAATATAATTACTTTATTCTCGTAGACCTAATATTATGACTTTATTCCCGTAATTTCCCAATTAGTCTGGTCACACACACGGTGCTTCTCTGGAAAAATGGGGGTAAGGCATGGGGGAATATCCACCCAGGTGATGCATAGCTAACAAGAGTGAACTCAACTCCTTTACTCTGCATGGTGCACAGCTGTTGTACTGTATTTGTTTAACACCATGGGATTTTTCTACTTAGAAATCTTTTAGGGAGCTGTGTAGCTGAAATTAGCTTTAGAGGAAACTTTGATGTGGCTGGCTTGGCTCATGAGTAAGGCTGATTTGGTTTTGATTGAAGCATCCCCGTGGTTAATCAACCTAGCCAGTCATGTTTGCCATTACTATTTTCAGCTACTAATGTGAGAAAAAAAAAGTGAGACTTTTGCTCATCATAACAAACTACAGTGTACAATTTACTGTAAGCAGAAGTTCTTCATTGAAAAGAAGCCATTAAATGTTTGCCATCCAGCAAAGTGTAAAAAAAAAAAACATAATTTTTCTAAACCATTCACTAAATTAGTGTAGGATGTTCGAAAACGGGGTTAAGAAACATTTTCAACACACTAAGCCCCGGTTAAATCATCTCTTCCAATGTACCAATGTTTTCCAGCAACTTTTTCCTTTTACCTCTAATTGATCCCCTTGTGTGTCCACAGGAAAAGTTAAAAGCTTCCTCATTTTACCTTTGATGTTATAGAGTCTGGCTAATTGTGCATGCAACCAAGGCAACCCTAAAAAAAATGAATGAATTACTCAAAGAACACTGCCAGATGATCACAAATGAGCAGATTTATCACAAAAACATTCATTTGTGGGCACCATGGTAGATCACCTGGTAGAGCGTGTGCACCATGTACTAAGGCTGAGTCCTTATCATAGTGGTTTGATTGCAGCACAGGATCCCCTTTCTCTCTCCTTTCCTGTCTCTCTTTGGCTATTTATATCCCCCACTCCAAACCCCCTCCACAAATTTGGAAAGCAATCAGTTGTCATTAAAACAAGCATTTATCAAGCAATGGTATAATATAAAATACAATTTTTAAAATGAATACTTTAAAAGAACAGAGGATGAATGATTCATTAATTTACTGCACTGAGCTGAGTCCCTGCAGTAGAACTAACATAATATATAACAAGCTGTTTTGTTAAGTTATTCATATAACTTTTACTTCAATTGTTTTATTACCACTAGAGATACCTAAACTGTCATTATAGTGTCTGCCATGTTGTAAAAGCAGTGGTAGTCATCTGTTTTTGTGGGCTTTACTATGCAAATAATCAAGCTTTGAGTAGTGATTTGCAAAAGGTGGAGTCAGTCTGTCCAATTTTCAAATCCAACACTGTACTATGCAGAGACAGAGAGTTAGTGGGGGTTAGTGAATGCCCATTAAGATGCATTTTGAGAAGAAATCAGAGCTGAGACAGAGGAGAGGCAAGATAACAGGCCCTCAGGGAATGCTGCACTGAGCAGTAAATACAATACGTCACAGCCATCATGGTCGAAATCCCCATTCTGTTCGCAGCCCAACTCTCTAAAGAATTGTCGATTCTCCTCTCATTACCATCGCTTATGTCACCTTTGACTTCACGGCCCCAAGCATTCACAAACACACACACACACACACACACACACACACACACACACACAAGCTTCTAAGTACCTTGTTAGTATCTACTCATCACCTACATCCAGGTTAAAGTATCTTTCTAAATCCAAAACCAACCATATTCATAGGAGTAAATACAGTCGTACACACAACATACTGGGTTTAAATTCAGCAGCAAAAAGAACACAATTAGAAAGGAGACAATGCAGAGTTAATAGGACTGCAAATCTATTTGTGCTGGGATGCTACAAATAGGTCTGTGGATGGAAAACACTGATAAGGGCTGCATATGTGGCACCGACACTGTGAAACACAAACACTGCTATAATATTAATGTGTCTTAATAATTATTAATAATAATATTTAAAGTAGAGAATGGAAGAAACTGGCTTCTTATATAAAGCTTTAAATAAATAAAGTGAATGCCAGTGTTATCATCAAACTCTGAACTGCACTGAGAAAATTACAGTAACCATTATTTTGCGTGTGTGGGGTGTAAGTCCTGTTCAGCAGCCCTGTTCTGCTTCAGGGTCACCGTTGCTGCAGAAAGAGAATCTCATTATGGCGTTTACCTCAGTGATTATAGTAAACACATTCATCCTTTTAGTTCCACCCCATTTGACACTGCTGATTATGCAAACTCTTTTTGTGTAGACTTCTGTAGAAAATGTTTGCTCCCATCCGTGTGTATGTTTGTTGTTTGTGCATGTGTGTGCCAGACCATAACAGATGTAATGAGACAATGTACTTTGTTGAGGTGAGACCTCTCTCTGTTCTTTCATAGTAAGAAGTCTCACTGTGTGGGTTCCTGTTTGCTTGTCCATATTTTTATGTTACCAAAGAAAATTATAATTATATTGATACAAATGTCAGGTTTTGATTGAATATATGTACAGACAGAGGAACACATTCTCACAAAAACTCACCACTTCTTTTCTATGGAGACATTTAGAGTATACCTGAAGTTAGTTTCTTAAATGTGCTAGTTACTAGTGATTTGTTATTTGTGTCACTAGCTTGCTCATAGTTTCGTTTGTGTTCAGAGGCCTGACATTTTCTCACCAGTGTGGTAGTGCAGAAGCAGGTCCTGGCTATGGTCTCCTATGGTCATGGGGTTGAAATTCACAGTCACCTGCATGCTCTCGCCTACACCAAGAGTCCCAGAGGAGGGAGTCACTGAGAAAGGCCTGGAATAAAATACAATTCACAAGGTAGAAGAACAGACGTTGAATAGTTTTCACAATTAAAAAAAGGAATAAACATTATGTATGCAGAAGCAAAGGAAAAACATTTTTTTCAAGGAAACAGACAAACAAAATGAAAAAATAAAATAACTAGCAAACAACAACTACACCAAAACAATCATAGGCAATGTCCACACATCAGATAACACTGGATGACTGCAAGAGGCTTTGGATCTACTGGTTTTTCAAGGATCTTGGATTGAACATCAAAAATATAGAAAGTGTTGCAGGTGAGTTTTTACATTTATATTACAAGCATCATCATTCAACCGATGGACACTTCGATGAGATTATGTCTTTAGACAGACAGACGGATGAAGCCTGTGTGCCACCTTGATTTGAATCAGGCCATGCAAATATTGATGAGAAGTCTATATTTGATGATAACGGAGCAAAACCCAGAACAAGAGGCAGCTTCAAGCAGCAATCCCTGGCCACATCTGGCCACTTTTCATACCAAAATCTAAAAAAGACATCAGTTACATGATTTGAGTTACATGCTTGCTGTACCTCACAAAAAACACTGAAACACTGAAAACTTCTCTTCTACCCTCCACTAGCACACTGGAGCACACAGGGCTGATGATTTGGGGTTGATTGGTTGATTCGGGGCACAGAGCAAACCAGCCTGCCAGCCAAAATATTTCTGCACCTGAGCCAATATACGTACAGACTGACGAACTAAGGGGGCAGTGGAAGTGGAAGAGTGATAGGCTTTGCCGAATACAGCAAAGCTGGGAGGGATGTTAGCAGGCAGGCCTCTATCTCAATCTGCACCAAGTCAGTGGCCCCATCGTTGGTGAAGGATTGAAGAAGTATGCCAAAGGGTTACCAGCCCAATAGTAGAACTGGAAATATGGTAAAGCCATACCACCCACTGATCTAGGTCTTTTTAAAAATTCCAATACGAGGTGGTTTCTTACTCCAAATAATGCCAGATATAATCTTATTAATTGTAACTGATAGTAATTACTGTAGATGTTAATATAATATGTACCTCTCACCAAGTCCAGTAATATAGTTCTTGAAAAGGTTTTTAAGCAAAATGTTTGCTGTCAAGTTGTGATTCTGGGTTAGTGCATTGACGAATAAAAACTGTGAGTTTATTTATTGGGTATTTCATAATGGCCTTTAAGACTGAAACTATCTGCTGTAGAGTCAACCATAATACTCTCACCTCTGTGTGTGAAGCGTGAACTTGGCCTTGCTGTTTCCTACGTTGCGGACTAGGTGAGTCTTCTCTGTGGAGGCTTTCACCGGACAGGCGGGTATATGGAACTCATCACGAAAGTCAAGAACGGCACGCGGACCGATGGCACGGATCGGGACCTCAAACCGTTCTCTCTCTGTCACAAAAATCAGTCTGTGGTGGTAGTCCTAGATGGACAAAATGAAAAAAATGTGTTAATCACTCAAGCTCCATATATTATTGAAATATCTGTTAGATTCTGCCACCTGCATGTCCTTAGTGTTAGGCCTGGATGGATACACAAGCACAAGCACACACTCATGCACACACACACACACACACACACACACATTATGATTTTTGTTTTTTACTTAGGTACAAAACTACGGAAGCGTATTGCATTCACTTGAAAAAAAACCTCTTACTTATTTCTAATATTTTGTTCTGTTTTTCTGACTAATTTTTTCCCCTGTTTTTCTAAGTAAATTTTTTTCTGTTTTTCGGAGTAATTTTTTTTCTGAATTATCGGGATACTTCGAACTTCTGCGAGAACCTCCAACCTCGAGTGACTCCCAAAGTCCTCAGGTGCCTGCGTAGAGTCGACAAACTAATGATAATACCATCTATATGACTTAAAGACAGGACTATATCCCAGTGTCTTAAACCCAGATCAAAGTAAAACTTGATTGAACTAAACAAGCCGGTCATGTTTGTTTCCAAAATCGAGCTCTCAATAAAGGAATAAATGCGTCTATTGTTTAAAATGCTCTCTAAACTCAGAAAAAAATTAGTCTGAAAAACAGAAACAAAAAATAAATTACTCAGAAAAACACAAATAATTACTCCGAAAACAAAAAATAAATGTTCAAGTGAATGCAATACGCTTCCGTACAAAACCATTGTTTTTACTAATTCCTAATATAATGTGTGTACAACCCTTAGCAAGCTATAACCTGTAATAACAAAGAGTCTACAGGCATGCTAGGGGCTCTGTGAAGTGATGTTTTAAGCTAGATGTTCACATCAGCATGCTCAAAATGACAATACTAGTATGATGACGTTTTGCAGGTATAATGTTTCACCTCTAGTTTAGCATGTTAGGATGCTAACATTTGTTAATTAGCCTTAAACACAAAGTAAAGCTGAGGCTGATGAGAACATCATTAGTTTTGGGTAATAAATTAGTAGTATTTGAGTATTTAACCTCATGGAAGAGCTAGAATATCAGGGGATCACCAAAGCCATTAGGATTCATCTTATGGGGACCATGAATTTTTGAACCAAATTTCACAGCAATCAATTCAATAGTTGTTAAGATATTTCAGATATTTCACATCATACTGTGGAGCACTGCAAGCAAGACTAAAAACATGTGAGGACCACTGTAAAACAGCCATGACACACATGAGGGATTATGTTACCTTTAATATAATGTTGCTACATTTAATGCTGACCTTTGCTTATCACGTTTCACTTTCACCCACAGTATCAGTAAAAGAGACAACAAAAGGAAGTGCTGGTGTAACCTAATGCCTGACCCTTAACCTTCTGACTCTGACTTAGCCGTAGCCAGGGATTTCTGCACAAATTTTGAATGGAAAGTAAGTAAGTAATCATTTATGTCATACTATCTATTTAATCTATGTATTTTGCTGTATTATTGTCTTCAGTAGGAGTGCTTACTTAAAGTATTTTCTCTCTAATTTCACATTCTTACCCACGTCCTATCCTCTGCTTCCCTACAGGTCTGATTACAGCTTCATCTGATCATCTAATCTAAATTCTATATCAGCCTCCTAAGTGCAGGTTACCTTGATACTTCATTGTGCTCCCTGAATCTAGCCTTCTGTGTATGATTATTTTATGGAGCAATTAGACTCCCTTCTGTCTCCAGTACCTTTTTCTCCTGCGGGGTGAAGCAGACAGTGAAAGTAGCAGACATTCCTGGTGCAACCTTGCTACCTGCACCCTTTGGGCTGTCCACACTGAAATACTCTGAGTCCTGCAGTTCCAGCTTCACTTGTCGTGGAACCTTGACAAATAAAAATTACACAGACTTTGTAAAACCCCACACAACAACAAACACAGAGCCAAGAAGAACACACACAAGAGATAATTCAGTCATTATTACTTGAAGGTGTCTTGTACAACTTGCAGTGATAAATCTCTTCCAATCCCCCTTGAATGGTTCCAATCATCCCCCCCCCCCCCACACACACACATACATATGCTGTAAATCTTTCTTTTCCCTGTTGTCTTTTCAGCTGTCTTGGACTGTTTCTGTTTCACAGCTGTCACAATGTTATTAGTATAACTATTTACTTATTCATCACTCATTCCCACACCTTGTCATTGTTGAAGAGAAGTAGACGCAACTTGTAGGTCTCTGGTGGAATGAAGTTCTGAAATACCAGCTCAGATGGGTAGGGCTGTAAAAGCGGCTGATCCATATCCACCAAGGATGACTGTCACACGCACACACGCACACACACACACACACACACACACACACACACAAAAAGTATAAAATAACACCAGTCAAATGTATTTGCTAAAAAACACAACATATACAGGACTCATTAGCATTGACAAACGTAATGTATAAGGTATACTGTGTGGTAAATTAAATTAACAAGTTTTTTTTTCTACAAGGAATCGATAATGATAGATAATGATAAGGACATTTCAAGTTATTAATAACAACATCTTATTGTTATTTTTCACAAGGTAAGACATTTTGGGAAATAAGGATTATTTCATTATCGGTTTGAATGTGTATTAGATGAGAAGATCAACAACCACTCTCTTATCTCTCTGTTAAATATGAAACTACTTCCAGTAGCTGGTTAGCCTTGTTTACCATGAGGACTTGAAGACAGGTGAGAACAGCTCAATCAAATTGTTTTTAAACTTTTTGTAAGAATTAAACAAACAAGTTATAATGTGGTAATTAGTGAGCGTTAGAAGTGCCAGTAGGTAGATTTTGTTATCCTCGTTATCCCCTTTTCCAGTCTTAATGTTACAATAAGCTAACCGGCTCTCAAGCTTCATATTGAACAGACAAACTTGAGAGTTGTATCAATCTTCTCATCCAACATCATCCCTCAGCTAGAAGAGAATAAGCATGTTTCACAATATGTCGAACTATTGCTTTAATCTTTTTTTATGATTTTTTTTTAATGAAAATATGCCATCCAACTCACTCCAACTCACTCCAACTGAGTGATTTTCATCCAACCTCTATCATTGCATGATTGTCAGTTATAGACTGAAAAAAATACTCTGCTGTATATTATAAGTGTGCAATTTTTGGTTTTCAGAATGACCTTAAGAGATAATTTGCTCCCACTTATCACCTGCAGTGGCCCACAGTGGAGGTTACTCATATTACCATTTGCATATTTGACATGTCAACAAAATTTTTTAACAGGGTGAGATGCAAAGCGGGGTCCTAATTATGATGAAGGTGCGTTTATTAATTTTATAGGCATTTCACAAACTTTTGGTGGCATTTTTGCTCGAAGCCCCCGGTTAAATCTTGACTCTAAATGTACAGAACATTCAGTCACATTGGTTGCCCTCTGTCCCTCAATTAGTCCCTGCTGACTAAGGGGAAGCAGCTTGGGTACAATGTACATGACCTTAGCAGAGAACACATGCTCTGTATGCAGAGGATTAATGATGAAATAGTGACGAGTTAGAATGCGTCTTTTTTCTGGTCTATCCTTCCAATGAATCTTTTTATTTAGACATATTCAGCCATTTATATATTAGTTCAGTCCATATGGCCAGTGTTGTTGAACTAAGTTTGGCAACTGGAGCAATACAAATGCTCCAAAGGTACAGTATAAGTAACACTGGGAACATTTTACAGAAGCCGTTTTATACAGTATACCTTAGACATCCTTTATAGTGAGGAGACAGGTTGTCAAAATAAAATGTAGGTTTCAATGTATTTTTTGAGACTCAAATGTTATAGTGGACTCCCAAGGGTTTTCTCATAAAGATGAAAGTCAGCAGCTGAAGCTTGTCTGCAGACTTTTCTCTTTTGCTATAGGCTGTTGTCACTGTCACAGTTGTCACTGATGGTGCATATATGTATATAATAATAACATATTTAACCTGTAACCTGTACAGTAGGCCCTGCTAGTGATCAGTGTCTACTGTAACCTTTCACTATCACTGTGTCATCTGCAAGCATCTGTTTCTGGCTGCTCTTTCATAGAAGTCTAGCTGTATTTTGTGGATATTGAAAGCCTAGAAAGTTATTAGGCTACTGAGGTATCACGACATTGACTGGAATTTACTTTGTGATGCGTAGTCACGCTCATGTCGAGCAGTTCCAGGATGCGGGGCGGGTGCACCTCCTTGGTGTTAGCCAAACGCTCCTCTGTAGACTGCAACATCTCCTGGGTGTAAACAGATGGAGTCACCTGCAACACACAGTGGTGCAGGCAATTATGTTAACTGCCCTGATAGCCGGTTTCTAGTGTCTTAATTCAGCACTGACGAGGGACCACAACAAACAAGACTGTTAGCACTTATGGAATGGGAGAAAATATAATGAGCACAAGAGCTGTGGACTGTCACCTTAAAGCTGTCAGCTATGACAAATACGCACGCCTGCATCAAGAACATTTACATGAGCTGATTTTATATGCTCAAAGAATGTTAATATTCTCCCCTTCAGTGAGGACTATCTGCAGCATTTTGTGGTAAATATCATCTCCACACAATCCTCTGGCACCTCTTTATCAGTGCACCAGAAGCAAAGAAACATCTAACTGCACTTAGCCTATTTCAAGATTAGGTCAGGAAAGGATTTTAGCTTAAAATCAAAATGAATAATGTAGCAAAGGGGGTGTTATTGTATATGCAATATTCAATGGTTGCAAGTTAGTTGTGTATATATAATACATGTTCTATTATTCAGAGACAACAAAGTTGCTCGAGTAACCACTATTCTTAAATGGCCATAAAATAATTTGACTTACCTTTAGATGGTGATTCCTAAAATTATCCTGAAATGTAATCATTTGTTTTTTACGTGAAGAAATTCAGACATAAAAGACCACAGAACTTTGAATGGGATATAATGCTTGAACTTTTTTATTATGCTCAGCAATAGACTAATGGACTAGTAGACTAGTGTTTGCATTGGACTTCACTTTTGTTATCACGCAGACAATGAGAAAAACAAGGTTTGTTATGTAACTAAAAATGAGCTGTCACAAAACGTGAAATCAATAAAATCACCTGTAAGCGCAGATAATTAGTTTTATGTGCATTTTGAACGAAGAGAAATCAAGTAAAAGTACTTGCTTCTCTTGTCACCAAGCAGGAGCAGCCAAGAAGAGATTGCAGGCCTAAAATTGCTGAGCTGAGGTCTTTACAAGAAAACACTGCAGTCAGATATTGATTTTTGTTCCCGTTAAGAAGTCAATGTAATTATTAGGACAATCTGTCATGAGAAGCAGCTTCTTTAAAAGAATGGGGTGATATCCAAAACGTGGGTCACAGGAAATTGCCCCCCTGTTAATTCATGAGAAAAACCTGGTTTCAAAGTCTGATTAATTTCAGCCGGGAACCAAAGATATCCTCACCTTCCTTGGCTCGTCCTCCTGAAGAACAACTTTATAATTGCGAGGCTGAGGCAACTTTCTTTTTGAGGGAAACTGAATGGCTGTCATGTTGGGTGTGTTCTGAAGCAAATTCACCTGCAGAAAAGCAAAAGGACATGGAAGAGAAGAGAAGAAGTGTCAATGGACGGAGCTAATTAAGTGCCCATTACTCGTCACCAAATACTCTGTTATATAACAGTTACTAACTAACGTTAACGTTACGTTTGACGGTGCAACAAGTCCTCAAAGCCCCTTTGCTACATTTGGAGGACATTTATTCTAAACTTACTTTAACCTGGACAACTTATATGTTATTATACGACTTATAATTAGAAATACACATATATTACACACTATTATAAGCCCACTCTGACGAAATCATATTTCTCATTGCCGAGGTCCTCAAACATCCCGTCGACTCGCTGTAATGTCAACGTTACACTAACGTTAGGCTGTAAAATCTGCTCTACCTGGCTAACAACTTCCATTCTGTTACTGAACGTTACACTAAAGTTAACTGGTGAACATATTATCGTGCTGTACTTACAAAAAACAAGTTTTACCACTCCGAAGTTGAATAAAAGGTTACATTATCTGTTATCTGAAGCTCTCGGAAATTCAGTCAGTAGCGCTCGAGCGCTTCGTTGTGGTGTGTTGCCGTGGTAACGCACTCAGCAACCTGCCAGTAAACTGTTTCCTGGTTGGCCAACGGTTGCTACGTTCACAAAAACTGGTAGATTTGTTTGTTTCTTATTTCATAGGATGAATATCTATATCTATCTCTATATATATATATATATAATATTATATTATATTGTACTTAAAATCTTAATCTGGGAAATAAAGCTGTCAATTTTCTCTCCCTAATGTTAACTAGAATATAAATATGATTGAAACTTCAACAAATGCTTATTTCTGTTAATATTTTATGCTTGATTTGAACTTATTTGTTGTTCATTTCAAAAAGTATTTTTACAGTTCCTAAAATTAAACTTATTTCAGACATTGAGTTTGACTTGCAGCTTGTTTTGGCCTGTTTCAGTGAAAAGTGGTTCATTTAGAAAAGTCTTATTTAGTGGAGGTTGACAACGCAGTTAGTGTCTGCTATAATCTACACCACAGCTGAAGAAATACTCAAGGTAGAAATAATACACACACATGCAGGCGTACACACACACAAAAACAACACTAACTGAGCACTGTGTCTATGTATGTGTGTGTGTGTGTGTGTGTGTGTGTGTGTGTGTGTGTGTGTGTGTGTGTGTGTTCAAGAGGGTCATTATAAGGGCAAGTAAGACTACAAAAGGGATTTGAAAGCCCAGTGAGCATGATGACAGGGCAGGGATTTCTAATGTAATCTATAACTTACAAAGCCACTTATTTATCCCTCTCTTATCTCTCTGTTCATAACACACACATTTGAACTGATATTTTACAGAGGTTACTAATCCCCCCCAGTAGAGGGATTGATAAATATTTTCCAAAGAGTACACAAGTCAAGGAATATATTCAGTTTTTTTGTTGACCTAAACTAGTCGTACAGAAACATGAATACTAGCATCGGCTTATACAGTAAATACCCTATGTGTTATTTTTGCATTGTAGAACGTAAACTCCCCCACTTTGTTAAAACCTCCAAATTCCAAGAAAAAAAGGATGAGAACGTTCAGTGCCCTCCGGCCTTGGATATACTCATTCACATTGATTTAAATCATTAAATCTGGTAATTAGTTACTTAAACTGAAATTATAGTTTTACTGTGCACTCCAGATCTGGTTATAGTACACATTTAAAGAGTTTGTTTGATTATGCGTCATTATAGCTCTCCTGAGTCAAAGTTAAAACTACTGTTTCTGTGCTTTCTCTAACTATCACTTTCACTGTCTCCTTCTAACCCATGAGTCAGCTCTTTGAATTGTTGAGCAGTCCCTGTGTGTGACAGAGGGAGAGAGAGAGAGAGAGAGAGAGAGAGAGAGAGAGAGAGAGAGAGAGAGAGAGAAAGAGAAACTATTTGTACAAATTGTTGTAGTATCATGCAGAGATTCTGAGGATTTAAACTGTTTAACCACACTTGTAACATTAGGTCATTTTGTTTTTTTAATGTTCATACAAAAAGTTGTTGCTGATCTTATCACTTTCCTCATCGTTCTGTTTCTCTTCACCTCTGTTGCCCTCTCATTGTTTCTCCCTCCGTTCCCAGCCCTGTCTCTGTCACTGCACGGATCAGTGAGCTGCCCATCCTGGTAGAAAATTGGATTTAGTCTTTTTCAAAGGGACCGGCGGTTCGCGTAGGCCCCGCCCCTTTCCCCTCTGCGCAGTGACGTTGCGCGCAGGATGACCTCCGTCACTCCGTCCACGGCAGCAGAATCTCCATCAGCCGCCCCACTACAGTGAACTCAACACGGGAAGCATCTGACAAAACCCGACACAAACAACGTGTCATCAGTAGATTGTATGCTCATCATCAGATATGGAAGCGGCGTCCTGCTCCTCTAGCCAGCGCAGGTAAGAGCGATAAGGCTGGATGTTGGTGGACGGGAGTGAAGCGAGCCCTAATGGTTGTCAAGGCTACCCTGTATATTAAAGGGCTATCCAGTGGTGTTCAAAGCATATAACGCCTGTGTAATCAGTTTGACAGACGCATCTTGGCACGGACTGTGCTATTTGAGAATGGTTCAGAGAAGCCAAGGCAGCAGTAACATGAGCGCTTTATATTCTCAGGATTAGTAGCCTATGAGGGCTTTTCTCCCAGGATGACACCTCTGACGTAGTCGTGTATGTATGTGACAGGTTATGTATGTCGTAACTATTAAAGTCTGCTTTCTCTTTACATTGACAAACCTTATTTATTTTATTAATAATACCTTTGCCGGCTCACAACAGGCCCGTGTAGCGTTTCTAGTTCTCTGCCTCGGAGCTTAGCAGCAGCTCAGACTGGTCGGACTCGGTTGTGTTTTAGAGACGTGCTGTGTAGTGTCTGCCAAAAATGTGTAAGAAAGCCCGGGGGGCGTCCAACTCTTCTCTCTGCTCCAGTGTTTGAATACTCAGTTCTGGCAGCACCACGGACAGCTCCGCGCACAGCTGGCCGGTCCGTGAGAACCACAGAGGGGAGAGCTCAGAGTTAAATCTCTCACTTTGCGGTTACATAAGAGGCCTACTGTACGTGACATGCATGATCATTAAACATGATTTGGTGCAGGGTTTATCATTGTTTTGAAGAAAAGAAAAGAAGTGAAATTAACAAATGAAATTTAAATAAAACTTGAATCCCTATTGAAAACAATAAATAAGGACATCTAAAATAACATTTTTAATTAATAATAATTAAATAAATTAATAATTAAGTGAAAAGGCACTAGTGCTAAAAGAAAAAAATGGGAAAAATCTGAAGAAATTTCAAATATTCATATTCTTAAAATCATTAAAAAATGTTGCCTATAAGTTATGCCAGTTTTAGGGATGGGCCCATGAAATTAATTTGAACATTAAAGGACCAGTACATTGCAAATTGCAACCAACTGAATACCGCTCGAGAAACTCTAGTCTCCGCAAAACTCATGAAAAACATTAAAGGTCCTATCTAGAACCAATGTTGGGTTTGTCCCTTCTGGGCTACTGTAGAAATATGGCGGTTAAACATGGCAACCTCTGTTGAAGAGGACCCAAGTCGACCGCGTTCCAATACAACAAGTCAGAAAAGTAGAAATATCTGACTGGAAATATGGAAATCTCCGACTTCCCAGTTCAAATGTAATGCACCATAAGGTGAAGAAAACACAGTGATTCTTATTTATAGGTGATTATACACCAATGAAAACATACCTATTAATATTATATTCCATTTCTGACAATAGATCCACCCTAGTTGTTAAATCACACGAAAAAGGTTTCACTCTTGTTCAAAAATGAATCAAGTGGTTTTGAGTGGGACAACAAAATCCCTAAATAACACATAAAAATCATACAATCATTTATGATATCATTATCAGTATATCAGTAAGCAGGCTATGTATTATGTAGAGTTATGGTGTACAGTGTACAGACTCAGTTTCTATTAAACAACATAAAATGCTAACACAGTCTAATAGCAGCGAGCTAAAAAGTTAGCATCTGCACCTGGTTTTAGTTTTTAAACAACAGGAGAACTGTGTAACCAACTATTATAGACCAGAAATAACAAGATAGTCTTGTGAATCTTGTGGATATGAAATGTCACATATTGGTTACATAATGAAAGGGGGAAAAGATTATGTTGGAGGTTTAGCCCTGGTTCAAATGTCCTTTTCTTGGTTGTTAGCTGTTAGTAATATAAAACATTACAGCAGAATTACAGACACATGGGATGCCTTCATGTCTTTGCTGGATAAGCGACGTTATTTTTCTGGCTAGGTTACATATTGCACATTGATGTTGCTGATGTCTCCGTTTCTTGGCATTATGAATCTCTGATTAAAGAAAGATGTTGTTTAGTTGTCAGGTTAAATGACCTCAGCGGCTGCAATTCCTTCCCCACCTTCTACTGGCACCAACTCAAAGAATCTGTTTATGAATCAAACACTAAGAGAACAGTATGTCTGTTTTTCTGTGTGTCAGTGTGATTGTAGCTGTGTGTTTGTGTGTCACGCTGACATTACCACCTGAAGAACTATGTGAAGGGCAGCTTCTGCAACTGACAGGATTGTAATGACAGCCATACAACCATTGTGTCACAGTAGAATACGTGGATCACTTGCAGGGCATTTTTGAGAAACAGAAATACACGTACCGCTTTATTTTTTGTCTTGATAAAGTTTTAATGACTTCACACTTACTCATAAGAGTTCATCACTTTGACTTTACCCTGTCTCAGGTACCAACATATCTACTATAATAAAAAATGTCCCCGCTCCCTTTTAAGCTGGAAGGAAACATGGGGAAATGTAGCCAGATTGAACACCCAAGGCTGTCCTGCTCTAGCTGTCATCTTATATGGAAGCTCTAAAATCCTCAGATTGCTCTGGTAAAGGCTGCAGCCTGAAGTGTCATTGTGTTTTAATAACAAAGCTTGAGGCATAGAGGAAACATTAACAAGGTTATAGCTTTACAACCAGATTTATAACCAGAATTACAGACTGTTTCAGACTTTGTATGAAGTAGTACCTCGAGGCGTTTCCAATCAAATCAGCATCGCTGAATAATAATTTGGCTGCTACTCTTAAAATGGCTAAGTAAATACCCACAAGTGTGTTGCACAATGTATTATTTATTCTTATTTCTACACAATGTTCCTTTCCCATGTGCTTTTACTCCTGCATTTGAGTGTGTCTTACCCTCCAGCTGATCATTTAACTGGTATTTAACACGGTTGTTACAGAATATTGGATAATATTATCAAGACATTGAGCAACCACTTGGTGTGAGTTTCAGAAAGTGTATTTTTCATCACGTAAAGTGTGTTCCAGGACTGGTTATGTCATATCTACACATTATCTAACTATAGATCAAAAACCTAGGCTGAACTAAACTGACCCTTCTTGTCTGCAGTGTTTTAGTTATTGCCTAAAGGTTAAAAAATGCAACTGGTTGAACCAGTTCTATTCAGTACATATACTGCATTCATTACTGTTCTCTGCTGTTGTACACATCCCCCCAAAAAATATAATCTATATTATAATCTGTAAACGTACCTTCCTGCAAACACATTTTATTCAGACTGTCTATCTCACTCATATATTGTTAAAAGAGACAGCGCTTCTGTAGGCTTCCCATTAGCTGTGAGTTATTCCTGCTCGCTCTCCTCAGACAGTGATGACTCTTAATTCAAAACATGGGACTGATGTTGATTAGTATTTATGGTGTTTATTCCTTGGTGATAATGATGATGATAGCAATGGCGATGATTATCATAGAGATATGTAATTGATTTATCACTATCAGAGCTTTGGTTTAGTAACATTTGACATATTTTTTCCAGCACTTTCAGCTACAGTTATGAAGAGTATAAGGAGACAGCAGACTGGCTGCTCGCCCACACAAAGCAGCGTCCTAAAGTAGCCATCATCTGTGGTTCAGGCCTGGGCAGTCTGGCTGACCTGCTGGGTGACAGGACTGTGTTCCCGTATAAGGACATTCCACGCTTTCCCATCAGCACTGGTAGGTTGTCTGTGACAAACAGCTTTTTTATCTAAAAGTTATTATAGGTGTTTCTAAAATATACACAAGCATGTAAGCAGCTGCTCATAATGTATGTGTGCTGTGCAGTGCCGGGCCACACCGGTCAGCTGGTGTTCGGGAAGCTGCAGGACCGTGAGTGTGTCTGCATGCAGGGGAGATTCCACTTCTACGAGGGCTACAACATACACACGGTAAGCTACAGTACATAAGGCATATGAAATACTGCTAACTGGTAAGTCCACAGTGTTATCGCTCAAGGTGAGCTGTAAAAAATCATTAGAATGAACTTGTTCTGTAATAATGTATTTAAAGGTGTGTATCCAGTGTGTAAAATTTAAGAGGATCTATTGACTGAAATAGAATGTGTTTCTACCCCCTCTTTTTATTGATTTCAAGGGGAATCTGAATCGATGGCAGACATTGAGAATAACTACATAGAAATAGGCCATCTTCTTACTGGTCTCATGTGTTGATGTAAGTCATATAGAGGCATTAGTATTAAATTGAGACTGTTTGAAAACTCCTTGTTGTAAGTTTAATATATTCATTAATTCAGATGAAACTATCAATCAAATGATATCCGTGTGAACCCCGCATGGTGCAGAGATGCAGACATTTGTGACTACTCTAAGTTGCCTTGTGAGCATCTTTCTTGTCTCTATTTCTGTCACAAGCCAACTTGCTTCTGCATTTTGAAACCTTGCTGATACAAATGATATACTATACAGGAAAACTGAGCAAAAGCTGGCACTTTAAACTCTGACCTTGTTAGTGACTTTGAGATAAACATTCACAGCTTCTGTAGAGGAAGGCCTAATCTTTAACACCTACTTTGTTATTCATGTCACAGAGGGAGGCTCTTTAGACACAGGATTCATTCTGTGCAACATCTCTCAATTTTAAGTTCCAATAATGACATTGGCTTGGTGATAATGAGTAGATACAGTATTTATAAATAGTACTATGCCTGCAAAATGAATTGTAGAGTGTTTTTTGAAAATGTAACAACTTTAAATTCAACGGCTTAAACTGGACTTTCTTTCATAAAGTTTCAGATACCCATTCACAGCAAACTGTCAGCAGAGACACAGCTTCCTCATCTCATAATCAAATTATGTTAACTGGGTGTCTTCAGTTTCCTTTTGACTAGATTATGACTGGCCATAGTATAACTTTGGCTAACAATTTACTTTGTGTGTTGAATGATCAGCTGCAGTATTGTGATGACAGTAAGAAAACCACCCAGTGTTTCATAGTGTCAGTATGGGACTGGCCTTTGGCCAGTGGAGACACTGTCACCTGCTTTTATTTATTTATTTTATTACCAGCTCTGATGTACCATCTCCATATAAAATGATCCATATAACCCCGCTGAATCATAAAATCCATGTTCATACATCCAGTAATAGAAAGCCAGATGCATTATGACCCTCCTGTATACAGTTGGGACTTTAGACAGTGATACACTGTATGAAATGCCTCTAGCTGAATGACTATAAACTGAGCTGAACTCAAAAATATTTGACTCCACCCAAGCCAAGTGAGGTAAATTTCCCCCTGACAATATGTAGCCTATTACAATTATGCATTTATAGGAAGTTGTGCTGGACTTTGTCCTGTGTTATGGTCTGTAAGCCCTTCTTGGCAAACTGAACAAAATCCTCAACTAAACAAAGGATCAGATGAGATGAGTATCAGTTTTTATCAGCCACATAAGGGCGTGGCTCTGTGGATAGCAATGTAAGTCTGATGATTGGTTTGCCGGTCCACAACTAACATTTTTAATTTGTCCAATACTTTGCTTTATGACCACATTCATGCAAAACTAATGACAAGCCAAATGGCCATAGCTGGACTTTGTGGTTAGTGGTATTCAGCAAATCTTAACATGCTAAACTAATATGGTTAAACATTACATCGACATATAAATACTAAACATTAGCACCTAAAAGCTAAACCAAACTTCAACTTGTAAGTTCTGTCTCTTCCTGTGTGATTTTTTCTCTTCCTCCTTATAAGGTGACATAAATTGTCAGTAACAACTGAAAACTACCTTGACACAGACAAAAATGTATTGCCACCCAAGGCAAATAGTTCAATAAAGTCAAGTCATCATGAACATCTCCTGGCTTCAGTTTAACTGCTGTCAGACCTGTTATTACACATGCGGCTTACTATGCTTACATTCCATCCAACAAGGCCACGAGTCAACTTAGCACACAGTCCATCATTATATGCAAAACTCATATCAAAGAGGCCAATGTTCCAAAATGGCAGCGCTGACCTTATCAAGAAACCAGGGTACTTCAGAACATTCCTGCACTAACTAGCAAAACACTTTCCCAGGCAATTCAAGCTGTTGAGAAATGTGATATAGAAAAAGCAATTTCCAAATGTGACTGCAGTGAGAAGTAACAACAGTCATTTACGGGCCATCAGCTGCCCTATAAAGGTTAGTACAGAACCACAACTGTTCTCAGACATGCACAGTTCAACAAGAACCTACAGTAATAAAAAGACTAGACTCTATTGGCCTCAGTGTATGCAGAAATTGTCCCTCGTCTGTTGTTCCCAGGTGACCCCCATCGTGTAACTCCCATTTGCAATAATCTGATATGAATCAAAGCAATAAAAGAACAACAGTATCTGTCTCTAAAGAATTGCATGTGTGTCACTCCAGGTGACGTACCCGGTGCGAGTCTTCTTCCTGCTGGGCGTGGAAACTCTGATTGTGACAAACGCAGCCGGCGGACTCAATGGCAGCTACAATGTGGGAGACGTCATGCTCATTAAGGATCACATCAACATGCCGGGGTTTGCAGGGCAGAACCCGCTGTGTGGGCATAATGATGACAGGTACCGCACAGACACCAAAGCAGAACTATGGAAGTGAAACTAGTGCACTGGCAACATCCCATTCATTCAGTTAATGTCTCTCCAGGTTTGGAGTGCGTTTCCCTTGCATGTCGGATGCGTATGATCGTGAGTTGAGGGCTCTGGCCAGGCAAACAGCAGAGGAGCAGGGCTGCAACAGCCTCCTGCAGGAAGGCGTTTACTGCATGCTGGCTGGACCGACATATGAGACCATTGCAGAGTGCAGAGTTCTGCAGACGCTGGGGGCTGATGCTGTGGGTTAGTACAGCTGCCTCATGCTCACTCAAAGCAATTCTGATGTGGGGAAACCTCTCTACAGTGCATCTACTACCGATCATTTTTTAAAATAATTTTATTAATCTAGGTACCTGTTTAAAATATTGTTTTGCATATTTTGTTGGCAGCTCAATCTAACCTTTATGAATGGCAGTAGAAAACAATTTAATAGGAAAAACTAAAGCAATCTAGGTGATTTCTAATAGCTTCCTGTGTAAGCCCCATCCATACCCTTTATAAATTAATAAACCAAAGACCAACTTTGCTGCATATAGACAGAACACATAACCCTGCAGAGAGAAATTAAATGATGCATGCATGGGGTGGCATGGAGACATAAAAGGGTGGCAGAAATAGATTGACAATAAAGTTTTATTTCCATTTTTTTCTAAATACACATCTTTTTCTTACTGAACTTTCTTCTTTACTGAACTAAGTTCCAGTGTGTGGGATTAAGTGGCATCTAGAAGTGTAGTTGCAAATGTTCAAAAACGCAGACGCCCCTGTCTAGTGCCAGTGTTTGATTTGTCCCTTCTGGGCTACTGTGGCAACATGGCGGTTCAACATGGCAGACCCCATTGAAGGTGACCCCTGCTGCGTCTATAGACTCATTCTAACTAAAACGCAACAATTCCTATACTCAGGTGATTATACACTAATAAAAACATTATTATGAATACTATATTCAATTTCTGCTAACAGATCCTCCTAAATGTTAAACACTGGACCTTTAGGCATTATACTTAGTCTAAATGGTAAATGGACCTGTACTTGTATAGTGCCTTTCTAGTCTTCCGACCACCTCAGTGATGGTAAAGTCCATTGAACAGAAACTAACATTCATACACATTCACAGCATCGGGAGCAATTTGGGGTTCAATATCTTGCTCAAGGATACTTCGACATGTTGCACCAGGAGCTGGGGATCGAACCCACAACCTTCTGATTAAGGAACGACCCGCTCTGGCTCTGAGCCACAGCCATAACACATCACTAAATAATTTATTTAGCATTTGACACCAAAATGGGGTAGCAGCTCCCGAAAGAATACATCTTGCCAGGCTACGTCATGAGCTACAGGCATGGTTTAACACTAGGTGTGTGTGAGAAGTAACAACAACAATGGCAGCTGCTTAAGAGCTTAGCAGAGGCGGGGCCTGGGGTGGCCCCTGAAATCTGATTGGCCACCCTAAGTGCCATTCTATTATCCTTATCTCTTCCACTCGGCAGTGTCTTTCAGAGGCAATAGCTGGCTCCGCTTTAAAGCTAGAGTGAAGATCCAGCTATCATCAAAACTAGATAACCTAACGCATCCATTGGTACCAACCATATCATTCTAGCAAGTTGGGAAGGGTCTATGGGTATCCATGACTCCTAAATGTTACACACTGGACCTTTAGGCATTATACTTAGTCTAAAAGGTAGCCATAACACATCACTCAATAATTTATTTAGCATTTGGTCTGTGCTCCATCCATTTTGATCATTCTTTTTTAAATCTCTCTGCCAATTTTGTGAAAGTGCACTACTAAATCTAATCTAATTCTTCCCCCTACCTAGGTATGAGTACAGTGCCTGAGGTGGTGATGGCTCGTCACTGTGGCTTGCGGGTCTTGGGTCTGTCTCTCATCACCAACAAGGTTGTGACAGATTATGACAGCAATGCGAAGGCAAACCATGAGGAGGTGCTGAGGACCACCCAGCGCCGAACCCAGGACCTCCAGAAGCTCGTCAGCAACCTCATCACCAAGATCTAGTGCCTTCATCTGAAATCTGCTGGCAATTTTAATTTGTTGTCGATTCATTCATTGGGAATTAATCATAACTTCAAACAAAAGGTAAAAATTATGTGCAGGGGTTGAGCTGGTTTAGTTGGTGTTGATAATTATTTGAATATTGTAACATGGTTAACTGGGGTATGAGTGAGGTTTTTGAAGTAGAACGCAGAGTAAAGAAAACATTTTTGAGAATGTCAGTATACACTAGAGATGCTTGTAATAGCTGGAAATGTCCAAGACATTTGAGTATGTGTGTCTAGTTTGCTATTCAGTATTATCACAAGGACTTTAACAAACCAGGAGATGTTAGCTTGGACCCAGTCCTCTATATTTCTGACAGCTTCAGAGGTGCGAAGAGGTGATGGTATCTACACATTAAAAGAGCAACAGTTGTCCAGTCAGCCATTAATATGAACGTTATAATTGAGGGAAAGGATTGGCTGCATTTGTTTTTGGCTTAGCATTGTTAAATTTCTTTGGGCAAGAAATGATAATTAGAAGAGGATTACCAGAACCCTAGAAACACTTAGTATGAGGCTGAAACGCAGTGTTTCACTACACTGGGCAGAGTGACAGCATACGAAATGGCTGGGACCTTTCTGAAGGCTAACATAATAAATATAAGACAATTTAATGGTCAGTTTATGCTACTGGATGCTAATGACTACTAATGGATACATTAGATAAACTGGGATGATTGTGTCATGGTTAGTAATCACTCAATAGCTTCCTGTTCTTGTTGGAGACTCAGCAAATGTTTCCTTATCATGATTGTCTATCATTAAGATTTACACACTGTCACTGACAACCTGTCAATTAGAGTGATACCCTCCATTATTTATACTTACCTTGGTTACATGAATACATGCTATATGTCTAATCTGCCCTTAGCGAGAGCAGTATGTGCAACTACCACCTGTGAATGCATCATCTAGCCTACCATCTTAAGATTTGTTCAGAAGACCCAGTGCACTTATGCGTCGGCCTTGACAGGTCGGTGCAGGGCTAGAGGGAACGGCCCATTACTTCTCCAGTGGGGAATTAGACAATCCACATAATAAGAGTTCCTAATCAGGGAGCATATAGAATAATAAATGATAAATACTTGTTTTAGCTATAAATCAGACTGGGTATATTTACACTGTGATCAAATCAGAGTTGTTTATTTTTGAAGGAGACAAATCACTGGTTTTAATTATGTAATGTTTTTACTGATGAAAAAATGGGACAAAATGGCAATGCCATGTGAATCCTAATTCTTGTTAGATCTCCAGTGAGAAAAGAAAGTAAGGTTTTATCTGTTTCTGGAAAGCCTGTCCTATAGTTTCAGTAATCTTGTAGATCCGTGAATTGTTATATAGAAAACTAATAATAAATAAAAAATAAATAAAAATAATCTGAAAGAAATACCTAAAATCAAAGGCTAATCCGGACAAGCAGTAGTGATGTATGAAGGTTTTTCTGCGGTGGATTGCATTTGGATCCGTTTTATTTGTATACCAAGAGACCACAACACTGTAATATCAGGGAGAGGTACAATAATGAAAACTGGGCCTGCAGTTTTCAATCTTCACTGCGCTGATCTGGAACCTCCTGCCAGGTTCCCTTGACCGTCTCATTCATTAGAGCCGGAAATCCTAGGTCAGCAGTCCACCTCTTAGACCAACAGGCTGAACATCAAGATGCTAATAGTGCTCTTAAAGGGGAATTCCACTCAGAATGCATTAAAAGTAAAATATGGTGCTGCTACAATAAACTGGAAAACTTGTTATTTAAATACAATTCCTTAATTTTAAGACTATTTTCCTGAGTGAGCACAACTTCAGATTTAGCATTTTGTTTCCTCGTTGGTCTTTAGTTGTCTGGTTTGCGACGTCTTCCACACGTTTGTATTTAATAGACCATATATGCACAGTTGAATCATAAATACTGTACTGTATACTGTCTCAAGGCAAGATCTAACTGCACTACTATGTCTCTATTGACTTAGAACAATTTATATTTATGCAGATGTTGCTGTTGTCAAATAAAGGCTTACAAATTACAAATTACATTTGGCTGCTGGTATTTTCTACCATGGATGAGTGCACTCGTTGGTGTGTGTGTGTGTGTGTGTGTGTGTGTGTGCGCGCGTGTGTCTACTAAAGGGATATGTCCCTGAATCAATCCATATGGATGTGTTAAAGTAGAAAAAGGTTTTCTTCCACTTTCAGCGATAATGATGATCAGTGAAGGGAGATATCTGTGAAAAGCAGTAAGATTAAGGAGAGACCTCTCTCCTAACCCTTCTAAACACTCTCTCCCATTCCCTCTCTCTACCTTCAGCTTCACTCTCTCAATCCTTCACTTTAAACACACCTCAAACTGATGAAGACGTTGTGAGATTGAGATGGAGTGCAAATGGCTGTTCCGTGCCACGCTCCTTTCTGTTACATAATTTATCTACATACAGCATGTAGAGGTGCGGCCCACTGTGGAGCTGAAATATTTATACAAATGAACCAGGCAGCCCAATAACACAAACACAACCCCTATACTGGGCTGGATTGTATTTACACACACTCACACACAGATGCCTCACAGCTCAGCTCCACAGCGAAAAGTGAGACGTCTGTGTAGATGCAAATAGCAGGTGTTCTGCTTTGAATGGAGGGAAGTGGTAGACAGGTCACACAGATAATGACAGACGATAGGAGTGAGTAAAGAGAATAAGAGAGGAGAATGAAGTGTGTTTGAGTCGGCAGTCCCCGCAGGCTGGCGACAGGCCTCATCTGTAATGTAATGTTGATCTATCTATTGTCGGTGTGCCAACTGAGCCCAGAGGCCGCTATTGATTATTATAGGGTGAAAAGAGAAGCTGAGGAAACAGAGCGGGACAGCTCTGCTGAGTTTACACTCTTAAACACTGTCACACACCCAGGCTTTTTCTCTGTCACACACACACAAGCTGCTCTTATGCACTGTCATGTACCAGAGCTCACACAGTCTATGAGAAAACAGCAGTGCTCCTGTTAGTGAATGTGACTTTTACAAGCAGCAAGAAATAACGTTAGTTGGGGAATGTCTTTGCTGACTTTCACACGCTGCCTCCAGAGGGAGTCGTCTGCCAGCAGCGTGTCAGCACTGTAACAGCATGCGGGCTAGATTTGGAAAATTACTGCTCCACCTCAGAGGAGACATGACAGGTCAAGTTCAACAATGCATCTGTAGGCATAATGGTGCCAACTTGGTGGATCATCTTTATTATTTTCCCACACCACCTCAGCTTCAACGTGGGTAGCCTCATAGCACTGAAAATACAAAAGCTTAACTCCCAGCATGGTGATATGATGACAAAACATTACTAAACACCTGCAGTACTGAAACTGTTAGTCAAACTCACTATTTACAGAACACCTTGTTTTAACAGCATCTAACCTTCTAGCTCTAAAAGGAATGATTCAAGATTTCAGGGAAATACGCTCATTGATTTTCTTTCCAAGAGTGAGAACAGAGGTCGACTAAAGGTCCACTGTGTGGGATTTAGTGGCATCTAGTGGTGAAGCTGCAGATTGCAACCATTTAAATACAACTCAGCATTCCGAGCATAGGAGAAACTACGATGGCTGCAAAACTGGCAAAAATGGAAAAGGCCCTTTCTAGAGCCAGTGTTTGATTTGTCTGTTAGCTACTGCTACTGTAGAAACATTTTGGTTCAATATGGCGGACTCCGCAGAAGATGACCCCTCCCTCTGCAGATAAAAACGTCTCATTCTATGGTTATGAACCTACCTGTGAATATGATATTGCATTTCTGCCAAACGTTACACACTGGACCTTTAAGTAAGGAATTTGAGGACGGAAAACAAATGAACATGCATTTCTGTTTGAATCTAAGCTCGGCCACCATGGCACCAGCTTCACACTGAACACATAAAAGCGGTAACATTCTTCTCATTTAACTCTGGAAAAATCAAACAAGAGTACTTGCAAAATGTTAACAGCTAAAAAACATTTAAAGAAGTCAGCCCCCTAACCTTGCGAGGCAGCTGATCACAAGATCACTAAGTCACACAAGAATACATCTTGCCAGGCTACGTCATGAGCTACAGGCATGGTTTAACACTAGGTGTGTGTGAGAAGTAACAACAACAAGGGCAGCTGCTAAAGAAATAAGCAGAGGCGGGGCCTGGGGTGGCCCCTGAAATCTGATTGGCCACCCTAAGTGCCATTCTATTATCCTTATCTCTTCCACTCGGCAGTGTCTTTCAGAGGCAATAGCTGGCTCCGCTTTAAAGCTAGAGTGAAGATCCAGCTATCATCAAAACTAGATAACCTAACGCATCCATTGGTACCAACCATATCATTCTAGCAAGTTGGGAAGGGTCTATGGGTATCCATGAGTCTCCCCTTTGCATACATGCCCACTTTATGCTAATTCCATGCAGTTTTGGGCAAAAACCATGCAGTTTTTTGCAGGTGGTATAAATGTGTTATTTTTGCTAAGTGTATTTTAATATTTCTGCAGACTGGAGTTCCTAAACAGTGTTGGAATTGCATAAATTGGGAATGAAGTAAATCTAAGACACATACTTAATGCCTAAATCAGCGTCCCACTTATGCCACTGCAGTCCAAAAAGTCTGGAATGCCCCATTAGCGTTAGCATAGATGCTGTTAGCATCAGTTATTTAATAAATGAAGGGTATTACTTCATTAAAAGAAGAGCACAAAACGGCACTGAAGAGATGTTCTTGCTCTGCCGACCTTCTTCTGTAAGAGTTACATTTTTCATTCATCTGATTGGTTGACGGTTGCTAGTGAGAAACACTGAACTGACAGTCCATCCAGTCACCTGACGAGTATTTTTCTCTGCCCTTTCGCAAACAGTTTCCAACAATAACGTCTCAGATGGTTCTGTGTAACAAACCATTCCCTCAAGAGTTGGTGAAAACAAAAACAGAGCCAAAAGAGAGACGTTCAGCATAGGAACTTTATGAGGTGATAATATGTCATTGTTGTGTTTACAGCTTGTTGCGCTGCTCCCAAGTGGCCAAACAAATAATGCAAGTTTAAAGTTGCATAGAACATCCTCAACATTTTTTTTTAACCATTGTTTCTTCTCAGTAGGCCCCTTGTCACAGCAGACATTTTGACATGTTGTAGCAGAAAAAGCACAGGTGTAACAACTGCATTGTATTTAGGTGCTCCACTCAGGAACCATCCTTAATTTTATTAGGTACACGTGTTCCTCCTGCTATGATAACTCAAAATGTGAATGACCACGTAGCGCTTGTAAAACGCACCCACATTCTCTTCACAGAATTTCAACAGCAGTAGTCAGTTGAAAACCATTATTAATATTCTTCATGAGTGAAAAGCTGTCTCTTTGCAGATTTCATCCTACAGCAGGAACATGCTTCTAGGGATACTTGCCCTCCTGCTCATTACAGTCTTATTACCTCATCCTGAATATTATCACCGCTCACAGTAAATGAGTTGAAGAAATATATATGAGTACGTTTTTTTCATCCTCATTCTCCTAATAGGATCTGTAGCTTCAACTGCCCCTCTGCACAGTAGACTGACCCTTAATGAAAAGACCCCCCCTCCTTTTTTTTTTTTCCCAGAATTTACATTTATTATGTGGGCTAATCACTGGTGGCTGGAGGCAGTGTGGGAAATGTGATTAGTGTGTGAGTTCTAATTAAGTCTGTGAAGCCTCACACACTGGCAGACAGGCTTGGGGAGCTGCACGCTTAGATCACACACACACACACACACACACACACACACACACACACACACACACACACATGCACAGACATGCATTTCGCGTGCATACAAAAATCTGAGAGTTCACATACATGGATGTGGAGTGGATTAAACACACACACACACACACGAAGTGTACTGTAAAGCATGATGATGTAACAACAAAACACAATCTGCATCTCTCTCATCTTTCCCCTCTCTCTCTCTCTCTCACACACACACACACACACACACACACACACACACACACACACACACACACACACACACATCACTCTCTCCACTGCAGTACTATCACACAACTACATCAAGCTTGGAAGCATAGCGCGCGCACACACACACACACGCAGGGACGCTGACTCAGTTGGATACTGTCGGTGGCAGTGCGCCCCCAGCGGTGGTGCAGCGGTGCTGCCGCTCCGGCGCCGGGGTTAAAAAGCGGCGGGCGGCGCGCAGGGGCCACAGTGTGGGGTGTGTTTGAACAAGAGGCACAGAAAACTTAGAAGCGGATTTTGTCTGGCGTCTGATCTGCAGCAGCATCCGTCGAGAGCATCATGGCAAACAAACCACAGCAGCCTCCTCACCTCCACCTGGCCGAGGTCACTGCGTCCCAGTTCCTCGACATTTGGAAACATTTCGACGCTGACGGTAAGACACTTTCCTTAATTCCTAAAAGTTATTTAAAACTCACAGTTCATGAAAGATAACTCAGTTTTATGTCAGTGCTGTAAAATGCAGCCGACTGAGTGAAGGTTTTCTCTCTTTTCTTTGAGTGACTATAACGCATCCTCCTGCAAACCTAAAACCGTTATAAAGACAGACAATGTCACTGTGCACAAAAGTTTGTCGTTTTTCGCATTAAAACAATTTAGGAGACTTAGGAAGAGAAAAAAATACCATAATGCTATATATGGGTTTGTAAAATAAATTTTGCGTTGAATTTAAAGGGACTGTTAACCCTCTTTAACTAGTGATAATATTCTGTCTTCTGGCGGTCCTAGATTAATAAAGTAGCCAAAAGGAGCATTTCTATATTTTTGAGGAGCTGATATCAGACCAGATATTTTGGATGTGCAGAATTCCTAAGAAGCTTAAAAAAGTGAGGACCACTCCCGACATCAGGTTGTATAATTTTATTTCATTATTTCATGTTGATGTAAATACACAGATCCAGATCCATTATGTCTCGTGTAAAGCAAACGTTATTCTATGAAAAGAGACTGTATACTGAGATATCCTGCATGATCTCCATCTCTCCAGTGAGCCCTGAGTGGTCTGTAAACTGTATGCACCGCGCATGAAACGGCTAGTAAATGGAAGTTTGAAGGATGAAGCCTTTATTCTTGTGTGAGTTAAGCTCTATGAGCGCACTGTGCGCTCCCAGAGAGCTCCTCTCACGGTGCATGGGGTACACCCTGACGTTGGAATTTTCCAATAATGAAGGAATTTGATTGAAAAGCGCAATTAAAGTGTTATTTCGCAATCAATACATTATTTAATTAGGCGTTTCAGTGGGTTACAGTACGCTATCATCATCGACAGCTTGGATGTTACCTATAAGTAATTGGCTCTGACTTATGCTCCTTGTATTGATCTCCGTTTCCAATCAAAAAGTGGCTCATCAATAAGTGCAGTCTGTCAGTCTGTAAGTCACCCAGTATAAAAAAATTGATTTATGTGATATTGATATAAAATAACAACATAAAATTTCCCCATGTGCTAATTTGTTCAAGGACACCCCTCTCCTAAACCACTCACACACACACACACACACACACACACACACACACACACACACACACACAGAGGCTGTTTCTTCCCCAGTCTGAATCTTGATCAGTGCCTTTTCTTCTTGCATCCGTCCTCTGTTTGTCTGCGTTGAGATTTAGTCAGTTCAGTCTCATTCTGCAAATATCTGTGTATATGTGTGTGTGTGTGTGTGTGTGTGTGTGTGTGTGTGTAGTGTGTGGCAGTGTGACAGTATGAACTTTTTTTTATTCCCAACACATTCATTCAGGCACTATGTTGCTGCTGTCACGAAATCCTCATCAGTCTAATTATGGAAATGTTCATACTTAAATTCCACTTAAGGTCTGCAGACTCCTCTGTGGATTAAGGACATTCTGTGAGCTGATGAAAAACAAGTCCATGTCAGTCTGAAAAGGAGACCATTTTTTTGTTTCCTTAACTTTGAGAGTCAGACTGGGACATATAAGTGACCACTCTCCTGGCTGAAACTGGTCGTTATTCAGCAGAAAGCCCCCAGTCTCACTTGTTCAGTCAGCTTTCTTGAGATGTCCAGAATACAAGTATGGCGAGTATGTTGCACCTATTTGTTTTACACACCTGCTCCTGGGAATTCACTGGGAAGTTCATGCGAGCTGTTTTGACGCCTGCACATGTGCTGCAACTTATTCCACAGGGAAATCAAGGTGGAATGAGGAGTTAGGTGGGGTGGGGTCGGAGGCGCTCAGCAGCTCAGAGCCAGTGTGCAAAAAGGTTGTCATATCAGTTATTTTACTCTTTTGGCCTGGTTATAGATATCCATCTTGTACCAGGCAGGTCTTTAAGTCCTACTGTGGAGGTATTTTACATATTGTGCTTTGAAAGGAGCCACTTTGCAAATCAAATACAACCAGTGTGCATCAACAGATTTGGCTACAGGGTTTGATTTCTGCTCTCATTACTGGGAGTGTCTTCTGGCTCGGCAGAAAGAAGGGAGAGCTAATTTGTTTGCTCAGATTGAGTAAACATCTCTGAGTTGCAGATAAAAATACACAGGAGGCGATGCACCCGGAGATGATGAAACCACATATTCCCCTGTTGGGCCAGGCTCAAGTCTCATCTGGGTTGCATCTCTCACAGCTTCTCCGCTCTGCGTCCCTCTCATCTTTCTCTGCTGTCTCTGTCAGGCCTTTTCAATTCACTTCAAAGCTGAGAAAGGAAACAACTGCAGTTCCTTTTGCTAATTATAGAGCATTTGCTGTCAATTATTTTGATTAACCTGGATATGGAAATTTGGAATATGAAGCAAAATCCACCTCCTGAACTGACCCAGCTGTGATCTCAATACAAAATATTTGAATAGACAGGGCTGCACTCTCCTTTGAAAGGCAAATGCACTTTATATAGGCTTTAAATATGCACTTAGGTGGCACAGCTGCCCACTTTGAGAGTTTTCCTGTGTTGGGGTTGAATTTTAGCCGTCTTTACCAGCGTCTCCTGGGACTATAAAGGCCCAGTATTCGAAAGAGTGTGTATTTGCCATAAAAGTGTTTTTTTTTAAGCTTTTTATCTCACTGGTTGGTGCAAGCATTGAGTGCTTGTGCAGAAGGACCAACGCATGTGAAAGTAAGTTAGTATGAGGGCTCTCATTATGTCATAATAAAACTTGTTATTTGACATTTAAATTGAATGATCTGGAAGTGAGCTGAAGTCTGCCATAAAATGAATCCGCTGGCAGGGATTTCTTTCTTTCTTTTTTTTTTTTTTACATCTGCACACTTATATAGCATCATTGATGTTCAGTGTCACAGAGGAGTATGTGTTCACTTGATGCTGGATTTGGCAGTTTAATGCATGATGGACACTGTAATTAGGCTGCAGCACATTAAGCATGATTTCATAGAAAAAACCATAGGGTACTTTAAGCATATTGTGGTGGCTTGTGTGCTTAAAGCATAAAGTACTTATCCTGCCTGCACATAGGCACAGTACAAACAGATGCTCCCTTATGCACAAATATAATTGGGTGTATGGAATTATTGAATGTGTGACAGCGTTCCTGCATAATCTATTCATAAATCTATTTTTATTGTCATTTTATGCCATTCGCCTTGTAGTTAATCACATCTTACTCTGTTTAATTATCAAGCAGGCCATTTCTCTCCAGAGTGCTAAATGTCAATAAGACCCACAGGAGGGAGGCTCGATAGCAACGAGGCATTTTACTGTCCCACTTATTGAAAAGGCAGGGCTTGTATTCATGAGTTTTGATAACATCACTAAGGCATGCCCACACACACACACACACACACACACATTTCCATGGATAGAACAAAGACGCTAAGATGTTGGTTGGATAGGGAAAGGGAGTTAGAGAGAAGATGACAGAGAGAGACGGCGAGTTAGAGGGAGAGGAGAGGAAGTGGATGGCATAATAATCTTTGTTAGAGTTTAATGAGGCAGCTCTGCCTTCCAGGGTTTTATTGAAGCAGCTAGTCACATCGTTTGGAGCCATCTGTCCAGCCATTCAGCATGCTTGTTGATAGAATATTGGCAAGGGTTTACAGACTACCTGGGTGAAGCAGGCATGCTCATTTGTCCTCTGAATAACTACTGCCAGAGCAACAGAATACCAGGAGTAAGGAAAAGATAAGATAAGAAAAGAAGAAAAAAAAACTTTGTTGTCCACAAACTAAATTCATCATGACAGAATCCAGAATAATGTGATAGGCATCATCTCAGTATAAGGACCGTTAACTTTTATCTGTCAAAATGATTGACAGCATGCAGCAAAAGGATAGTACGAAGCTTCAGTTCCTTATGAGAAAATATCATCACTTTTTCAAGTCTATCTTTATAAACACAAATTCAGGGTGAAATTGTCACACTTCACTTTTATCCATATTTCGTCCCATTTGCCAAACTCCCCTGCTGAAGGCAGTATTGATCTCTGTGGAATAAAAGAAGCTGCCTGTGGATCATCACCTTCAAAATCCTAGAAAAGCAATTTTCCATATATAGCTTCTCCTTGCTTACAACCCCCGTGAACACACAGTCTTTGAGGAGTGATCAGTTTGCATCGTGTCAGTCAATAGCCTAATCTATTGAGCCAGAGGGGAAGGAAGAGAGTTACTGGTAAAAGGCTCATGTTTGAATCAATACCGAGGCAAAACCGAGCCATGCTGCGATCTGTTTGAAACTGTGACACTGTGACCACATCTGGGCTGATGAGCTTTTTGCATGTCAGCAATACTGAAAAAAGCCCTTTGGGGTGATAACATGTTGTTTTGGTCTGTCTGCCTCCCAGGTAATGGCTACATTGAGGGGAAGGAGCTGGAGAACTTCTTCAGGGAGTTGGAGATGGCCCGGAGAGGAGCAGGGGTGGTGAGTTCAAGGACCAGAGATGAATCACAGATAATGTATACTGACCACTTGGGTTTTACTTGTACTGAGTATGTTACTTATGTAATGTTTTCTAGGACCCTTCAAACCCCACATTCAGAGAAAAGATGAAGGAGTTCATGCAGAAGTTCGACAAGAACAAAGATGGACGAATTGAGATGTCAGAGGTAAGGCCTTGGAGGTGCTTGAAGTTTGGAAATCAGCGGTTTTCATTAAAGGAATAATTTGACATTTTGCTTTCTTATTGCTTTCTTACTGAGAGTTAGATAAGAACATTAATGCCACTTGTGGTTTTTACACTTGCTATTTTGATAGGCTAGATTAAACAAATGAGACATAACATGTTACTTTGTGAGTTTTATAGGTGCTGGGAGATTTTTGTTACCTGTGAACAGAGTTACGCTACCTTTTGTCCCCTGGCTTCCAGTGTTTTATCTAAGCTAAGCTAACCGGCTGCTGGCCAAGTATGGTTCATACTTAAAGGGCCAGTGTGTAGGATTTAGTGGCATCTAGCTGTGAAGTTGCATATTGCAACCAGCTGAATACCACTCACCTTCCAAGCAGGTAGGAGGTTTGGTTTGTCCGTTCTGGGCTTCTGTAGAAACATGGCCGTTCAACATTGCGGTCTCCATAAAAGAGGACCCACTCGGGGTGCCCGGTTAGTTCAGTTGGTAGAGCTGGTGAACCATATACAGAGTTGCTGCAGCGGCCCGGGTTTGAATCCCACCTGGGGCCCTTTGCTGCTTGTCATCCCCTCTCTCTCCACCCACCTTTCCTGTCTATCTACAGCTGTCTCTATCAATAAAGCCAACAAAAAAAATAAACTTAAAATCCCTTTGTAGATGAAAACTGCTTATTTAAGGTAACAAAAACACAACAATTCTTATTTTCAGGTGATTATACACTAATGAAATCTTATCTAATAGATTCCAAAATGTTACACACTGGACCATTAACACACAGCAATCTTCACTAACTCTCAGTATGAAAGCAACATGCATTTCCTAAACTATTCTGTTCTTTAAAATTTGGAAGAGAAGGAAGGAAACTAAATAGCTTATAGTCACATTTTTGGTACAAAAAGGGACAGGTGTTTATTTCACTGAAATGTGTCTCAAACCCAAAACCTACTACAGAAAAGGTCTGGGTTCTCTGCTTTCTATGGAAGGTGAGTAAAAGTTGCAAAAAGAAAAAGCTAAGCTAATTCATGGAGCCAGAGGGGAATACATTACAAGTGAGATGCTTCAGAGGCCTGGTCAATACTCCAATCGATGCATAAATACAGTCTTTATGATATGGAGTGTCAGTTTGGGATATTGCTTTCCCTCGATTTTACAATTTTCAGGGCCGGGATTTGAAAGAGATGCAAGGAGAGCTTCTGCAATATCAATAATCCACCACTCACATGGAAAATCTGCAAATACATTTTTGTTTCATTTGTTGATGAAAATCAGGTGTAAAGGCTTTGTCTGAACATCCAAAAGCGTGATTTTCAAAAATAATTCAAAGTTAGGCATAACCGGGCTTCTGAGGTCATGGCTCTCTATTATTGATGTCAGAGTTGCCCATTTGAGGCTCCCCACTCCTGCTTATCATCCCCACCATCTTGTGTTCTAACCACTCCCATTATCCTGTCATTTCTCTTTCTAGCTGGCCCAGATTCTCCCAACTGAAGAGAACTTCTTGCTCTGCTTCAGACAGTTTGTCAGCTCCAGTGCTGAGTTTATGGCGGTAAGAGTGTGTTTCTGAGTGTGTGTGAATTTTAATGCAAAGCTGCTGTCTTCTCTTAAAAACTCTGTCGTTTGATCAGTTCTGTACATGACTTTTTGTACTATGGCTTCTTGTTCACTAAGAAATGCCATTAGTCGGGACATACTTACTTAACCAACCATACACTATAGACAGAGGCAGTCAGCCGTGGAGGGGAGACAGCCTGCATGTTCTCATTTCTACCTACCAGCAAATTTCACAGATTAGTTCTTCGTGTATGGTTGAAGGTGTACTAATTAGTGAAATAAACTGGAGTAGTCTGGAAAGAGAACCACAGACTCTATGCCTCCACTGCACACAGCAGTTGTATTACAAATAAAGCAAGCAAAAGTCAAACAATGCACTTGAAAGAGTACAAAAAAGTAAATCCCTTTAGTAAAGTTTGAAAGGAGGTGTGAAGAGTTTAAAATGGTGCTGCTTTTATTCAACATTTTGGTTACAGTGATACAATAAACAAGTTTGCCTGAAAAGGATTGAGCTAATTTTATGTGACCTGTTAGTCTCAGTTAATTACTTAGGCAATATGTAAATGTCTCTGCTGGTCTATGCAGAGAGGTGAAGTTATGGGTGGTTTTGGGTAACCGTGAGGTTTGCAGAGGAACTGACATGCACACAATTCCCAAATCCTGATGTGCAATACGGACATGAACTGTTCAATTGATTTAACTTCTGTCGAGAGGCGGGTTTAAAACGGAAATAATAATGAATAAGTTCATACCTAAAAACTTTACAAGTACTAAATAAACATCTATGTGAATGTTTCTGAATTCCCCCCATGCACATGTGCCTGAAGTGGCATGTTTCACACTGAAATCCCCATTGGTAGAACTGGAAAACTTTGGCATCCCTTTGGCGCATTATTTGAAGGCATTGCCACTTATATGAGATACTAGATACTGAATACTGAAAATCTGCAGTAACATTACAGAAAGAAATCAGGTGCTTAGCTGTTCTTTAGCTTTACTGAGGCTAGTCAGGAACAGCTAGCTTACCTTAACCAGAAGACAAAGTCCAGATCAGCGATAGAAGACAGTTACCCCACTGGAAACTAGTAGAATATTTTCTGTATGTATGTCTGTTTGTTACAAGTTGCCAGCAAAATCTCACTGGAAATAAAGTCTGTTCTGTTACAGTATAAAAGCCAAGTTGTGTGTTTAAGAAACCATTTATAAAAATTCCCAAGTATGGTATAAATAAGTTTAGTGCTGCTGTGAATTATGAATAATGAATGATTGTAGGAGTAACAAAAGCCTTCACCAAGATGTGTGTTGAAAGGTACTAGAAAAAGGAAATAATTTATTCCACAAAATACTGTCAGAAGATAAGAAAATGGCAGATTTTGTGTTAGATCTGCTGCAAGGAAAGAAAAAGGCCAATTAGAAACCAATTACATGTGGGGAAGAGGCTGTCCTTGTCTCCTGTGTCATAGCGGAAAGGAATGATGAAACGATAGAAGGAGGATGAGTGAAAGAGAAGGCGTGTAGAGAGAAGGATACAAAGGGCAAACGAAGAGAATGCAGGAAGAGATAGGACGTAAATGAAACGTCGATGGGAAGTTGTGAGCCTGAGTTTGAGAACATAAAACAAGAGAGGAGGATTAATCAGTCTTTTTCGAAGGGTGCAGGGCGGAGAGGTTTTTAAAGGGTTAGAATGAGGAAGCAGAACCTTCTATTTTCAGAGTCATATATAATGGATAACACCACTGTAGCTCCTCTCTGCAGAGCCCAGAGGAGGAGCAGAGGGGGAGGAGGAGGAGGAGAGGGAGAAGGGGGAAGGCCATCCATCTTTGATAAGGAGCCCTTCTTTGGACAGGGACAGCTGCTAGATTAAAGCATTCATTAAAATGACTTTCTCTCCCTCCCTCATTTCTCTCTCTGTCTCTCGTTGCCCTCTGCTCTGTACGCGGGCGAACGGGATTGTATTGAAAACTGTGTGATTACAGTGATGGTGCGGGCTTTTGTGGTCGTCCCCTCTGGAACGATTTCTGCCCTGTACAAGAGGAAAATCAAACTCTTGGTGCAGTTAAAGAGCAAGCTGGGGTTCGATCAGTGAGGATTTATGTAAATTACTCTGGAGAAGACACTCTTCTCCACTCTTTGTGCTTTGTGCATCAGTGCTGAAAAACGGTTTTCAAGCCGATATGTCTTTTGTTCTGTTGATTTATTTTAGGCATGGCGGCGATATGATACAGATCGCAGTGGCTACATTGAAGCAAATGAACTGAAGGTAAGTTGTAAATATGTGATTCTCAGTGATAAAGCATATTGTAACTTATTCATGGAAATGGCTTTTATGTAATATTTCTCAGTATATCTACATCTACATCCCAAAGACTAGCATCACATGCAATGCCTATAATTATAAATATTACAAATACTTTTGTTTTATTTATTCATCTGCTTACATGGTCAAACTTATTCTTATTTTGTTATGTCTTTTGTTTTTTTCTCCCCCTCCCCCAAAAACACACATTCAAATGCACATTAACACACTTACACATGCTCACTAACAGACCACCTACCCCAAACTGTAACTATCAGACAGTTGTACTATAGCTAGTAGCCATATGAGTATCTACTTAAATGACCCCTGCCTTTTCCTATGATCATTTACATTTTATTTACATATATTTGAAGCCCTGTAATAGTTGTGTTTTTCTGTTTTTGAGTTCCCCTCAATGTATTCCCCATACTTGAGTGTAAAAGTGTAGACAAAACTTAAAACTATAAACTAGATGTCATGATGTTTTGCACCAATAAAAATGGAAAGAAAGAGAGAAAAACAGTCCTCTACAGTTTTTGTTTTGCAATCAGTACTGATTCTGTGTGCTGAAAGGAAGTTTCCAGATAGTTTAGCTTTCTTGCAGAGAGTTAGATGTTACCTCTCATGTCTGTACGCTAAATATAATGCTAGAGCCAGCAGATAATTAGCTTAGCTTAGCTTAAAGCAGGGGTAACTCCCATCAGCACCTCCACTAGATGCCTGTGAACTTGCGGAAGTCCTCCGTGTCTGGCCACTTGTTGCTACAAAATAGTACCTTGCACGCTTCCTGTAAAACCACAACTTGTCATTTTTACATTTCTGGATTAAACAAATCATATGTTGTGCTAGTTTGTGAACTTCAGATGTGCAAAGAGGCAGATTTTGTTACCCAAGATAAACTTATTTAGCGTATAAATATGACAGTGGTATCAATCTTTCCAGGGCACAAAGACCGATGTAAAATCGCAGTCTAATAGAAGAAAATATAGGAAATATATAGAAAACTATACACAAGGAGGTAGTAATAGGACAGCATCATATAAGCATGCATCAAACAGGCTATGCAAAAGCAGTTGCAATTCTCTAATGATGGGTAAAGGTCCACAAAACAAAATGCAGTGTAAATCCAAAAAGATTCATCGTATACAGTTTAATACACATTAATAGCACATCAATCCCAGTCAACCACAATATAGATATGCAGAATATAGATAGATTGTATTTTAATGCATTGAAATAGAATTGATCATTTAAAAAGACCTTTTTTCTACACACCTCTCTATACTCTCCTGGTTCACTGCATCTGGTAGAGAGACACATCAACAGTGTAAAGCACCAAAAACAAACAAAAATGGAAGAAAATCTGTAGATGAAAACCTCTCATTCTAAGGTAACAAAAACACATATTCAGGTGATTATACACTAATAAACACATACCTATGAATATTATATTCCATTTCTGCCAATAGATCCTCCCAAATGTTACACACTGGACCTTTAATCTTATGCTGCCTCAGTGTTCAGTGAGGTAAGTTTTTAGGTTGCCTTTCCAGTATAGGCGAGGCCATATGGGCATTTGATCATATAATTAACGTTCTTGGTGTTGCATTTGATGACACCTTTTACTTTGAGCTCTTTACTGGAGTGGGTGTGACTAAAAAAGTCACACTTAGAGGTGAAGTTACATTGTACTTATAATCATGTGCATCTAGAATTGCCATCAGGAACCTTGTGCAGACCTTTCTCCTTTGTGCCCCCCTTCAGTGGTATTTTTTTTCTAGAACCTGAATACTTTTGCCTGGATGTGCACACACTTGATCCCTTTTCTGAAGTGGTATCAATCAGCTAACGCTCAGCAAAAGAGCGAATAAGGATATATCCAGAAATGTCTAACTATTCCTTTAAAGCCCTCAAAACATCTGTAGGAAATATTGAATATAGGACATTCAAAGAAACTGCTAAGTAAAGATAAGAAACAGATATACTGAACACAACCCAAGTTGTAGCCATCAAGAGGCCTATTAAGTGACATATTAGTTAAAAACTTGATCAACATTTCAAAATGTTTCGACACTGGTTTATTTTGATTTGTGCGAGCATATGAGCGAGCAAAGCCAGGCAGCAGCTTTGACGGAGGAGAGTTAAGTGGCTACACAGGGAATTCCCCAATGACCATGAGTGTGTTTTTCAGGTGAGGATTCAGATGCAAAAAGCTTTGCAGATTGCACAAATGTTATTCACTTCAACACTTCTTGGAAATGTTGTGTCAAATGATATAAAAGGAAGTGCTCCTGGGGAGGAAAGCATTAATGGGGTCAGTGATTATGCGTCACCTACAGATCAGGCTGCTTTGGTTGTCATGGCGTCACATTTCTTCCAGCTGACCAGGTGCAGATGAGTTACTCAGGTGTGGCCTTTTGATAGCAGATGAGATCGCAGGCAGCAGACATGTGTCTCACCTCATGACTGTGAGCAAAGGTTGAAAATATCTGAATACAACGACTTCTGTACTGTAACAAATTATGTATAAAATACTTTTAGGATGATTGTACTAGAGTACCTTCATTCTAAATGACTACATTTTAACTGCACTACATGTCAGTGGGAAATTTACTTTTTACTGCATCACATTTACATTTACCTGATGGCTGTAGTTACTCTTAACTCTGCAGATAAAGATTTTAAATACAAAACCCAGGATACATTAATAAAATACCATTGATAGCATGGTTCTATCTCACCATCCTTTACTTCTTTCTGTCTTTATGTTTTTCCCACCCTCCTACTTTCTTTTATCTTTCCTTCAGTGTATCTTTCATTATTTTAACCTTTCCTTTATATTTTCCTTTCTTGAATTGTTCCTCTTTTCCTTTATCAGTCCTATCTAAAAACATGGAAATCCCCAAAACTGGAGAAACTAACCTTTGCTCTCTACCATAACTCCACTACCATTGCTTTTACTTTGGATACTTGAGTACATGTTACTGCTACTACTTCTTTACACAGCTTTTACTTAGTGTCAGTTGTGTGAGGGAGGAGATTGCTGTTTTGTATTAGAAGTTTCTGAATATTAAAAGAGGATTTCAGAATATGAAACTGATACTGATAAACAGATGAATAAGTCTCTAAAATCTATGACCTCTGTTGGTTGCATTGAATCTTCAGCTGCATATTTTATGCCCAAGCTCTTGCATAGCTGTATTGAGTATGTACTCCTGCATGTTCTTCCTCACTTCTTTTTTATGTGTCTCTGTCTTCAGGGCTTTCTGTCAGACCTGCTGGAGAAGGCTAACAGACACTATGATGACCAGAAGCTCCAGGAGTACACACAGACTATCGTAAGACTCACTCTTAAACACACTTATGCACACGCACAGTTATCACTACTCTGTTGAGCTAAACCTGATGCTGCTCAGTATCAGAAACACAAAAGTCATCGTTTTCATTTTTATTGATTTCCACCAAAAATGCATTGATTTTTAAAAGCAAGCCAGTCAGTTTAAAGTTTCAATGTTGTGTTCCTTGCTACAAGAAGACACTGTTCACCTGTAGTAAACAAGGTCCTGTCTCAGCTTTCAGTAACCATAAACCATGGAAAATAATAGGGAGAAAACACAAATAAAACACATAGTGATTTTCTATCAGTCTCTCAAAGTAATTTTAAAAAATCTAGAAATGGCTAAACAAAAATAAAAAGTAAAATCTTGTTAACGCCAGCAAATCCTACAGAAACACTGTGAGCCGTGTGCACTGTTTATGAAAGGTGTATTTCTATTGTCCATCTGGCCTGGAGGACCTCGGAGACCTTTCGTGCCGGTGGCAGCAGCGCTGTGCGGCTGAGTGGTCGTGACCCCTCATGTCCTGCAGGTTGTGTGTTTACAGCCCAGATGTGCTAACATCTGCTTCTTCCAGGAAGCCCCAAAGCTGACCTGACCTGATTTGCTGAAGCAGTTTCCTTAACACGCTCATAGACATACATGTTTTTATGGTTTCTTTATACCTTTTTTACAGATTTGGTAAAATGATAATTGAGGGAATACAGCAGGTGGTAGAAATTTGTCAAAATAATTCCCACTAAATGATGACATAGGTACCAATATCATACATACACTGTTGTAGAGGATTTGCTGTAGTGATTCCTGTGCTAGGAATATCCTATGCTAATGGAAATTCTCTAGCGAACATTAGAACTTACAGCAAAAGTAAATGATGTTTTTAATAAATCTGCAAGCTTCACAGTAAAATAACAGCTCAGTCTTCTTAAATTGGCTATTGTGAGTAGCATAGTAATAGCATATATCACACAACTGTTCCCTAATCCCTAATGTATACCTTTCATAAAACCAAATTAATGCTTTCATACCAAATATATTTGCACCAACACTGTACAAAGGTCCATCATTAGCTTTTCTTTGTGAGAAATCTAAATCTAATTTTACTCTTAACTCTGCCCTAAAAGAGAGAACCTTTAGGTTATTATTCTGTAAAAAATTCCCCATCAGCTGCATTGACAGTCCCTTTACTGCCCCCCTGGTAAACATCTAGAACTATGAAAAAAGGTGTGGATTTATGATAAAGGTAGAAACTTTATGGCTGTCCATTCTATTTCTCAGTCAATGAAATTCATGGAACCACATTTGCCTTCATCTTGACAGCATATACCTATAAAAAACCTCGCTTTCATTCTCTCTCTCCTCTGTCCCTTCCTATCTCTGTTCTGCTTCCACTTTGTAGCTCAGGATGTTTGATCTGAATGGAGATGGGAAGTTGGGCCTGTCAGAGATGGCAAGGTAATGTGCAATTTTACTTGCTTCTGTTCCCTATAGAAATGTTGGAACACATTGCCTGCTGATGTTCACCGTCATCGGATTTGAATCATTTAACACTTTTTATGTCCACTAATAATGGCCCTCTCTCCCACAGGCTTCTCCCAGTCCAGGAGAACTTCCTACTCAAATTTGAGGTATGGAACAAACATGGTGCATAACAAAATGTTCATCAAATGGGTATATTATACACAATTAATGTTACTAAACTACTTATACAGGAGTTTTGTCTTACTGTGACTTTGTCTGTTTGTCAATTTGTTGCCTGGTAATCAGAATTAAACCTTGTTTTTACAGGGTGTCAAGTTGACCACTGAGCAGTTCAATGCCATCTTCACATACTACGACAAGGTAGGGTTGTCGACTTCTTTCATACACACACACACACACACACACACCAAACACTGACTGAGGTCTGGCCCAACTTCTGGGTTAACTTCTCTTCCATTCGCTTTCAGTCGTCAAGGCATTTTGGCACAGGCAGTTTCTTTCAGCTGTCGTACTGGAAAACTATGATGCTCCTGGGATATTCTGTCTACGTATTCTGAGTTAAATTGGTATCTCCTAGAATGCTAGAACACTTCATCATTCATATTTAATTAGAAACAGTTAGCTGAAGTTATTTTGTTTGTAACAACTACATCCCCCATGAGTCATAGCCACGGGAACTATTAAAACATCATGGGAGCTGTTGTTTGGTTAATATAATAAGGTGTGTTTGTAGATACAAATTTAATTTAGCCGAGGCTAGTGGAGAAGAAGCTAGCTTGAAAAGAGGCTAGGGACTCTGAGTCAGGTAGGTTTGTTCGTGCATAACAGTGTACTGTAGTTGAAAGTTAATGTGCTAATGTGGCGAGAGGACTCGTGTATAAATGTGTATAGTACATTTACAATAAGAACAAATTGTAACATTGCACACATTGCAAAAAATAGACTAGACTCTTGAGTCAAGCTGTCTGGATGACTCAGCGCTGTTTGTTTTGGAGTTTCCCTTTTGTTAAAATCATAAATATGCAAATTCCTTGTTTTGTACCTAGGGCGCTCCCCAACTACCTAGGGAAATGAGTGAGGCTCGGCACACCTGTCCCTTTGTAAACAGCTCAGGGTGGTTGAGCAGTGGTTCAGTTAATGGCCACCTTTTCCACATTAGCAGTAGATTGGTGGGGAGGGACTACAGGGAGTGATATGATACAAGACAGACGGGAGCAGAGCACATTTACAGGCGAGAGTTGCGCATTGCACATCTGTTAAATCATTTTTCTTATTTATGATATCTTGTGAGTTTCTGTCAGCCTGGGGGACCAGCCATAATCTAGGTATCTATAAGGAGGCTGACTCACTTTTTGAGGAAATAAACAACTCAGCAGCAGCAGTCTCATTTGTATGGGCTAAATGCTATTGTTAGTTAGTGATATACATTCTAATTGAACTTAATGACACATTTGCTGTCTATCTACTAAGACATTTATAGTCTGCTTGGAAAAATAATGCATGTCTGACATTTTTTTCTGCCAAAAATGTCCACATTAATACCCTAAAAAAACCTCTACTACCTCATTAAAAGTTCCAGAATCTATAAATATGCAAATTTTGTTAATTTCTAAAGTTTTCTTGTTAGACACAAGATGTCTCCAATTTCACTGAAGTTCATTCTCAGTGGATGTGCACTGGTGACTTTCTACATCACACTGTACAAGTTGATACTGAACCAGGTTTGACTTCCAAACAGTTTGTGATGTCACAAATCATGCTCATAGGCCCCACCCCTTAAAATCTGATTCTTCTAGTGTCAAACTTGCACATACATCATTCTGCACAGTAATGGTCAAACATCCAGCTGTAGGAAGAGGAAGAAAAACATAATTATAATAAGTATAATAATACATACACCCAAATGTTTAGACTAAAATCAAAATTGAATTTTTAGTAAAAAATGTGCTTCTTCTGTATTTGTAAAGTTGCAAAGTTTTAAAATGGTAGCAATGGTGTCAGTGTAAGTGACATTGCCAAACAAAATGGCAAACATAACAAAATGGCACAGTGCATTTAGCACAGGGGGTGGGGGGTGGAGGGTTGCGTGCATGTTCATGTCTTGCATTGGACTGAAGCTAGCACTCTGTCTATCTCACTTGCAGAGGACAGGGTTGAACGTTCAATTATAGATGAGCCACTGCGGTCCATTCATGTAGACTCTCTCTGCGAATGGAGCACTACCATTTATGTGTGTAATTAGTTTCATCATTTTGTTATGAGCTCAGCCCCTGCAGCTGAAACACTGGCAGCGGCTGTCACTGGCACTGAGAGATGGTGGGCAGGGCAAAGTGTGTCGGGTCAGCTGAACACTAACATGGCTCACAGTGCTACAGCCCCAAACTGCGCGAGGCCTTGAAAATGTCAAAAAAGCAAAATGGCACGCAACTTAGACTGACTGATACCTGATGTCGCTCTGCTTTCCCAACACTCTGCAGAGTCGTGGGTCTTCAGCCTTAAAGTGAAAATAAATTGAATTCACACTTTATTCCCAAGATCTAGGACACTTCAGTCTTTGCAAACATCAAAGAGCATCTCCAAAAGTGAAAAATAAGACTGGCAAGCCACTCAGCTCTGAAGTCATCTTGAGACCGAGCCTAGATGAACAGAACATGGTTTTGTGCCTCATGCCAAGGGAACATTTCCAACAGTTTGGACTTATTTTTTGGACCCAAGCTCTAAACACTACTGTGAGACATAACTCATTAATTAGCAAAGTGGCTCTATATTGACTGTACAGCTAACCCCCTTTACAGAGTTGTGAATGGGAAGTCTTGTCTAAATCATCATTCATGAATGGCCATTTGGCCGGTGCATTCACGACAGCTGCCATAAAATATTGAATGAAGTTGAGCAGCAGAGCAGGGAATAAACATAGCTGTGGCACACTGTTTGGAAAGGAATTCAGGATTTGTCGATGAAAGATAATACAATCAGGTGTGAACAGGAAGCTAAATGTTGTTCAGCTGTAGTTTAAATGTCTAGAGATCATCCCAATGATCCCCCCTTTCCCTCCAGTCCGTTCTGAATGTTTCTGTCAACCTTTTTCAGGATGGGAATGGCTACATTGATGAGCAGGAGTTGGACGCCCTGCTACGAGACCTTTACCAGAAAAACAAAAAGGTGAGATGGGGGCTTTGGTTAAAGGTTTACAGGCTATGGTATACCAGCATAATGTGGCCTGGCTGGTGACTTGGAACAAGATACGATTTCTGTCTGCTCCACTCAGCTGCTTACTTCCTGTGCATTCTGTACATACCATGTATCAGAACAGATGACAACAATATGTGTGTGTATATGTATGTATTTTAAACATAACTCTTCGATATAACATGCTATGCTTGAATGGCAGCGTCACAATAATAGAAGTAGTAAACATGCCAAGTGAACAAGCTGCATGTGCTGAAGAAGCTTTATTGATACCATGAAATGTTCCAAGCGTATTAACTGCCTATTATCCCCATTCAGGATGTGTATATTGGTGCAAGCCTTGACTGAAAGCTTGTCAAACCACGGGCACAATCTCAGGATGAGATGAAGGTGCATTTGTGTCTTTGGTTGGGATGATATCACTGAAGTCCTCCGTCTTGTTGTCAGGATGAGGCCAGACAATGAATACAGGGCAAGGGGCTGCTGACATTGTGAGGAGAACATTAAATCACACACTACTATAACAATGTCCCAACAGACACAATAAACTCTTGTGTGGTCCTGATGTGATGATGACTAGCTCTACACTTCATTACCATAGTAGTGCTGCTTATTTAACACAGCTTCTTCAGTACATCTGGCTGCTTGGTGAGAGTGCTGACTTTTAGCCTGGAACATATAGCAATTTTAATCTTTTAGCATTATATAATATATGTAGGCAAGGCATGGTTTTTATTTTTCTGCGACTATCCGATTAATGAAAAGTGCGTCAACTAAGACTCTTCTCAGTGACTAACGAGTAAGTCTACTATTAGGGGTCAGACCTAAAAATAACAAAGAATTTCAACTGACAAACTCACTCTTTTTCATGCCTCCCTTTCTCTCATTCAGGAGGTGGACTTGAAAAACCTGTCAGGCTACAAGCAGAGCATCATGAGCCTGTCTGATGGAGGGAAGCTCTACCGTGGCGAGCTGGAAATTGTCCTCTGCAGGGAGCCAATTGCCTGACTCTTCCTCCTCTCTTGTTGTATATCTTCATTTTCTCTGCCTGCCCCGCCCTGCTCTCCTGTGACCACACCCACTTTCTGCTGCCTGGCAACATATACCAGGTGCATGTGCCAGACACCCCCCGCCCCACCCCATCATTGCCCCAACCCCTCCCCAAAGTTACAACTTCAGAATGAATGATAAGTGCACTGTCAGCACACACAGCTCTTCTTCCTTGAACCCTTATTTTCTGCAATCTGACCTCTCGATCCTAACCATGACCTGTCTGATACCTCTAGCTTTTCACCTTCTCAACTCTCCCCGATGTCCTTAACTATTTCTGACCTCATCCCTACCCATGCTGTGCCTGACATGCAACTCCTGACCAAAAGCCCAAACCCATTATTCCACAGAAATGACCCTTTGACCTGAACCTTGACCCCGGCTTCAATGATCCCTCCGTTCCTTCGCTCTTCCATCTTTGCATTAGATACAATATATAGTCAATCAAAACTGCAGACAGCTGTGTTTGAATTTGTCTAATTTATAGTCTGTGATGGAACTGGTATTGATTGTTCCACCTCTATTTGTCCTGAAGCCCTCTTGTTCCATTGCCATAATATGATTTACATTTTCAATGTTTGTTTTTGGCTGATTCTGTCAATTGAAAATATTAATAAACTGTACTTAAGATAAGTTTTGTATGAACATGATTTTGTTGAAGTGCCACTGGTGGTTATGCCTTGATGAAAAAGATTCCTTCCTGGACTTTCTCATTCCTTACAGTCTAAATATTTCAACCATCATGCAGTGCTGTGCCACTCTCTCAAAGTTACATTTCCCAATGACTTTTGGTTTGCTGACCTTCTGCATACCAACCTATTTATTTTATCAAGGCCTCCCAGCTTTAAACTGCTCCCTCACCTTCAATCCACTAGTGTAAGCAAAAAGGATTAAGGATGGATGCAGTCACAACGAGAGCAAGTTGGTGTACAATTTAAAGATATAGTAAAGTAAGCTGTTGTTGGTTTCCCGTGTTGAGCATCTTAACACCAGAGCTTCTGGTGCTCCCCCTGGAAATGTATTGCTGAGTGTGCATTGGAATCAAAAAGATGACAGAAATAATGTCTGTTTTGCTGTAGCACTGACTCAGACAGCTTTATTTGCAGCATGATGTCTCTCTCCCAGTTGCATAATGAAAAGGACTGAAGAAACAAGCAGAGTGATATTGCTGAGTTTGCACTGCAAGACACTGGCTGTGTTTTCCCCTCTTGTGAATGAAATGAGGTGGCATAACGAAACACTTCTCCCCTCACTTTGAGTTGCTGATAGCAATCCTGAAGTGCTCCAAAGACAAAAGCTGACCTATAGTTTCAGTTAACATCCCTCGGTTTCCAATGGATTTACAGATTATCTTCAGCCATTCACTTGTTCCTTGGGAAGTATATTGAATTAAAGTTTAATTGTCCAAAAGATTAAACATTTAAGCTTTAATAGACCCAGATATTAAAATGAATTTCAATAACATTACAATTTTAATTGGGAAACACTATAAAGTGGGTATGAAATACTAGATGTCGTAAGCACAGTTTACAAGATAGATTCCCACTCTAAATTACTTACAGGTTTAACACCTGTAAGTAATTTAAGTTAAAATGTTCAATCAAGTGTAGCTCCATCTTGTCCTAGAGTAGTCTGACTCACCGGATGTAGACTGTAGGAATAAGCATGCCATTGGCTGCAAGTTTTACGCAGCATTCTCGTCCCCTTCCTCTGCGTGTTACTGTTTTCAAAATCCCCTTTGCCGCAGCAAACAACCACCTCTGAGCTGGCATCCTACACACTGAAAATGGCAGGTTACCCTAAAGCCTTACCTGGTCACTAATGGTACAAATGTAAACAAGCTAGCAGCTGTTACCTTTTATTTAGCTGGGGATTAGCCACAATGCTAGCCAACCACATGCAAATGGTCCAGCAAAACAGGTTTCTTTTCAAGACTATTTTACCACAGCAACAATGAATTGCTAAAACAAACAATTTTAAGATGAAATAATATCCAACTTGTATTTTTCTTAATATTTTAAAATATTTTTTTTATCTCATAGTCTCCATCCACTTTAATTTGGACTTTAATTTGGAAAGTGGTAATCCACTCACAGTAGTATTTGAACTGCGTTGAGATAGTTTAACAAAAATTACCACAGCAACAGAATTGCTAAAACAAACAAAAGATGTTTCCAAAAAGTATGACATGTTCCATATTTGGTGGCCTATTCACACAAGCACATTTTCCATCGTACACATCCACCTTAACTTAACTGCACTGGCTTAAAACTAACCAGATTTTTTTCATAAATGACCAAAGCAAATCTAAAAGGGAGATAATCAGATCTGACATCACCTCAACAGAAACCATGGTGTGTCTCAGAAGCTTTAAAGGCCAATAGTAACATGATTGCAGAGGGTATTACACAAAGACTGCAATAAAATATAACTACAAAATGTAACCTCATCAATGATCAAAACTGACAACCAAAAAATTGGGCTAAAATTCCAGTGGTGCATCGGAGTTCTTGATCTTTTCCAGCTGAATCCAGGGTGCGAGGTTTTCCCAGCTCCTCAGCTGAGATGTTACTCCTGAGATAGTAGGACAGGACATGATATTTCTCGTAAAGCCCCTGTAATTGAGTTGACATGCTTTTAAAGCAATCTGAATAATACAGCAAGCAGTGTGGAGCTGGTGCAAACCCACATCAATTAATCAGAAGCATTTAAATCTTTATATGACATGCAGCTGCACAAGAAAAATGTGCATATCACTAAAATTGCAATAAGAATTTAGCTGATAAGAAGTCCTATGTATTCGTATGTTTTAAAGTGAGACTAACTTTTACTGAACGTAGTGGACACAAGTGACAGTTACAGGAAAATGCAATGCTAACAATAGCTGATATAAGCTACAGGAAGGTTGTAGCAGTAAAATCATCCAGGAGTTTTGCTTGTATGACTTTTGCATGAAATGCTACAATGTAGCACAAGTCGAGAAGAGTCATAAAGTCATCAAGCTGACTGGATAATGTGAGAGAATATCAATCTGAAGTTTGTAGCTAATATTAGCCATCAGTCATTGCAAGTAAGACTGTGACAGCAAAACTCCTGAGTATCGAGTTGAGCCAAGGGTGTGTTTATGAATAAAAGTTTATAACAAGAATGAGATCTTTCAGAAGTTGCATAGTCTCACTGCGAAGAACAACTAAAAAGTAAAATGCAGTACTTGGGAATTGCTTTTTTGAATGCTATTCAAATACAGAGCTATATGAATTGTATCATGGTATATTTTCTTGTGTATCACATGAAATTATGTTTTGTTATTTAGGTTAAGCATTCATAAATCTGCACACAGTCAGCCAGCTGCCACATGCACATCCTTTTCCTCAGCCTGCCCTTGCACACACCTGCTTTGTGAGAAAGACTAGCAAAACTAACAGCAGCACATTTCTCCCTCTGAAACATATTTATGCACTATCTCGCTCTTTTTGACAAAGTGAGATCTTTAATTACCGTTTAGTAGTGAAGTATAAAGATGACTCAGCTGTTGTCGTCAGACTTTCAAACACGGGGGAGAGGGCTTTGAAAAAAAATCTTCAGGGAGTGGGTGCACTGGTGTGGGAATAATTTCTTACAACTGCACATCATTAAAAAAGTAGTTGCTGAAAAGAGGCACATCTAATTAAACATTTTTGCTGAAGATGCAGTCATTGAGAGATTGGACAACTGTAGATACCTCAGTGCCACGCTTGATAAGTCTCTCTCCAACAATATTGTATCAGTCATCCAGAAGTAAAGAAACTGCCTCCACACATTCTGTACTTTCTGAATCAACAGAGAAAGTCACGCTTACTTCTTAATATACACACTTCTGTAGTTCACTTATAAAGAATTCTCACTTGCTCCAGTTTTCTAAGACGCCCATCAACTGTGAGTGGTAACCTGCATGGGACTGCAGGAGGAGTCTGAACTAAAAGCATTTGCAGAAGGAAAGAAGCATCTACAATCCCTGGACGCATTCTTACTAAGCTGCCTTCTGCTACCAACTGGGAGTCGATTTTACATTTAAAGTCAAACAGATGCAGGATGAACTTTGTTCTTTAACTATAAATCTGCTCAGATGAGAAAATGACAAACTAAAACTACATACTTTATTTGACAAAAAGATAAATATAAAACGTGTTTTCATACAGCATGTTATACGGACAATGGGCAAAACACAATATTAAGAGTATGGCAAAATATTATGTTGCATCATACTGTAATAAGGCTACTGTGACATCTCATCCTCTTCCTTTACCATTTGTTTTTAGCCACACTAGTGCTGTGGCTCCAGGGATGGCACTGTCAGTTGATTGGTCCAGCACTTTGATCCAGGCTGAAATATCTCAACAACTATGGGATGGATTATCATGAGATCTTATTCTGACATTCATGGTTCCCAGTCAGATGATTATTCCGACAGGCTTTGATGATCCCCTGACGTCTCCTGAAGCACCACCATTAAGTTGACTTTTGTGGTTCTGAGTGAAATGTTTCTGCAATTGTCTATTCATTATTTCTACAAAAGTCTATACTCCTCTACATTTGCTGGTAATATGTTAGATTTCTGATGAACATTTTCCTGTTGAACTAAATCTGCATGTGACTTGAAATGTTGTGTGTTGCGCTTTATCTAATGCCCTCTAACTATTTCTCAAACTCTTTAACAGTGGTCAAGGAGAATCACACCCATTTTTAGAATTTGTACTATTGAGCACAAAGGTTCATTCTTGACCTTGGAAATAGTATTCTGAAAATCTTAACTCAGTGTCCAGTCCCTATCTTTCCCCAGGAGCTTTCAACTGCAACTTGTTTGAGTTATTTCTTTTTCTGATTTGCACTATTTTCTCTCCTCTCCTGCCAGACTGAATTTTCCTCAGGGCAATAAACAGCACTGAACATGAAATCATGTTCAGGGTTTCACATGATGAGGGCAAGCACTCATCCAGGTTATTGAAAACAGTATTTACAATGAGCAAACTCAATAAGGGAATACCTGAGTAGAATAACCAAAGCATACTGCACGTAAAACACTTAATCTACATCACTGTGATAAAGCAATGTGATAAAGACTGTAGGCAGTCAACTACACTCCCTGTATGCAGGAGAGAGAGAGAGAGAGAGAGAGAGAAGAGAATGTGAATATAAGAGGATAACAGCCATGATTTATTCATTGACGAAAGGAACCCTGGTATTTTATTTATGATCTCTTTAAATATAGCTCATGTGAATTAAATAAGTGATTGAAAATGGATGTTCCAACCTACATTCTTGTGTATCCCACACACCCAGGCACATACACACACTGAACACATGCATGTGCACACACGTACACAGTATGTCACATGTTAATACAAAGCAAACTCATACTGCAGGTGGATTGACTGCTACTGAAACATTTGACCTATCTATAACAATTCATCAAAGTTCATTGCGAATAAAAAGACGAATTCTCAGGGGAAAAAAGCTCCCAGCATTTGGTCTAGAGGCTTTAAATCATTATAAATAGCAGGTTGGCCAAATGAGGTCTACATGTCACCAGGAGAAATGTCTCTTCTGGCTCATTGCTCACTTCATCACAACAAGTCTGGTTCTCTGTTGAGCTGTCACAAAATGTTTTTTTATGCTTGTGTCAAACAAAAACTATTTAAATTATTTTGTGTTTGACAGTTGGGGAAAAATGTATATTGGCAGTCTGTCCGGGAACTACACAAGAAAATCAATACCACTCATATCTGTCTTTAAATTAAGCTATAGCCAGGAGATGCTTAGCTTACCATAAAGACTGGAAAATAGGGGGAACAGCTGGCATAGCACTGTTCAAAGGCAAAAAAGAAAATCGGCCTTCAGCTTTAACTGAAGTGACGACAAGATGTGGGGGGGATCGACACATCCTGTAATGTTCCTTAGGTAATGTTGTTATTCATTCATTCATACTCTATGTTTGCTGATATATTTTGTAATACCCACCTCTCCTCTTCTCTCAGTTACTTCACTTCCTGTCACTTTTAACTGTCCTCTGTCTGCCCTGCCCTGATTAGTTTCACCTGTGTCTCTTTATCCTACTCTGTCTATCTAGTCGGTGTGCTCCTTTGTCTCAGTGCCAGTTTGTCTTTGTCTATGTGTCAAGCTTTCTAGCCCTTCCTAGTGTTTAGTTCTGTTTGTATTTGGATCCTTGCTTTATTTTTCCTTGGACGTTGCCCGCCTTTTTAATATTGGATTTTGCTTGTTGCCTGATTAGACTACTTTATCTGGTATTTACCTGTGCCTGCCTGACTATCCTGTAAGCCTTTTTGTATACTGACTCATTGTATTGCGCAATTTCTGCCTGCATTTGGGTCCTAATTGTTAATTTGTAACAGGGGCACTGTTGTGATGAGAAGACCGGTTCTTTTAAGTAACCCGCTATATGAGCTATTTTTCAGAGAATATCTATCTTAGAATTATAGATCCAAGAAAAACAAACAGTTTATTTCCACATCAAGCAGTCACAGAGAAACATGATCATTCATTTAGAGTCTTGGAGGTGTGAAATTGAATATTCGTTCTCTTTCAGCTCTGTTTTTGGTGTCTACCAATTCTTAAGGGTACCTGGCATTTCGCTGTTTAATGCTACCTAGATGCTAACTGTGTCTGCTGTTTAGTGCTGAGCAGGTATTGAGGTTTTTAGACCTGTTATGCCAAAAACAGCTGCCTGATGTGGCTGAAAACTGCTATGAGAGAAGTGAGAGCTTTACCAGCTTTACTTTATTTTACAGCAAAGTTGAGCTCAAAACACCATGAAGCTCTGTAAAGCTGAGGGGGACTACAGATGTGGGTGATAATGATCTGTACTGTACTGGAGGTACAAAGAAATAAAAAATAAAACAGTGGTATCGATCTTCTCCTCTATCTCTCGGCAAGATATTAAAGGAGAATATTTCCCAAAATATAGAACTATTCTTTTAAAAAAGTACTGCTTCCCCTGTGTTAAACCTTAATTTATAGCAGATTATGTGTCTTTCTTCTTCAAGGTCAGTAAAAGATTTTTAAAACAAATAAGGCATAAACTTAATCATGACTGACAAAATCCTTGACATAAAGGGACAGTGACCCAGAGTCACATTAGCCTGCCCACGTAGTTTTCTGTGAGATCACTGTATTGGAAATCCAAAACACTTAAAGTAGTTGTAGCAGAAATTAATACCATTTTTCTTGGTCTGAATGAAGATTGTCAATGATATTTTCAGTGCTTTATGCTTTTATAGGGCTCCTGACAGAGTCCCAATGGCCCATTAATGTCTATTCCTTACCCCCAAGCTAATGTAGAATGTTTCAGGAAGAATAAATGAAAGAGGATCCTTAAGGGATACAGGGAAAGGAAGTACTATGAAATTATCAATACAGACATTTTCAGTTACAGAAAATTCTATTGGAGTGACTCAACTTGTTCTTCATTTTGGTTGAATGTATATCTTCAATCGATTTTGCTTGACCTCGTTCGAGCAGAAAGTCACCAATGCAAAGATGTAAAATATGTGACGAACAACCATCAGGGAAATTTATGGTGGTAGAAAATGTAAAATTTTACTACTACAAAGAAATCCATTGTGCCTTTTAATCTCAGTGTATCACAGTGTATTCAGTGCTTAAAAGTGTTGGCTGCATATTAAATAATGTATCAAAAATAGAGCCTTACACCAAAAGACAACATTGATGATCCTAAATAAAAACTTCACCGGTAGGTTGTCAAACTGTATCACGTTTTATCTGGAGTTCACATCCAATGACTTTGCTACAAATGTCACTATGCCTTCTTTCATGTTCCAGTGTGTACAATGGAGTTAAAACAGCAACAGTACTGTAACAGGTGGTCCGTCATACAGTTTGTTCAGTCATAAAGTCAATATAGCTTCGAGGCAGCTGTTTCAGTAATGCCGGTGTTAAATGAACTCTGGTGGACATGGCCTGTATATTATTTATTATGTGATTTTGTTGAGTAGGCAACAGTTGAAAGTAGCAGCAGAACTGCAAAAACAGAAACATCACATTTTGTATGTCCTGTCCCTCTGCACCGCTTACTGGACAGACCAACGGCAACCTAAGCTATTAACTGATTGCTGAATTTTGTGTAGAGACAATACCTCAATATTGTGCATGCTTAAGGGAGTTAACACCCTCCAGCTTCAGGAGCTCAGCTCTGCGCCACACATTGAACCACTAACAACCCATCATTTGCACTGTGTGCTCTGTGCCAAAGTAATGTGTCTGTAAATGGAGGAACAGAAGCCAAATTCCAAATTAACTGACCTGAAGCAGACCAAGGATATCTGCTGCTCGCAAGCACCAGAAGCTTTAAGAAAATCTGGATTTAGGAGGCTGCCAGAGAAACCATCTGTGTGCTGTGACTACATAAGCTGCATCAGCTGCGCTGTCACCCATATCTCTGCACATCTTTGCTTCAATATTTGAAAACTAACTAAATGCAAAAGCAAACAGTCAATCCCCTCTCTCCTTTTCAAAATCAGTATTCGTGAAAGCCAGACTAAATAATCGTAAATATCACATGGATCAGGAAAATCTAATTATTTTAATATTAACAATATTAAGCAATTAACATTTGCGTTTCGGAAAGAGGTGCTTTCTTTTTTTTCACGTAATCCAATGAAGATGAAAAAGTGGAAGCAAACAAATTATGCAATCCTTAAGAAAATGACAGCCACCGATTTGACTATTTTAATAACCACTGTCACATGTTAAATAACAACATTTAGCATTTCTAAACTGATGTTATATAACAGCAAGTGGAAGTATGCTGTAACAGGTAACTTAGTCCAGCTGTGTCTATTTTGGGAATGTCATAAGAACAAATTAATTTAATTTAATTTAGTTCAATTCAATTTTATTTGTATATGACCAAATCATAACCGAAGTTACCTCAGGACACCTTTCAGATAGCAGGTCTAACCGTACTCCTTATACAATTATTTACAGAGACAGTTCTGATTCAATTATTACACTGCAGGTATGTCCCCATTAATAACATTTAATAGTGTTCTATGAACATTTGGTATGACATCTTTCATATGTTCTGCCTCATGAAGCCAAGCTGTGATCACATCAGAATTTTGGGGGAAATGTCGCTTTTTTATGTCATTACATATTTCTTAAAAAATGTGAATATTGTTTTGTAATCTAGACAAGCATAACCTCTTTTTTCTTCCTGATCCAGACTGAACTGATGAACTGTCCGTTTTGAATGGGCACTGTATTGTAATTGTTCTCAATCCGCTTGTGGGCTGTTTTGTACGCAATGAATTGTGGGAAATAGGATCCTGGCTGTGCGGAGCTAGAAACGTCCAAAACACCTCCCTGTTTCTGTAGCATCCTCCACGTGATACACTGCTCTGTGTGACGGTGTGGGTTCAGTTCCCGGTACCTTAACGGGACGAACTGTACTTTAACTAGTCTACTTCAGTTTCGCTGCAGTTTCTAGGCTCTAGTGAACTATCTCCCCCATGTTGAGGCGCCGGCTGGTTTTGGTCAGGTAGAGCAACCCCCCCACCTACCGGAGGACTCGCGCGACAGCGGCAGATTTAGCAAAGCCCCTCACGAGAAGTTTCTGGATAGAGAGCTCGCGCACCGCCACCGGGCCGTCGAGTCCAGCGTTTGTAAAGATAACATTAGCAATGAGCGGTGCTATGAATTTCAAAAACTGCGGCTCTGTGCTGGTAACGGGAGCCAGCCGAGGGCTCGGGCTGCAGATAGTCGACAGCCTGGCGAGTGGAGGTTTCTCACCCGGTAAGATTATAGCCACGACCAGAGAGCCGGAGAGAGCACAGGTAAACACCAACACCTGCGGCTGCTGCCTTTAAGCTAACTGTGCTGCAGCCATAGCCACTGTAGAGCCTTAAGGAATGATCGATAACCTTGTTCTACACGACGCTTAGTCGACCTACTTTACGGGCGAAGGTGCATCAAGTAGTGAAATGGAAGTGAGCGCCATTGTTCCCTCACTGGATGTGCGGATGGACGATGACATTATGTGCTTTTGACCTACAGAAACTTCAGGAACTGGCACAGAAACATCCCAACATCCACATAATCACACTGGGTAAGACAGAAGAGAATGGTTGGTGTGTGTATACAATTAAATGTTACAATAATGTAATATATATATATCGTAACTATAGTTTTTTTGTGGAAAACTATCATAAACACACAGCCCCACTCTGTTTTTAGAGGTGAATAATTGAATGTATGGTAATGAACATTCCCTCATTCAGACACACAATCACCAACATACAAAACAATCCTAAATGCATGCACATGTTGCCCCCAATGTATGTTTGAACTGTTTAGAAACAGCATACATCATGTACACATTGGAGATATTTTAAGTTTCTTGAGTTATTTATTAATTTATTTCCCCCTATGATAATGTTTGAGCTGGTATTCTCTTCCATTTTTGTTTGTTTTTGGTGCTTCACACTGTTGATGTGTCTGTCCACCAGATGTAGTGAACCAGGAGAGTATAGAGGGGTCTGTAGAAGAGGTGGGGCAGCTGGTACAACAAGAGGGTCTGAACTGCCTGATCAACAATGCAGGGATCAATGTGGTGGCCGACTTCCATACCGTTACTGCAGAGATGATGATAGAAAACTTCCGTACTAATGCTGTGGCTCCTCTAATGATCACCAAGGTAATGTTCATTATTAGATTTAGTGTTTTCTGTCGACTTGAGTGTTGTGGATCAGCTACTTAGTGAGAAAAAGACCTCACTTATCCTGACAGTGAAATAGAAAAGAAGCCACCTGTGAGTAGTTCATTTCCTCAATGATGCAAACTGAAACAAAAGGATGACCTTGATGGACAGAAGTAACAAAACCCCTTAGCCCAGGGCAGACTGCAGTTCATAAATATTAATTAAAAGTCTGGTTGCAGTTGGCCTCAGAGTACGGTCGGACTACAGAGCAGCACCCTGTGCTGGTAGAAATTCAGGCACTGATCAAGAACATGTCAGCAGGGCAGATGCTTGCTGACACACAGTTTGCTCCAATTGAAGGACAGTGTGTGTAACTACAAACACACACTGCAGTGTAATTGTGTATATAAGAGTGCCACTGTATCGCTCTCTAGGGCTCAGACTTTAAAACATGCTATATTCACATGAGAGGGGAAAGAATTAGTTGATTATTCGGTTTGTTGATGCCGGGCAGATCATTTATTGGCATCTATGTTGATGATCCATTAACTGATTGATTGATGCCAAGCAAAAATTCCAAACATTTGATGTTTTTTGCTTCTCGTGTTTGAGCCTTTTTGGCTTTTTTGTCTTATATAAGAGAACAGTAATTATATTTGGCTTTTGGATTATTGGATAAAAGAAGCAATTTAAAGGTTTAGGTTTGGGGTTGTGCCTCTGCAGTCACATAACCAAAACCAATATACTGAATAGTTTCTATCCTCACACACACTTCACTGTAAAACAACATCCACACACACAAACAATTTTTTAATACTGCACAAGCGATTTTTCAAATTTAAAATGTATTATTTAATTATTATTATTATTATTTTATTTATTTACTGACTTTATTGTTACATGTATTGATTCCTTTGATATTCTCACCCAGCAGCTGAGCCCTACTTTATTTCACTGCAGGTTTTACTTTGTGTCTCTGTGCATGGGACAAATAAAGAACCATGAACCTTTAAGACCTCACCTCCCATGTTGGGGACATTACTGTAATCACATTATATCTGTTTGTAATGCAGTAATGTAACGCAATACTGTTCCCAAATTCAGTAATCACATTACAGTAACTAATCAAACAATTATGTCGTTATTTGTATTACATAAGTGCTTTCAATTGTATTCATAATAGGCATCAATCACCTGAGTTTGCATTTGATGAGGAGCATACAACTTCCTTTAACTTTGATACTGAAGTCATTTATTATTTGAAGTCTGGGATCAAAAATGGAGCTTGTGAACTGTTTCCCTACAACATCCATGAAATTCTGACTCTATTTAGTGCACTCAGTGGAGAGGCTCTTCAGTCTGGGCCGTCTTGTGCTAACTGAGGAGAAACAAGATGTCTGACAAACGATTTGAGAGACTCCTCCTCATAACCACTGCTTTAATGATAAAAAATGTCAGACAGGCTTGACTAGTCTATTATAAAGTAAATAAATATGTAACACATTATAATGAGTTTCAATCTACATTACATTGTGACCCGAACACTGGTCACCTTGGATTTTGTTTCTCTTTTTTCCCTTCTTTTTTGAAAGAAATATCATTAATTCATGAATTAAATATGTCAGCAGAGGGGCTACACCATCAGCTTTCGTGCTGTGGAAAAGCCTAGATCTTTAGAGATTTAAACATTGTATTCCTGACTGCCTATGTACTTGCTTGATGCCTCTCTTTGCTGGAGATGAAAACAAAATTACAATACAGATAATCAGCAGATACTACTCTATGTAAATAGTTTCAGTTATAGCCCTAATTCATAGTAAATGTCTTCAGAACTAGTATTGTGGAGAAGCCTGATGGCATATATAGTTAGAAGAAGATTTAAAAAACTTAGTCTCTGGGGGCCCCCAGGAGCTCACCTGGTAAAATGTGCACACACCAGACAATCTCTGGCCCTTCATGAAGGTTTCAATTTTCCACTTTTTATTGAGAGGTGTTGATTCAACTTCAAGGTATTTTGGAGGATGTAGTTTGCGGTGTTGTGGAACTGTATTACATTGTTATACTGACAGGTTAGGTGTGTCTATTGTTTAGCATACCTTCTTTTATATAAATGGGTTGCCAGTACAAAGCAATACAGAGTGTAAGTTGGACGTACTGCCACCGGATGGCACTATGTCCCTTCCTACAGACTGTGCAGATAGTGTGTTTTACTCTACTCTGCAAATGTTTGTCCAATTTTATCATTAAAACTTGCAGGTGTAGTTTTGTTACTAATATTATGTATTGTTTGCGGTGTAATTAAAATCATTTAAATAAAAATGTAATCATTTTCAAACTGCACACCTGGTAATTGTAACAAGATTTTGCATATCCATGAAGCTCAGATGCAATATCATTTACAGCTTTGTTCTCAACATACTGATCTCCCTCTCATAGAAAGGCTGTACAGTAGCTTGAGTCCAACCTCAGCTGTAATGTGCTCTGTTCTGCCCCTGCCAGGCCTTCCTGCCTCTGTTGAAGCAAGCTGCGTCCAGAGGAGGAGCAGGTGGCACAGGAAGCATGGGCATCCAGAGGGCAGCAGTCATTAACATGACCTCTCTGCTGGGCTCTGTGGAGCTCAACTGGGGGGAACGGGCCAACAACTTCAAATGGTACCCCTACAGGACATCCAAGGTATTTGCCATGAGACAAATACACAAATACATTTGCTCAGTACCTGTCTATTAAAAAGGCTGTTAAAGCGTATATGCTAGGTTAACTCTGTTTTGGTATGGTTACAGAATGGGAACTCTGGCTGTTTCTGGTTGGGTCATCTATTTGTGTAGAAAGCCTTGGAGTGCTCTTCTGATTAAATTAGCAACAAATGATTTTAGGGAAAATGTGAAATATCAGCTGCACCTTCCACCACCCCCCTGCGGATGGTGGAAGTGAGTCTGGTTTTGCATTGTGCTGCCCAATAACTTGTTTCTGCTTGCCTTCTCAGAGTGCCCTAAACATGGTGAGTCGCTGTATGGCTGTAGACCTGGAGCCTAATGGGATTCTCTGCATGGCTATACACCCTGGCTGGGTCCGCACTGACATGGGAGGGTCTCAGGTAAGGGCCAACTGTCACAGTCTCTTTGGGATGGCAGCCAATAATAATTCACTTCACAGCATGCCATTCCCTCTTTCTGTCCTTGCACCCGTGTACAAGTCAACACCGCTGCGATTTTTTAGAGAACTTTTCCCTACATACCGCTGCCTACATTTACACACACTTGCATGGCAATGGTGCCACATTCTGGTTGTTGTAGGTTTTTTAACTTCTGAGCAAAAGGGAATACCACAGCCCTTTTCCTCTATTTTCTCTGGTCATGTAGCACCAATTTCAAATATGTTTGATCTTTCTACTGCATACACAGCCCAGTTTTATGAAAAGACCATCTTTCCAGCGGTGATCTGTGACTAAAGCATACCAAACACTGAGAACATGAGAATCTCCTACATTAGTGAGAAAGAAATTACAGGATGTATTTGATCAAAATAGATCAGCTGTAACACTGTTGTGTGGTAAAATTGTATTTTTCCATTGAGGAGCTGGTGCACATTTTATATTTACTTCACATGTTAGTGTCTTGGGTGATACATATTTGGATTACTGTATTCAAATTTCTAAGAAGTGTGTCTGAATACATTTTCTGTGTCTCTTTCCAGGCTCCACTGAGTCCAGAGGAGAGCGTTTCTTCCGTCTTGTCTGTGATTGGTGGACTGACTGAAAAGGATAATGGGTCATTTCTGAACTTTACAGGAGAGGTGTTGCCTTGGTGATCCTTTTCATCAAAGTAATGAGTAGGATGATTATAAGCACAAATAATAGATCCTAACGGCTGTTTATTCAGTTTGGAATAACTTCAGCTATGCAAGAGTGTTACAAACAGTGTTGATAGCTCTATGTTTTAGTAGAAGAATCATGCATATTGTTACTTAATTGTTTATATATATAATATATATAGCTACACACTGTTTCTTTGATCTGATAACAAATCAAACTCACTGTCAGATAAACAGACCTGGTTGGGAAAGTCTTAACAGAAACCTTCTCAGAGTTGTGCTTTGATTGTCCACAATGTACATTTAAGCAGAAATTTGGTCATTGAAAGTGAATTATCTGCAGTGGTAATGCAATTGCTGTCTCTTCTCAAGTGTTTGTTTCCTGCAGTTTAATGTACTTTTTTATTAGAATATAGTAGAATCTATATACATGTATTAGAAATACATCGCTGCTGTGTAAATAAGAGAGAGAGCATTTTATGTTTTTATTGTGAAAAAGTAATAAAGGTTTGAGTGTTCATGAGTGTGTCTCCATTAGATGATTTTCCAGTGGCAGTGGTAGAAGGATTTTCTTCCTTGTCGAACAAGTAAGTTGAGTCAAAATGTTTTTCTTCATTCTTGGAATTGCAAGTTTGTGTTCTTTGCCTTCCAGCAGGGTGACTCGACATGATGTTCCTATTGTTAAACTCTTATTTTTAGGCACATGTCCTCTTTCCCATTGTTTGTCTCTTTTTCTGCAGGCCTTCATGCAAAATAGGTGAAGATGCTTCAAGATAATAACAACAAAAAGCTTTTAGGACAAAAGTCATTCATAGTCATGATCCTGTCTTAGCTGTTACAATTGTATGACAGTTGAGTGTTTCTTATCATTGTCAGTTTATAGCACCTGTAACTACAGCTGGTTTGGGTACAGTTGGATGATAAAGCAGAGCTGCCACTGAACAGAGGAGAGCTGAAGCCTTAGTGCAACGTAGAAAATGAACATCTTGAAAGTACATTCAACACCTAATGAGCTGAACACATTGGATTTATTTAAAAGTGCAATAGATATGTAGAGTAATATGGCAGCTTAGGCAGAATGCAGCAGAAGACAGCAGCAGTTCTGGTGCTGCATGGTGGCAGGGGCATGACTTACCCCCAGAAGATTCACAAGTGCACAAATGATCTAACGCATTTAATCCCCCATTCTGTTTGTAGGAGTTCTCTGGAGTCTGAACCTGTGACAAGCAGGCCTGCAGAGGAATCCTGAAGAGGAAGAGAGCTGGGGATCAGATTATGTTAAACTCCCTGAGATGTCATTTAAATGTAATCAAACCAGTTTTCCCAGAAAGTCATGCGCCGGCTGTGTGCGTTTGGAGAGAGGAGAGAGGGAGTGTTATTAGAGTGTCAGAAACAGGAGGGACAGTTGTTTGACAAGGTGCTGCTTACTTTTGTTTCTGTGAAATGTTTCGAACCCAGCGTGGATTTACAGCACAGGTTGATGCTTGCATTCCTGAAGAAAAAGATGAGCTGAGTTTTTGTTACTTACCACAGGTAAATGTTTATTTGTGTCCTTCATGTGATTATGTTCAGTCCTCTTCATGATTCAAGTGGAAAGTGGCAACAGAAGGCCTGCACGCTTGTGAAATAGACTCTTTACCATTCACCAGAGCTCATTTGTGCAACATTACACAAAAGCTTAATTTTTTTGTCTTTATTTAAATATAAATACGAGATACACCTTTGTAGGTTTTTCCTTGTAACGTTCTTGTTTTGCATGAAGTGTGAGCAGGACAAGTGCTATTTGACTAAACTGCCTCTGATAGGAGATAATCATGTCTTTCTGACAATGCCACAGGTCTGCCAGCTTTCTATTCCAGAAATTAGCAGGCACAAGGACATTCTGACCTGATCATGCCAGCAGGCCTGAAAGCATAGGAGTTACTAATAACATTAATGATGGCTGTGAGCTCTTCAGCTTTCCCATTAAGCTATGACGGTGTGACAGTGTCTGTCAAAATGCCACATTATTATTTTAGACTCAATCCTGTTTTCCAGCATGCCGTGCTGTTTTTGTCCAAACAGTATCTTCAATTACGTTATTATATACATTTTTATTACCACTCCTAACTCCTGGGGACTGAGAACGGTTCATACAGGGTCCTAAATAAACAATTTCAACTTCTTTTAGGGTTGCAGCAAACAGGTAGCATGTCATGGTCAGTTAATCTGTTGACCAATATGTTAATTATTTTTTATTAATCTATTAACTGTTAAGTCCACAAACATTTTGAATATAAGGAAAAATGCTTGTCAGCTTGTCCCAGACCTTACGTTAACATTTTTGAATAGTTTGTTTTGTCACTACAACAGTCCAAAGATGTTCAAAATGACATTAAAAAAGCAGCAAGTCTTCTGGAATCTTTTTGATTTTGACAATTTTGATTGAAAAATCATATTTGTTATTTTATGTTGAAATGACCAACTGTCAGCAGTAAGTCCTTTACCTCACTCCTATACCTAAAGGTTTTCAGGTCAGTTGGTATGAAATCTACCAGAGCAGCTCTTCAGTAAATGAGAGAGTTCTATAATTAAGCATAGTCCCCTCACATGGTCTGTCCTGCTGTGTTGCAGAGGTATGTGTAGGCCACATGGAGGTAGAGAGTCATGGTGACATTGATAGTCTACCCAGCCCCTGCGGGGCTGTTGTCAGCTGCTGGAGACCTGAGGATGCCGTTCCCAGACTTGGTCAAGTACTGCCTCCTGGGCATCTCCATCACTCTTCTTCTGCTGGCACTGGGCATATTGGCATGGCAGGCCTTCAGATGCTGCACACAGACACGCACCACATACACCCAGCAAGATACTGGTGAGTAGACATGAGATTACAATACTGAACAGTACAGCACATACTGATACTGGGTGTCTGACCAAGAAAGTAATTAGCAAATGCAAATTTGTACTGTAGCCAACAGTGATCTGCTGTACTCAAACGAAAAGTCAAGAACAGCAGGAAACTACTCAGGAGCTCCAAGTACTAAGGTAAGAGGAAATAGATTTGATGGGTGTGGATAGAAAGAAGAGTATTGCTTACTTGGTGTTAATTATTTTTCTGTATCATATGGCCCAGAATTCAAAGCAGCATCTTTACAACATGGCCAGATTTCTTAACAAATCAATAGATGTGGGAAATTCTATGTGACTTTGTTTGGCTAAGTAAAAACTGAAGCAGAGCCACCGTTGGCAATCTTTGAAGGAGGCTGGTGCCTTTCAATCGATACTCTGGGGACACTCCCCAATTGTTCCTGGATGAGATTTGAATTCTGAAAACTTTGAAAAACTAAGATTAACTTGATTAACAATCACATTCACTTTTAAGCCAGCACGATCAACTGTAAATTACAAACTTCATATTTTCACCAAATCATTCAGCAGCTCAGTATATACGTGGGGAATCCAAATGTATGCAAATCTAATTGTGTGCACAACTAGTTTGTTATGAGTTCTGAATTTGAAATGTGATTAGTTTATATTAGGTTTATGACATCAAGTTGATTATTAAAGGTGGTGGAGAAATGTTTTGAATAATCATGGGCAATTTGAAAATGAACAACATGTATTAAGTATGGAGAAGACCAATGGGAGGGCCTTTCTAGGTATGACAACTGCAAACAAAACACAGAATCAAGTGACTCTCTCTGGAAAATGATGACATACTCTGCGTGTGATCTGTCAAATCTGACTACCTTGCATCAAATTTTTTAGAAAGTGAATTTTCAATTAGTAAGTACAACTTCACACACCATGTACTAAGGAATTTTAATATGCTACTAGTTTATACAGGTGAGAAAAAGGGTCACTCCGCCTCTCACTCTTTTAAAAGTCTTCAGTATAGACTTCAGTCCTGGTATGGATGTGTTTAACCACTCTGTTTAGGTTGGGTCAGGTAGCTGTGTTGATCTTATGCTCTCCTGTATGTGAGCTATGTTTGAGAACTCGGTCACATTTTATCTGGATAGTCTACTGCTTCCATGCTACTGTCCTACTATGACTCATGTGTGAGTAACAGCTAAGTTTGAAAATAGTTAGTCGTTTTTTCCAGTGTCTGAACAGGGTTAATATTGGAGTTAGATGAAAAACAGGAATAAGGACTACACTGCCATCAGGGTATGATTAAAAACAGGGTTATGTGTACTGTATATTCAGGGGGGGATAAAATAAAAATAACACATTTCAACATAATACAGCCACAGGCTACAGCCTTATAAATCACTGTAAACACCTCTTTGATACAGTCACATACAGTATTAATTACATTTCATCATTCAGAAGTTCAGATATTTCAATTATCTATACATTTTGTCCAGACACTGTAGTCTATAGAGTTGCTCCAAACAGGCAACGTTGTCTGTGTACATAAAGATTAATGAGCGCACTTGTTTAAACAAAGGAGGGTTGGAACTTGCTGGAGGTGCTGCAGTTGTTAATAAAGACACTACTGGTAGAAATGGTGCGTACTGTATGTTCATGCTTCCCAGGTGGAGGAGGTCAGCACAGAAGCCCACAGGCTGAGTCGCTGTCTGTCTCAGGCCTCGTTTCCCTGCCCAGGATCCAGCCAGGCAGATGGACACATGAAGGAGCAGGCCATCATTAAAAAGGTAGCAGACATTACTGTATAATCTTGTTGTCACATGACAATCTTGCACCAGTTTTTTTTATTTTTTATTAAAATTTAATGGCTTATGCACCTCTAATGTTAACAAAACATCTCAAGGCTCCCTTACAACTGCATTTTACTCAATGAATATGGAATAGATCTTATACATTAAAAAGCTTGTGTGCATCCTAAGAAGCCGTAAAAATGTGTGAGACCTATTTCCTTCTCACTGGGCCGTGATATGGACGAATATTATTTTAGATATACTGTATATGTCATCTGACTCTCATGTCTAATAAATAACACACTTCTTAAAACATCACACACCATTGGTGATGCGCTTTTCTATTAACAACACCACAGCCATGCTTGCAGTTCTATGAGGTTATGGTGATTTGAGCTCAATGTTAACAGTTTAGTTTGTTAAGCAGTTTCATCATCTTAGTTTAACATTTTAGCATGCAAACATTTGCTAATTAACACTAGACACAAAGTACAGCTGAGAGAGGTCGATAGGAATGTGGCGTCTGGACTGAATTTGTTTGAATATTTTTTAGATCACCCAGTTGTAACTTCTTATGACACTCCTTTTAGCTGAGATGTTTGGAAATCTCCCTTTCTTCTATTCAAGTTAAAGTTCAACTTTTTTTCAAAGTACGGTTAGTACTGGTGGTGCTCGGCATGCTCCCAGTTTGAAGAAGCAGGCATTAGTACCAGCATGGAAACTAAGCAATGCACTCCTGTCTGCTTCTCTAAACTGGAGGCATACTGACTGCTAGGTAATACATTGATTATAGAATGATCAAGTTCCTCATACAACCCCACTTAGACAAAAAAAAGACTATCTCTACTATCACTAAAAGAAAATAAACTGTATATTTCACACTCTCATGCAATATCAGTATGTGCATTTGTTGCTTGGTGTCTTTCCTAACACACCCTCTTATACCAGGTCGATGGATCGCTCCGTTTCTCCATCTATTATGACCAGCTTCAGTCCCAGCTGGTTGTCACCGTGTTGCAGGTGGAGGGGCTACTGGAGCATAGCCAGCAGCACAGTCTCCAGCCATTTGTTAAGCTAAGTCTCATGTGGGCAGGTTCAGAGGGAGTGGAAGTTGACGGCTATATGGATGAGGAGGTGATTTTGTATTTATTAGTAACCACATACCAGTGCCTGGCAAAGAACCTACGGCATTTTATTTGGGGGAATATATAGCCTCTCTTTTTTTCCTTTTGTGCTTACTTACTGCTGTTATCCTCCTAGGTCAAAGGGACAGCACCTGTCTTGTGGACAGTGCTGCAGGAGTGGCGGACTCGCATTGTGAAAGGCAGCTGTAACCCTTTATTTGGAGACCAGTTCACCTGTAGTCTGCAAGAGCATAAGGACCTTCATCGTATCAAGCTCAGGATGGAGGTCCTGCAGAACACACACCCATGTCTCACTCTCAGTATCTCTCAAGTTATTGGAGATTAATTTGGCAGTTGAAGGAATAAGATCTAAGCAGAGAAAAAGTTTGAAAATGTTTTTTGTTTGTCTGTCATGTGTCTCATTTCAGGTGAGGGACTTTGATAAATTCTCTAGACACACAGTGTTAGGAGAGGTGAGGGTTTCTCTAGCGAAGCTTAACATCTCCTACCCACTGGAGCTCCAAGAAGATCTGCAGATACCCCAGAAGGTACATTAGGACATCATGTAAACAAACACACGGATGCAATCATATAGGAATATTTTTCTCATCTTTTAGTTGAGGTGATTTAAGGAGTTCCATCAATCTACATACACTTTAATGAGTAATGTAGAGTATGTTTACCTGATTATAAAACTGCAAACATCACAATAATGAACCATTTTGTCCAAATTTACATAAGCTTTGAACCAGGAAATACTTAAAATTTTCATAATTAGATTTGTATAATTCTTTAGCTACAACTTCAAAACTCTTGAACATAACGTGATTTTAGATACTGAGTGGTTAAAGGGGCAGAAATTACACTGTAGAACATGTGGTGTTCCTGTTATTCTAGTCATTAAACAGTCATTATAATAAGCAGCATTTGCAGAGTCAATAAAGGGAAGACTACTTGGTCCATGGAGTCAAAAAAGTACACACTGAGAAAGTTATGTTAAGGATTTGTATACTTAATCATGTGCAAATCATCTTGAGTTCAGTTTCATTTTTATTGTTATGTTTAATTTTTGGAACGTTATTATTATTATTATTATTATATTTATTTTAAAGTATACTTAATTTTACCTTTCATTTTGCTTGGAAAGGCCTTTGTGTAAAGTTTGAACACTTTGCGTAAATCCCAGTCCTTCGCTCTTAAAATGTTTTATTTATATTTAAACATTTATATAAAAAAGCAGCAAATCCTCTCTTTGAAGAAGCTGATATCAGAGAATGGTTAGAGTTTTTGAGTGATTAACTTAAACAATTAATCGATTATCAAAATTGTTGGTGCCAGTGTTTACGGGGTGAAATCTATCTTCTGAAGTACAGGTATACCATAGTGATTTGTTATTTAATGTTGTGTCTCTTCTTTATATATTTTTTTACTTGTCAAATGCAACAAATGTCACCATATTTTTATATCATATAGAAATGTGTAATATGCTGAACTGTTTATCCTCTTACTTTGTGGACAGGATCTCGTAGGAGAAGTGCTTCTGTCTCTAAAGTTTCTGCCCACTTCTCAGAGGCTTGAAGTTGGACTGTTAAAAGTCAGAACGGTCCTCACTGAGATGAGCTCAGATGCAGGTAAATAACAGACACCTTTATAAGAATAAAGCCATACTCATACGGCTGCCATACAGTTCCTAATTTGCCTTCTCTGTGTTGTACAGCCCTCTACGCCAGGATCAGTGTGCAGTGCAACCAGTGCAAGTTGAGGTACCAAAAAACCTCTACAGTGGCGCGCTGCCTGGTGACTGTCTTCAATGAGGTCCATATTTTCTCCCTGCCAGACTTTCCTCTGCAACAGTGTCAAATTTTGGTTTCTGTGTATGAGACACATACGACTAGAAAATCAACCAAACATCTGATTGGTCAGCTGACTGTGAGGAAAGACAAGAGTTCAGAAGACAAGCACTGGAGCTTGATGATGCGCTCAGTCCGCCAGCCAGTAGCAAAGTGGCATGGCCTGCTGATCTAACTGACATCTCATAAATCCTCTCCTGCACTTCCCGGATGTCCATACCTGCTTGTATTGAACTGAAAGCTGTGGTGCTTGGAGAGGGGAACTGAAGAGGACCAAACATGGACTACTCTCACTCCTGCCTCCTCGGTGGTAAAAAGACCTTTCCCCTCCAGTCTGGACAGTGGAGGGAGTGCCCAGCTGAAACATTAGGTTGCTCAGTCTACTTGTTCACAGACACCTTTTTTGTCTCTCTCTTTACATACAAACTGCTTTACATCGAGAGACCTCTAAAGATCTGACATTTGCATCTTCCTATTTCTGATGGTTACTTTCGTTTTGCAATCAGTCAATAACTGTGTTGTTGGTGTCTATATTTATATATTGACACCAACCTGTTCTTTTGTGTATAAAACTGTCCATTTTTCATTATTAAATATTTACATTGCAAACTTGCACTGCTTAAAATGGCCTGAAAAAGAAAGAAAGGTCAACAAAAAATCTTAAGTAGCCTCACTGTGAAGAAAACATGACACCATATTCATGGATAAAGTGAGCAATTTTAAATACATTTTAGCTTTGACTGTATCTCCTTTAACCTTTATTTACTCTTTAAATTTACTATTACTTTGACTTCAAACACACATTCGGTGTTAAGTCAGTTTCAGGCTACAGACCTATAGTAGAGCATGTGTTGGTTTCCTACCCGTGAGCAGCCAGGAACTGAGTCAGTCAATTAGGGTTAGAACTTAAAATGATGATGTTATTGTTGTAGTTATCAGTTTCATTATATCACAGTGTGGATATCTTTTTTTACAAAAAATCCATGAAATGTGAATATTTATATATAATATATATATAGGGATGCACGATAACTTTTTTTTAAAACTGATCCCGCTAACCGAAAACTTTGAGCTCCTAAAGGCAGATACCGATAACTGATAACACACACACATATACATATATATATGATCATGACCTAAGATCATGACAATAACACTATGAACAAACACTTTTGACTCTTTAAATGGAGATAGGCCTATTTATTTTTTCCAATGAAAAACTATTGGCAAGCCTCTCAAAAAAAATAAAGGCCCCTTGAACTTCTGCAAATACATGCATTGGGATTACAAACTGAAAAGTGTATTCCAGAAGTTCAAAAAAAAATATATATATAGAAAATTGATGCACTGACACAAGTTAGATTCAAACATTTCTATGTAAACACAATCTGAAAAAGTGCATTCCTCAATAACAATAAATAAAATGTGCATAATGCACTGACACAAGTTAGACTGAAAAAGTGCATTCCATAGTACCAAAAGATTAAGTTTAAATGATTTTGGCTAATGGTTCTATTCAAATGAATTCCTTTTCCCTAAAGTAAATGAGGTTCAGTTGTTTTATTGAGACAGAGAGAGTTTTATTTACTTATTTAATGAAATTGTTCTTATGTAATTTATTTGTAGCTTTGGCAGTATTGGTGTTTTACATTCATGCCAATACATTTGAATTGAATTCAGAGAGAGAGAGAGAGAGAGAGAGAGAGAGAGAGAGAGAGAGAGAGAGAGAGAGACACTCCGTCGAAGCGATGGCTCAAGTTTCAGGTGACTTATCAGGTTTGACGTATTGAAGCTCGTGCTACTTTTACCTCCTCGTGGAACTTGCTTGGAACATTTGTAACAAATAACAAGCGACCTGTTTTCTCCAGAAACTTTGAAAAAGTCCCACACAATCGACGCCATGTGGTTTGTTTTTAAACGTAAGCACGCTGTGCTGCATTCACAGTGTGACGGAAATTCCCTGTTCCTACGTTTGCTAGTCGTTATATCGGGCTTTTTAAGTTCATATTTCTATTGTTTATGTGTAACATGTGGAAAAATACTGTGGATATCAATTCAAGTCAGCGACTACGAAAATTATGACCGAGTTTACGAGTTCTTTTCCGACATGAGGGGGTATTCTTGAATTTCCCAGTCAGAGGGAGTTTTTCTGATTATGCCAACGTCACTTGAACGCAGCATTCACTGCGGGGCATTAAGGTGTCATAGTGAGAGCGGGGCATTGCCGTGCTGACAGCTATATGACTTCTCGGAATTACGTAATAATTTCCTGTTATCGATGATTATCGTGCACCCCTATATATATATATATAGTTAATATATAGAGACTGAGGACTTTCTCTC